TTGACGAGTAAAAAACGATAAGATAAGTGACGTCATACTAAATCCAATATGGCGGTCGCCCCAAAATGGCGGTTTACCTATATTTCTTTACAACCTTTTCAACATGGGTATTAAATGAAAGGGTTTGACGAGTAGAAAACGATAAGGGATGACAATGCCCGATAAGGTGAGTGACGTCATACCAAATCCAATATGGCGGATTACCTATTTCTTTAGAACCTCCTTGACATGGGTATCAAATGAAAGGGTTTGACGAGTAGAAAACGTTAAATTGACTGACGTCATATTAAATCCAATATGGCGGATTACCTATTTCTTTACAACCTTTTTGACTAGGGTATCAAATAAAAGGGCATAAAACGTGACGGTAATCTAATTTTAATATGGCGGATGTAACTAACAGACTAACTTAAAGATTTCTTCTAGTTTCTTTGAAAATTTTCATTTTAAATTAAATTAATATTTTTTTAATCGAGTTATAAGTTGTTGCAAGAGTTTTTTGTGAAAATTAGATTATGGAAGCGAAATTTTATTGTCTTGGACTTGGGATCCATTCTGGGTAAATTTAATCCCTACCGACCCTTATAAAACTGCTATCGATTTGTTGTAATTAAAAGGGATGTGTTGGTAAAGGGGGAAGTTTCGTACGTCCTAGGTCCGACTAATCTACTTATGCAGTTTTATTATTGCTGTCTGCGACTAAGTGAGCGGCAATTGCAACAAAAACTAAGGAAATGAAAAATAATTCGTTTTCGGCTAAATCTGATAAGAGATTGCTATTACGGCTACATTAATCTTCCAACCGAAATTATTATTGATGATTGCATTAATATTTTGCGGAGGAATATCCGACATCAAATGTAAATTAAGTTATAGGTGAAAACAAAGCAATAAGGTAAAAAGTAATGGAAGATGGACAGTACCCAGATAGCACAAGATGTCCTGAGGACATCCGGTTTAAATCCTTTACAGACGGTCGCGACCAGAAAACCGATGGACGTCCTGAGGCCTAGGCCTATGGACGTCCTAAGGCCTAGGCCGATGGACATCCTGAGTACGTCCATCGGTTTTTTGCCTGCGACAATAGTTGAAGATACAAGTTAATATATCACCCTTTATAAAGGCCTTTATAAAAGGTGATATATCAATTTGTATCTTCAACTATTGTCGCAGGCAAAAAACCGATGGACGTACTCAGGATGTCCATCGGCCTAGGCCTTGGGACGTCCATAGGCCTAGGCCTCAGGACGTCCATCGGTTTTCTGGTCGCGACCCGGGTCTAAGTGAAAAAAAATTACACCTTGTTTTTTATTAAAAATACTCCTTAATCAAGCACGATAAAAGATTTAAAAAAAAAGTTGTCAATTTTTTTTCACTTATATGTCTATAGATAGACCCTTTATCCACTTAAGTGGAATTGTGTCTTTAGTTGTCAAGTATTTTTAGCAATTGCAATTTTCCATATCTCTAACTTATTTAAAAATATCTAGTAAAATTAATTAATTCATTGCATTAAAAATATCATTACAAATTTTAAAAAATTATTTTTAATTATATTATATATATTAGGTATATTATATTTTTAATTTGTTGAATAAAAAATATCACATTGGCCAAATTAATAATTTGAATTAATAATATTATATGAGAAATGTATAATACGAATTAAAAATACCATTGGAGAAATTTCTTCACTTTAACATTTAAATTATTTAATTTGTCCTATAATATTTTTAATGCAATAAATTGTAAGAGTTTATTTCAAATTTACCGCCAAATAAACAGTTGGTATTGGAAGTAACCAGTTTAGTGACTTTAAGTTGGCAGTCTGAAATCCGCCATGTTGGCATTGTTCATAAAACAGCGCTGCAGCGTGTGCTGTTTTTAGTTAGCTCCCTGTTTAGTTAAATTTCTGTGTATTTAAATATATGATATAAGTGAAAACAACTTTTATTATATGGAAAAACCCCTACAAAATTTAAGTTTTCACTTGATATTTTTAAATAATTTAGAGATATGAAGGTATGTGAAATTTAATGGAGAAATAAATAAAAATAGTATTATGAAAGGTTTATTGTTTTAACTTAAGGAATATATGGTTAACGGATTGACCTCCTTTTCCCGGACACCCTGTATATATATATATATATATATATATATATATATACCTATATATTAACAAAACACTTGTTAACACTGTATTACATTTCCCTATTATAATAAAACTATGTCCTAATTCGGTCCTCATATGTCCCGAATTGGACAGCTTGGGGTCAAATACGGACGTCCTGAGGACATCCTATTTCGGAAGTCTGTGGACGGTCAAATACGGACGTCCTGAGGACATCTGAAACAGTCTATTTCGGAAGTCTGTGGACGTACTACGAACGTACTTTTGCAGACCCCGGACATCCTGAGGACGTTCAGGTTGTCCTGGGTGGAAGTCCTACGAACGTCCTACGAACGTACTTGTGCTATCTGGGTAATGTCTAACGCTATAGCTAATTTATATTAATGGCTCTCTTCAATCACAGGAAGGAGTTTATAATAAGCCATCATTATATACCTACCTTTGCCTGGCCTTTTATTGACCCAACAAAGGCATTAACAACATAATAAAAATGTTAACTGAGATTTTATTTGGGCACAACAAAAGGAAAATGTGTCACAATAAATGACCATTTATATGCAAATTAGAGTCCACAGCGGCATTTAATTTGACCAATGCATTTAAATGGTCTTGAGAAGAGTCATTTCCCCAGTAAGTAATTGGTCATTTCGTTTAAATGAAATACACCGCTTCAGAACGAATATTTTCTTTGATATCTTCTCCATTACGTTTTTTTTAACGAATTGCACAAATAAACCAGTTTTTTTATTAAAGCATTGGTTTTTTAAATTTGAATGTGAAACACCCTGTATATTATGAAAAGTATAGGCTGGTCTGTAAAAATATTTTTGGCCAATCGGTTAATAGTTGTTTACATGTAAAGCTTTGTAAATTAATCTCTAATTGAAATTTCATTTAAAGAAATAATTTCGTGAGGAACGGCCCCTTAACGGTTTGACGAAGGAAGGCTCTTATTAAATTGCCATAGCAATTTAGAGAAACCTTTTGAAAAATTCGAATTTGGATGAACCAGTTCAGAAAGTTTTAATTACAAAAACTATCGTTAAAGAAAAAACGTATCTTGATTAAATATAAGGGTTCTGATGCATACTTAGGTATGTGGATGTGAAGAACGGCCCCATTTGTAATTAAAATATTCTGCTTGGACGCTTCCTTATACATTCAAAACACGATTTTTTTCTGATGCCAGTTTTTCCTTTACTTAAAGAACACAACCACCCGCCTAAAATATATTTATCAATGTCATTTTTTCCTAATTACGACAAAACAACACCCTGTATAATGATTTATTATGAAAAAAAAAACAAAAAACAGAGGGCAGATTTAATAAAATTTAAATTCATGGTGCTTGCTTTGAATGTCACTTATTTGACAACCCTAAATGAGACAAGGGTGCACAATAAATGTGGTAGATATGTTGTGAACTCAACATAAAAAAATACCCCAAAAATGTTATTTACTTAACTTTTATTTTCCTTACATTGTTCTTTATAATTATAATTACAATAATATATTTGTTTTTATCTTAAGATATCTTATAAATGTGATTTTTCTTTTTATATAAACCTGTTTATCTTCGTTAGATAATATTTTTAATAAAAATGTTTTTTACAAAAATTGTAGATATTAAACTATAAATTACAAAAAAAATTAATTTTTTGAAATACGACCATAAATAACGGAGATAAAAAGGTTTATGTAAAAACCAAAAAAGATTGATAATTATAATTAAAAAAAAAGCTCAAATAAAAAATATGTATAAATATATACCTACAAAAAGTATATCGAAAATATTTCTGTTAAAATTAAAGCAAATTTATATCCATTGAAATACCATGGGATTTCTTTTTTATACCATAGGATTTCCTTTTTAAACTTTTAAATTCACAGTACATTTTAAAGTTATCGCAAAATTTCATGGGACCTTTTATGTAGAGCGTTGTATTTCCCTTAAATTATTTTTTACAAAGTTTTTAAAATTCCCTAAGGATTGTTAGTTAAGTATATATTTATCAATAATTTTTTTTTGAAACTCTACAAAAAAGCTCCCTTGAAATTTTTAGATAGGTAGTAAGTTTAATACCTACTTTCGAGAGAAAAGTAGATTTTTATCTTGAAAAATACTGCAAATTCAACTTTGACTTTAAATAACTTTTTAAAGTGTGAATTTATCGTAAAATGATAAGAGACCTTTTTTGTAGAACGTTTAATTTGCTACAAAACTTTTTTGTGTACCTATTAATGTATGTAGGTATTAATAAGTTAAAAAATTAATTATTTGCGACATTCAAAAAGTCTAATTTTCTAAAATATATATTATAAAAATAAATACTTAAGTATTTGGTGCAATAATATTATTCATATTATAATGTATTATACGTTCTAAACAATTTTCTTTAAAAATGGTAAAGACACTTAAATAATAAAATAAAATTAACACCATTTATTTTAAAAACAAAAAAAGAAGTAAAAACATGGAAACTGTTTGCTTCTTTGTAGGTATTTTCAAACAATTATATTATACCATTATATATTTATATGTATAAATTATACAGTATAATAACATATAGGTAGGTACATTATTTAAAATAAGTAATTTATTCACATACTTCTGAAAGTATGTGAATTTATGTAAGTATATGAATTTATTACATTATAGCGCCATCACTTGGTCAAAAGCGAAAACTACTTGAAACACAGTTTCCTGTAATTTATTAAAAAATCATTTATTGCGGACAAAAGGTTATCGTTATCGGTTGGGTTTAATTAATTAAGAAATTATTAACATTCGTTTTACCCAATGTATTAAAAACCCATTAAAATACTTAAATATTTGGACTTTCATTCGAAATTTTTTTGGGGCCGGTATTATAGGTATTTTTTTACCAACAGTCCGTCATGCTTCGCATTCAAATTTTTTAAAGCTTACCAACGGTTTCGCTTCGTAGCTGCTTTTATATTTGTAAGTTTTGGCTTTCAGTTTAAAATGTTAAATGTAGTTTTGAAAGCAGTTAATGAGTTAGGAAAATGAGTGCGGATACGATAAATGTGGCAATAAGAGTTCGACCTCTTATTGGAAGAGAAACTGCAAAACAAACACCAATTTATTGGTCGGTTGAAAGAGAGTCTATTTATCAAATAGACGAGAATGGGTCCAGTATCAATGAACCATTTTCATTTGGTAAGTAAAATAGCAATAATTAAGAAATCATCATTATAACCTTATTTTGTTCAGACCATATCTACACAGAACACAAAACTAACCAAGATATATACAATGGTTCAGTTTTACATTTGGTTAAATCAACTTTGGAAGGGTTTAACTCGACAATATTTGCCTATGGTCAAACCTCGTCAGGCAAAACCTACACCATGTTAGGTTCAGATTGCAGTGCTGGTATTATGCAGCTCGCCATTACTGACATATTTGACATTATTTCCAAAAATACCGACAGAAAGTATTTAATAAGGTGAGTTTGTGTGTGTTGTTTTATTTATAATAATTATTGTAATACTTCAGTGTTTGTTATATGGAAATATACAATGAAAAGGTAAATGATTTATTGGATATCACAGCAAAAGACTTGAGAATGAGAGAAGATAGACATGGGAACCATTTCGTTGCTGTCAAAGAAAGTGTTGTTATGTGCCCTACTGAAGTTTTCGATTTAATGCGACAAGGAAACAAAAATCGCAAGATTGGGTGCACAGACATGAATGAAAAAAGTAGCAGATCTCATACCATACTTAAAATTGTAAGTAAATCAAGTTCAAAGTCCGCCTAAACTATTATTGCCCACCATGCATTATTTGTTTGTAAACATTTGCTTTCTCATAAAAAAATTATACAGGGTTTAATTCTTCAATTAAATTAAGTCTTTTTTTAAATTAATTCAAACTTTTAATTTCAATTTAATTAGGACAAAAAATAGGTGAAGGTTATCCTTGGCCACCTTTAATTTATTTTTTTTAAATGCTTTATAAGTAAATATTAAAATAAAATATTGGAAGAAATTTAATTTAGAAAACATGTCCTAGTTTATTTTATAATAATTTTGCAAATCTGATATTTTTTTTTTATAATATGGTTGCTTTTTTACATTAGTTTACAAAGTAAAAACATTAACTAAATCATGAACTCAGTAAATGCAATAAGAATATTTTTAACTTATTAGATAATAATTCTGTTATTTTTAAGGTTTTAAAACAAATATAATTTTACTATTTTCATATTAATATTGGATGGTTTTGTCCAATTATGTTCAACCAGACCAAATCAATTGTTCTGGGTAAAATTGGACAAAATCAATTAAACACAAATGAAATTCAATTTTTTTTATAATTATATAAGGGTGTTATAAAAAACTTAAACAACAATAAAACATAAACAACTTAAACATTTTGTTGCTGGACTTAGCTCTTATTTAAATTTAACATTAGCAAATACTCAAAACAATATAAAATAAAATACATTTAACTTTTAAACAAAACCCTACCTAGTATAGAGTTTTTTGAGATACTTAACCTACATATAAAAGTAGTAGATTACCTATTATACTTTCTCTAAAAATGAATTAGTCAAAAATTACTAGTTACTACAGTTTTTCACTTATACCATGGTATCCCCAACATTTAACAGTCAATTCTTATTGAATCCGAAAATACCGTCATAAATTGTGAAAGTAGAGCAGTTTTTGAGATATAGTTAATTCCATATTATAAGGAAAATTGACTATATCTCAAAAACTGTTCTACTTTTATAACTTTTGACGACATTTTCGGATTCAGGGGACAATTTAACATGGAAGTTGACTGCTAAATGTTCGGGATACAATTTGCTATTGACGAGAATTATTAGTGGCTGCTTTTTCGCTATGAAAATTAGTCATTTTTGACTAATTTATTTTTAGATAGCTTTAATCATAATAGTAGTGGGTAATAAAAAATAAAATGCAGTTTTACTGCCACTGGCCAGCAAAATGTTTAATAAAAAAATAATAGATCATTAATAATTGTATATTGTAGAATTGAATTATTAATAAAAATAATCATTTTCAGTAAGTTATTTAATAAAATTTAATTTTGTCCAATATTGTCCAATTTTGACCACTTCATGGACGAAATCAAAAAAAGTGGACAAAAACACAACCCTGTAGCTTCTCCTAAAGCTTTACTTATCCTATTGTATACTGTATAACATTATTTAAAAAACTGGATAAAATTTGTTATTAAACTTCAAATGAAATAATTTATAAATCTCGAGTTTGTATTTTGTAAATTTGTAATAAGTATGTAAATTAATTGAAAAAATCTTATTTCAAAACAACATCATTTTTAGACAATTGAATCTACTTTAAAGAACTCTGAGTCGAATGCCTGTACAACAGCAAGCATCAATTTTGTGGATTTAGCCGGTTCTGAGCGAATGGCTCAAACTAAAGCTGAAGGAGCGCGTTTAAAAGAAGGCCTTCACATTAACAAGTCATTATCAACATTGGGTTTGGTCATAAAACAGCTGAGCGAACAAGAAAAGTTTATTAACTTCCGAGATTCCAAGTTGACAAAACTTTTACAAAATTCCTTGGGAGGAAATGCCAAAACCCTAATAATCGCAACGGTCACAGTGGTTAGCACTGATGAGACTCAATCAACGCTATCGTAAGTATAAGAGTTTTATTTATTTTTTTCATTTTTAAATTCTTTCAATTGGCTTCACTGTTTTTTAAAACTTTTGGAATTACTATCTTTCCATCAACTGATTTTTCTGAATAAGCATTCCGAAATTTCTTTTCTCCAAATCTTCGATTTGTTCTTCTTTTTCTTTCATGTTTTGAGTAATTTCTTCACTTAAACAGCTATTAAGGTTATCTATGGTTTCTTTATTTATTTCTATGGTTTCTTGAAGTTTTTTATAATTTTCTTTGTTGACAGTTTTATTGTCCTCTATTTCTTTATTAACTGCTTCAATTTTGTTGAGTAATTCGCGAATTTGTTGCTCATTTTCTTGATCTTTTAACAGCAAATCTTTCATTCGATTTTGATTAACTGCCATTTCTTCAAGGCATTCCTGAAGTTTTTGATCTTTTTCCGTCAAGTTGTTATTCAATTCTTCTATTTGCCTTTGATGAATTTCTTCTGTCTTTTTTAATATATATCTTTGATTTTCCTCTAATTCTTCATTCCTGATTTTGGTTTCATTTAGAATGTCTAAGGTATTTTTAAGTTCATCTTGAGAGAGTTGCAAATTTTTGTTTAAACCAGATATATTAGCCTCTTTGAATTGTATCTCAATATTTTTTTCTTCAATGGCTTTTTGTAAATCATTTACGTCTTCCTTTAATCGTTCAATGTCTTTTATTTGAAGAATATTATCTTCTTGCAGTTTGTCAAAACGTTCTTGAGTTTCTGTGTTAATTTGTAATTCAAGATTCTTCTCTTCTATAGATTTCTGTAGAATAATAATTTCTCTATTTAAATTTTCAATTTCCTCTATGTGATGATGTTTTGTCTTCTTCTTCTTTAGATAAATTCTCAAATAATTCGGTGTTTATAGAATTTTTATCGTGAATTTCACCGTTTTTCTCTTTGAGGGATTTTTGTAAATCTTGTGTTTCCTGTTTTAATTTCTGTATATCTTTATTTAGATTATTCACAATAATTTCTTCTTGATCAGCTGAATTCTTCTTTAGTGTTGTAAAATCATCCGGTGATCTATCAGAGGATACTTTTAAAGAATCAAGAGTTTCTACAGATTGTATTCAAAGATTTCTTCTTAGCTTCATTGATCTTTAACTGGATTTCATTGATTTCTTTGTTTTTAATTGCAATTTCGAATGATATTTTGCTATTTAATTTGGTTGTACTTTCATTGAAGTCCCGATTTTCTTTGTCTTGCTCCATGGCTGATATTTCGGAAAATAACCTTTCCATTTGGAACTTGTACGTTTTTATTTCCTTGCTTTCGTTTTCCAAGTTCAAATTTAAATTTGATGTTTCTTCAATTTTTTTGAGCTTATTTTCTTATTTGTATGTTTTTGCGTTTTTTCGGCAATTCTTTAGTGGTTTTATCAAGATTATCTTCATCTTGGAATTTAAATATTCGCATTTATTGTTCATTATTTTGATCTTCAATTTGATTTCTTCAAATACTCATTGTCTATAATTAATTAATGTAGGTTTGCGCAGCGGGCTAAAGCAGTTAAAAACAAGCCGATAATAAACAAGGTTGTGACAGACCAAGACAAAATAAAGCAATACGCCAGATTGAGTGCAGATTATAAAACGCAATTAGAGCAGGAACTGGCTAAAAATGAAGAACTGCAGAAAGAGACAAACGATAGAAATAAACTGATACAAGAGTTGGAGCAGAAATTAAACGCCATAGAGAGCTTCAGAGGCAAGAAAATCTCGAAAATCCCGCACAGGCGGCATACAATAAGTTTTCACGATGCGCCAAAGCTGGCACCTATTAGTCACCATATTAATAAAATTATCACGCCGCAGCTGCCTGTGAGATCTTTAAAAAGACAAGACGAGGATGTGTTCAAAAAACCCATCACGACCAGACCGCCAAGTTTGACGACGATAGGGGAAGATTGCGAATTTCCGATGTTTACCGATGAAGAAGCATGCGTAACGCCCAAAAAAGAGCAGCCGAATTTGTCGGAGAAAATCAGGGAGCTGGAATCGGATTTGTGCTTGAAGGATCAGAAGATTTTCGAATTGTCCGAACAAATATCCGAGCTGCAGAATAAAACGCCGAGAAGCACACCCAGTCACACGCCCTATAAAATTCTTAAGACGAGAGTGGCAACGTTGGAGGAGGAATATTCCGAGCTCAGATTGTTCACCAAACTGGAAGAGGAGTGCCGATCGGAGGTAATCATGGTAGTTATTTTTAATGGTGTAAATAATAAAACATTTGTTTTAGGCGGAGGAGAAAAGCTTTGAGGATTTGATGGAGTTGTATGGGGGGTTAAATAAGGAACATGAAAGTCTTAAGTATAAGCTCGAAGATCTTGAAGCTACCAACGAAATTAACGAGGCGAAAATAGCGGAATTGCAGAAAACTGTCACTGCCTTGACCACGAAAAATCACACTCTGACCAAGGAAAATGTGAGTTAATAATATCAGTAATTAATCAAGGTAATAATAATAATTGTTGTAGGCTAATTTGAAGTCTCATCAAGTCCAGATAGGCACGGATTATCAGGTGCTGCAGGAAATTCAGAACGAAAAGTTCAAGGAACGCGAAAAAATGCTGGTCAACGTGATCAACGAGCTGGAAAAGAAATCTGAAATACACGAATCATACACGAAACTCGCCAAAATAAAGGAAAACCTTGCCGAGCGACTCGAAAGTCACGCGAAAGAAATCGAGAAATTAAAAACGATAATTCAAGACAAAGAAAGAGAAATCAAGGAGAAGGATCAAATCATCCTTGAATACGACGAGAAAGCACTTGAAGAAAACGAAGAACAAGGTGAGGATATTGACTTTGAAGATTTTAGTTTTAGATTGCATATGCTAAAAGATATTTTATTAGGTGCAAACGTATCATCGCTAGACATATCATTTCATAAAATTCAAATTGAAGAAGACCAAAACAATGAACTGGAAATGCGTCTCTTTAAATTCCATGACGAAATTTATTCTCTCAAAGATAATCTCGACAAAACCACCAAAGAATTGGAGAAAGAACGCAAAAACAGACAAGACGTTATAAACGCATTGGAAAATAAGCTCAAAAAAATTGAAGAAACGTCAAATTTAAATTTGAACTTGGAAAACGAAAGCAAGGAAATAAAAACGTACAAGTTCCAAATGGAAAGGTTAATTTCCGAAATATCAGCCATGGAGCAAGACAAAGAAAATCGGGACTTCAATGAAAGTACAACCAAATTAAAAAGCAAAATATCATTCGAAATTGCAATTAAAAACAAGGAAATCAATGAAATCCAGTTAAAGATCAACGAAGCTAAGAAGAACTCTTTGATAAGAATAAACGAAAAAATCAAGTCTTTATTATTGCAATCCGTTAATATTCTTGATTCTTTAAAAGTATCCTCTGATAGATCACCAGATGATTTTACAACACTAAAGAAGAATTCAGCTGATCAAGAAGAAATTATTGTGAATAATCTAAATGAAGATATACAAAAATTAAAACAGGAAATAAAAGATTTACAAAAATCTCTCGAAGAGAAAAACGTTGAAATTCACGATAAAAATTCTATAAACACCGAATTAATTGAGAAATTAGCTAAAGAAAAAGAAAAAACTAATCATCACATAGAGGAAATCGAAAATTTAAATCGAGAAATTATTAATCTACAGAAATCTATAGAAGATAATAATCTTGAATTACAAATTAACACAGAAATTCAAGAACGTTTTGGCAAACTGCAAGAAGATAATATTCTTCAAATAAAAGACATTGAACGATTAAAGGAAGACATAAATGATTTACAAAAATCCCTCGAAGAGAAAAACGTTGAAATTCACGATAAAAATTCTATAAACACCGAATTAATTGAGAATTTAGCTAAAGAAAAAGACAAAACTAATAATCACATAGAGGAAATCGAAAATTTAAATAGAGAAATTATTAATCTACAGAAATCTATAGAAGAGAAAAATCTTGAATTACAAATTAACACAGAAACTCAAGAACGTTTTGGCAAACTGCAAGAAGATAATATTCTTCAAATAAAAGACATTGAACGATTAAAGGAAGATGTAAATGATTTACAAAAAGCCATTGAAGAAAAAAATATTGAGATACAATTCAAAGAGGCTAATATATCTGGTTTAAACAAAAATTTGCAACTCTCTCAAGATGAACTTAAAACTACCTTAGACATTCTAAATAAAACCAAAATCAGGAATGAAGAATTAGAGGAAAATCAAAGATACATATTAAAAAAGACAGAAGAAATTCATCAAAGGCAAATAGAAGAATTGAATAACAACTTGACGGAAAAAGATCAAAAACTTCAGGAATGCCTTGAAGAAATGGCAGTTAATCAAAATCGAATGAAAGATTTGCTGTTAAAAGATCAAGAAAATGAGCAACAAATTCGCGAATTACTCAACAAAATTGAAGCAGTTAATAAAGAAATAGAGGACAATAAAACTGTCAGCAAAGAAAATTATAAACAACTTCAAGAAACCATAGATAACCTTAATAGCTGTTTAAGTGAAAAAAGTGAAGAAATTAAAAGAATTATTCAAAACACGAAAGAAAAGGAAGAACAAATCAAAGATTTGGAGGAAAAAAATTTCGAAATGCTGAAAAAAGTCGAGTTATTTAGTTCTGAAAAACGCTTAAGCGAATCGTCGCAATGCGAACAAACTTTGCAGTATCTGAAAACCATAAGAGAACTATCAACTGATTTAGAAGAGAAAAGCCGGCAAATTGAGGGGTATAACGCAGCAATTTCCGGGTTAAATGAAAATGTAAGCAAACAGGAAGAAAAAATCAATGAAATCCTCGGCGAACTGACTGAGGAAAAAATCGAAGTTGAAGATTTGCTTCAGAAAAATCAGGAACAAGATAAGGACAAACAAGAGCTTGTGGAACGAATTGAAAAGTTAAATGAAAATATAAGCGAAATCCTTGGCGAATTGAGCGAGAAAAAAATCGAAGTTGAAGATTTGCTTCAGAAAAATCAAGAAAATGATAAGGCAAAACAAGAACTTGCGGAACGAATTGAAAAGCTGAATGCTGAAATGACAAACAATGAAATCAAACTGCAGGGCTACGAAAACGAAAAACGCGAGTTATTGGAACAAATTACAAATCTTGGTGCTAAAGTTAGCAGCACTGAAGGTGTGGTGATTGATGAAGAAAAAGATGTGCAATCTTTAGAAGACAAAAAAATGGTGATTCAAGAATTAAACACCAAAATTGAAGAACTTTACTCTATAATAGCTGATTTAAAATCCAAAAATCAAGAACAGCTTTCTTTAGAAAAACAATATCAAGAGTATAGTTCCACTTTGGAATTGAAAGTATCCCAATCACAGAGCATAATAGATGAACAAATAGAAGAAATAGAAAAATTGAAAAAGGAACTTACAATTCACACAGAACATGAAAGTAGGATTATCAAATACAAAACAGCACTTTGTAGCCATATGAAAAAAGTTGAAACTTTGGAAAAACAGCTTGAAGAAAAAGAATCTGAACTGGAAACCATTGAAGAGGAACGTGCAAAAAAAGTCAACGAATTATTAAACAAACTTTCAGAGGTTAAAAAGGCAAACGTGGATATGGGTAAAAAATATTCTGTGTACATTGAAGATTTGAATAAGGAAGAAAAAAAGGTTGCAAGCCTTGAAATCGAACTGCAGACCAGAGAAAACCACTGGAAAACTAAAGTTGCCGAGTTGCGTGAAAACGTAACCTACAACGAGCAGCTTTACAAGGCATATAAGGAAAAGTATGTGCAAAGTTCCAAAACCGAGGAAAGCTTGAGGAACGAAATTAAAAAGTTGCTCGATAAATGTACGGAAAAAGACGATCGAATCGCTGATTTAATGGACACCGGCAGGAGTCACACGCCTCAGGAGTTAAGGAAAATTAAGCGGCAGTCTTGGCAGGACAAAAATCGAGGCGACGTGTCCACAGGATGCGATTCTTGCAGGGATTTGGAGGAAAAAATTTTGGATCTCACCGAGCGTTTGGAAGGAAGCAACAGAAAGTTGAAGGAGACGGTGGAAAAGTTGGAATTCCTCGAAAACAGAAAATCTTTAAACACCAGCACATCAAAGGAACTGACGAAAGTTAGAAGACAATCCATCCATGACAAACATAGAAGTTTAAATAGTTCTTTCGGTAAATAGTTCAAATAAATATATTTTTTTGGATTAATGATTTTAATTTCAGAATGTGACAAGTGTGAGAAAGAAATACCAAGACTAAAGACTTTACTGGAGGAAAAAGACAAAAATTTAACCGATTTATTGAATGAAAATCATAAAAATAAGAGTGAAATTGATAATCTACAAGCAATTTTGAAAAATAGTACAAAAGGTGGGCTATCAATTTATATTTTTATATTAATTATTAACAAGAAAATTTTAGATTCGCAGGCATTGAAAAATTGCCTAAATTGTGTCGAATTAAATTCAAAGATATCCCAGCTCCAACAAGGTAAAAATTATTTATTTGTTTGCAATTCATACATTACATATCATCATTTTTTTAGAACTCAAAGCAGAATGTGATAGATCTGACGAAATTAATAATGTGTATGAGGAATGCAAAGCGGTATTCCGTAGATACAAAAAAAAATATCCCATAAAATCTGAAGGACCTTGTGATGACTGCGAGGCCTTGAAAACCAAAGTAAAAGGAATGGAATCAGTTTTAGACCTAAATACCAAACAAATTGAAAGTTTAGAACATAAGGTAACTAATAATTTACAGCGTTTAAAAAGTGTTTAATATTTTTTTTAGTTATCACAAAAAAATGAATGCCAGGACTGTATCAAACTGAATTCCCAAATTTGTTCTCTATCCAGGACCGCAAAAGAAGGTATTTTTAATTTTTAATTGTACTGTTTTTTTTTTAAACTTTATTTTCAGAACTTGAAGAAATGAAAACCAAATTTGAACAGAAAGACAAAAAGTACCAGGAAAGTAAAAAATATATTCTTCATTTTAAAAAAATAGCTGAATCTAAAACTTGCGACTGCAAATCAAAATATGAACCCCTTTTAACTGAAAAGACTGAAAAAATAGATGAGATGGATAAACAATTAAATGTAAGGTATTATATTATATTGTTTTTCCCATTCTAAATAATATTTTTCAGAACCTTAGCGAACAGAAAGAAACTCTCGATCAAAAATGCAAAAACCTTACCAAAATTTCTCGAATGCGTAGACAAGAAATCATAGTGCTTAAAGGGAAATTAGGTATGGAAGTTACCGAGGAAGCCGTTTAGAAAAGCGTTGTTTTGCTTATGTTAGTTTTATTTTTTTTATTACATTTTTAGTCAATATCGTTACTGTGATCTGTATTTTATTAGCATAGGTAATTTATTTTACTAAATAAATAAATTTTTAAATATAATTAACATTTTTCATGGCAAATAATACTCAAAAGCAGCCTACAAAGTTTTAAAAAAATTTAAAAGCTAAGCTAACTTCAATGGTTAAAAAAAATTATAAATTCTCGTATTTTACGATATCTCGAAAACTAAAAGTGATATGTCAAATTTCTTTTTAGTTTATTCATCTGCATGGAAATGCGCAACTTTTCCCAAATTTAACCGACTATTTATTTCTAAAGATCTTATCGATAAGCTGCCTTCAAGAGTTTTTATTAAAAATTCTTGTTTTTTTACGATATCTCGAAAACTAAAAGTGATATGTCAAATTTCTTTTTAGTTTATTCATCTGCATGGAAATGCGCAACTTTTTCCTAATTTAACCAACTATGTATCTCTAAAGATAAGCTACCTTCAAGAGTTTTTTAAATAATAATTAAAAATTCTCGTTTTTTACGATATCTCGAAAACTAAAAGTGATAAGTCAAATTTCTTTTTAGTTTATTCATCTGCATGGAAATGCGCAACTTTTTCCTAACTTAACCAACTATGTATCTCTAAAGATAAGCTACCTTCAACAGTTTTTTAAATAATTTTTAAAAATTCTCGTTTTTTACGATATCTCGAAAACTAAAAGTGATAAGTCAAATTTCTTTTTAGTTTATTCATCTGCATGGAAATGCGCAACTTTTTAATAATTTAACCGACTATTTATCTCTAAAGATAAGCTACCTTCAAGAGTTTTTTAAATAAAAATTAATTTTTTTTGTTTTTTTACGATATCTCGAAAACTAAAAGTGATATGTCAAATTTCTTTTTAGTTTATTCATCTGCATGAAAATGCGCAACTTTTTCCTAATTTACCCAACTATGTAGGTATCTCTAAAGATAAGCTACATTCAACAGTTTTTTAAATGCAAATTAAAAATTCTTGTTTTTGACGATATCTCGAAAACTAAAATTTCTTTATTAGTTCATTTGTAGGCATGAAAATGCGCATTTTATCCTAATTTAACCTATTTACTATGTAACTCTAAAGATAAGCAAGATACCCATGCCTAGCCTCGAAAAACGAACACCCTGTATATAAAATATAGAAAAAAGGTAATGAAACAGGCCGAATTTCAAAAATAGTTTAAACTTGACATGAAAAGTATTATTTAACAAAATAAATAAACGTTTATAAAAGTATAAAGTGATAAAACCCATAAAAAAGTAAAAATTTGCTGTTAAACATAACCTCAATGTTTTTGACGTTTATAATTGGCCATTTCAGTAGGTAATACGTTTATCTCCTATCGGTATTACAGGTAGCCAAAATACCAAACGCTGCTTTTGAAAAGCATAAAAAGATTAATTAAACTTTCGCTATTACTTTATGTGAATAATAAAAATAATAATGATAATTTTTAGGATTTTTAAAATCTTATTGAATTATTATGCACCTGTTGCGAAAGAACACGTAACCTTCGGTAGTGAGAGGCTCACCGCGCATGCGCGAATGGTAACGTGTTTCGGTATTTGTTGGTGAGTTTGATGTTTTCATCTGTTGTATGGTTTTTCTTAAATTAAATGATCAATTTTCGTTTCCATAAAGATGTAGGATTTATGTTAAAAAAATGTACAAACTTGCGTCATTTTCATTAGTTGTTATCATTTCTATTGCACTGATTTTTGGACAAGTTATACAGGAATTGCCTCATTGCAAAGATAAAAACACTGCAGGGTAAACAACGCAAAAACTGTCATAATTTTTGCTTATTCGTGTTGTTTTAGAACGATACTGGTCAGTACTTTAGATGGAAAAGTAACTGCGTTAAATTTAACAGGTGAATTACTATGGGAGGTTGCAACTGGACCAGGGCCGTTGTTAGTCTCAAATATACATAATTTAGAGGTATAGCAATATTAAAAAATCCTTTAGGCTTTATATAACGATATTTATTTTAGCTAACAAACAATGGAGAATACATTAAAATTATACCGTCACTATCAGGGACATTATACAAATTTGATCTTAATACAATCGATCCCATACCAATAACAGCTGAAAGCCTATTAAAGTCGTCTTTTCGGTACTCTGATGATCTCGTTATTGCCGGTACATAAAAAATACAAAATGAAAGTTCAACACTAACATATTACTTTCGTTTCAGGAGGCTACGAGGTTAGAACTTATGGAGTTGGTTTTGAAACAGGGAAAATTTTGTACGAGTGCAGTCAGCTTAAGTGCGAGAAAGATCAACACACTAATTACGAGGATGTTATTATGGTGGAGAGAAATACACAAGTTATAAGGGCAGTGGAACCAAAAACTGGTCATGAAAGGTATTTATTGTAGTTTAGAAAATATTTAACCAATGAAAATGTAAGACAATAGCAGCTTTCATTTAAACTGTTATAGGGGTGGTTATTTTAAGTACCTATAAAAAATTTAATTTCTTTTCTGGATATCAGGGACATGCGCAATACGAAAATTTGTTGTGATTTTACTATTGCGCATGTTCCTGACCTGCCTATTAAGTTTTACTAAGTAGTCGCGCCAATTTTTTTTACTAAGTAGTCGCGGGAAGAAATTAATGCCAATATTTATATACAAACCATTCAAAATGTAAATATAGATTTATAAAAAATACATGCAATCAAATATATATTTTATTTTATTAAGATACAAAAGTATACTCAAAAACAAATGCAACACAAATAAACAATAATGTAAATAAACTGAATAAAAATATATTAATAAATTAAGAAATATTCTAAAATTTATCAATTATTAATGAGCAATAAATTAGGGTGTCATTTATTTCCCAAGTTGATTTTTTTTACTTTGGTATCATCTAAATTATTTTTTTTTTGATGTCCTGAATGATACCTACTTAATTATTTTATGTATTTAAAGTTTGACCTACAATATCATTTAAATGGACTTTTTAGAGAAAAACCCTAAAAGACCTTTTTTGTAGAGCAAAAAATTTCCCATAAAAATTTGTCTTGTGTATTGTGACATGTTCATTAATAAGCAAGCTATGAAGTTTTTATTATGTAATAAATAAAAATGAAAATTTCATCATTTAAGAGTTAAACAAAATCTTATTTTTTTTTAAATTAGTTTATAACTGTAAACAAATAATAATTGAAAAACACTATTATAGGTATGTTGCAGAAAAATAAATAGTCCTAATTTTCAATCAATTTAATGAAATACCTATGAAATAAGTCATATAATATTTAGTTACTGTTTATATTGTATCACCTGATAATTGAATTGTGTTATCAACTAATAAACATAAATATATATTAAAAAATTACATTTTTAAATTTTATGGTAATTTTTGCGAATTAGTTTAAAAGACTTTAATTAAGTTCAGTTTATGTAAAAACCTAAAAAGTCACAAATTACACAATGTGACATACTGCAAAAACTTTGCTAATTGGTTGTGGTTAATTTAGGATAAAAAATAACTTATTGATCAAAACTTGGTAAAAAAAATGAAAATAAGTACATAAATAAATAAAATATAAATTTGGGTGGGTTTCAAGCTTTTTATCATGCCTACATTTATTAATTTAAAATAAATAAATATGATTTACATAAAAATATTTTTTTTTATGTTTTCAAAATTACATACCTAAGACAAAGGAAATAAAAAAAATTTCATGAAAATCATGACAATAAAATGCACAAAAAAACACTTACATTTGGTTGCACAACTCTCACCAAACTAAACCAACTTATTAATAATAAGCTGAGAGTGGAGTATGAGTATAAACTGACTGTAGAGGGCGAAAAATTCAAATGTTAAACTGATTTTAGGTGGAATTTCAGCGTAGGACTAAATAACGTCCACATAACAGCCCTTTCGTGTGTCGATAAAACAAAACCGGTAGATCTTAACATCACGGCCATTTTGCCGGAGGGCATTCTTAAGGCGGCCGGTAAAAATTTCAATTGGCAATACAAATTCGATACTCCCATCGTAAGCGTTTGGAAGTGGGATGGACAAAAGTTCACTGATGTAAACTTGTTCGCCCCTAAAAACGTTCCTAGCGCGCTGTCGCCCAATTTTGCGCCCGCCATATACATAGGGATGCACAAAAAGCAGCTGTACATCCACGAGTCGGTTGTGATGCAGAATATCCTGCAAGGCAAGGGGAGCAACGATGTGGTGGTGGTCGAGTCTAAAAGTATAGCGAAAATCCCTTGGAAGCCCGTACCGGCAGTTGATGAGGATACAGAGGAGGGCGTTACAGGGCTGTCCGTGTTACACAGCTCCGCATACGTAGACGGCAAGGGATTTTTCTTGTACACCGAATCGGATTTAAAAAAGAAAAACAGCGCGTATTGCGAGAAAAACCATTCGGTGCCGGCCGCTCCGGATTTAACGTCGCAAGAAGAGGATATAGTCGAGTACGCTTTAACTTGGTGGAAGGAGTTCATTTTAATAGCGGTAACAACTGTGATTGTCAACGTAACTTTGAAGTATTGGACGCGCGCGCCCAAAAAGGAAGTCATTTATGTCGAACGGCAAATTGAGGTTCCTACAGTCGAACGAAGGACTTCGGAGCGCGAGTCCGATTTGGAAGTTTTTCAGTCGCGCTATTTGCAGGATTTCGATACGGTTCGTTGTTTGGGTAAGGGGGGTTTCGGGGTTGTTTTCGAAGTCAAATCCAAAATCGACGAGTGTTCTTACGCCATCAAAAGGATCACTCTGCCGTACGAAACCAAGTCCAAGGATCGCGTAATGAGGGAGGTTAAGGCTTTGGCCAAGCTGGAGCATCAAAATATCGTGCGATATTTTTATTCGTGGCTCGAAAGGCCACCAATTGGCTGGAGGGAGGATCACGATAAAAACTACGTTGCGTAAGTCTTTTCAACCAAACAAAAAATAAGTAAATACATTTATGATTAAAATTTTAGCGACACCACCAATACAGGCGGTTATTCGGCGTACAAAACCAAAACAAGGACCGAACCGTCGCATCTGCGTAAAAAGTCCGCATCCATCAGTATTGATATACCAGGGTATAAAAAAGACGAATCTCTTAGTTTTATTGATGAAACAAACGATGACGATTCGTTTATTGTCTTCGGCAGCGCTTCCAATGAAGGGCAAGTCGAGTCTTCTGCTAGCTCGACGAAAAATAGTTCGGAAACTATTTGTTCCGACTCCACCAAATCCACCGGGGTCAATATGAGCGATCATGTGAGCAAAAAAATTAACTGGCGCAAGCCCAGTAGAAAACATCACTCGTGGGATAATGCCGACTGCATTATCCAACAACCCACGTTTTTGTACATATTAATGGCTCTGTGTAAACAAGAAAGCCTTAAAGAGTGGCTGATTAACAACCAAGAAAGAAATTATGAGTTTTCTTTGAACATCTTTATACAAATACTTAACGCTGTTGAGTACGTGCATCTCAGAGGTTTAATACATAGAGATTTAAAGGTAAATCGCACGCCTATAGAATAACGAAAATAAACTAAGTACCTGTATATGTTTTAGCCGAGCAATATTTTTTTTGCTCTCGACGGCCAAATCAAAGTCGGCGATTTCGGTTTGGTTAAAGACGTTGAGGATTCTCTAGATGAGACCAAGAAGAATATAAGTCTTATTTCCAATGGTCATACCATTGAGGTGGGAACGCAGCTTTACATGAGTCCCGAGCAATTAAAAAACGGAAATTACGACTATAAAGTGGACATTTATTCGTTAGGATTAATATTTTTTGAATTACTCGTGCCATTTTCCACTGATATGGAACGGTTTAAAATTTTGTCTCAGCTTAGAAAGGGCGAATTTCCGTCGTATTTTAAAGATAAATTTCCCAATGAGGTAAGAATATTTGAGGTGGAATTTAACATTTAATAACCGGATGATGTTTTAGTATAAAATACTCAAGGAAATGTTGTGTGAGGATCCTCGAAAGAGACTCACTACAATAGGAATCCGTTCCAAGCGTCCTTTTGAAGAAATATCCAAGGTTCAAGATCTATATAATTTACCCAGTCTCCAAAAAAATTAGTTTTACGGCTTCTTTTTATTTTTTTACTGTGATTTTCTAGTAATAACACTTTTTTTTAAGGATTTGCTCTTTAAATAAACTTACGACTTACGTCTTGTGATATATAAGAGTACATTCCGAATTCATTTTGACTTGTATGTTAGAATTAAGACTTGATAGTATTTAAGTTGTTTTTAAAATAATAATAATTGTTTTTGAAATAAAGCCCTCAATAAAAATCGTATGTTTTTTATTTGTTTTAAACAAACCTGATAAAACATATAACACCTTGTGCTGATACATTCTATAGCATAATCTTTATATATTAAAAACAATATTAGAATGAAGTCACACAACTGTATTGTTTTGGTCTTTATGGATTACATAATAAATAAATAAAAATAGTATTTATGTATGTACGCTTTAAATATGTATATAATTATATAGTATATAAGAAGGTTATAAATAAATAGGTGGTATGACTTGATCCTAACCACTAAAACCTAATTTGTATAAAAAATTGTCTATATGAAAAAGATTATAAAAGAAATTCACACATGTACATACGGGGTATGTATAAAAGTCTATCAAACCCAATACTGGTTCCTACGTAGCATAATATTTTTGCTGGGACAGGGCGGTTCCGATGCGTCACAACTACTCCAATCATCTGGATTCTCCTCCACTCCATACGGATAACAAACATTCGAATCTAAGTCGCTTCTACTCAAAGGCGTCACTTTGCATTGGGGCAATGCTGTGGACAAAGGGGTGGAAAAACCATCCATGTGCTGTTTCAGAGGGGGCGATGAAGACATTAACCTATCAGGTGGTCTAGGTAGAGGTATAGGTTGCATGCACTGTTCCTCTTTGTTTAGCTCCTCCACTTCCAGGGATCTGCACTTAATTATTATGATAACTGCTATTCCAAGAACGATTACTCCAACCACCATACTAACTGTAAAATAAAACAAAATTAAAACAAACGTACTTATTTCATTTAATTACCTTACCTATGAGTAAATAGTCTCTGGTCATGTTGGGACTAGCAAGATGAAGACCACCTTCGTGGCCTGCTGGGTCGCTAGGTCCAGCCAGGGTTGAATAAATTTCGTTATCCAATGAGGATCTTATAAATATTTTGAGCTCACCAATCGCTGGCTGGAATATACTGGCGGCCAGCATAAACACCAACCTATCCTGCAAACCGTTCCAAGGTATCTCGACATCTTTGACTTGTAAGTAAATAAGACCACTCTGTATGTCTTCGTGGGAGAAACTGGACACAGCCGTATCCAATATATTTGTTTTCTCCCCCGAACTCCTTATTATTTTCCTGATTTGCCCATATTGAGGTAGATTTAACACAGTATACCTAGAGTTACTGTTCAACGTTAGTTTCGTCAAAGGTGTGGCGTCCAGTACATTTAAAGTTAATTTGTTCAATTCGCCTGCTAGCACAGTAAAATTATGGATCTGCATTAAAGGCTGTACCTTCATAAACACCTCAATTTCGTTTCCATAGGAAGCATCTCCTGATTTAATTTCCCCAAATACTTTGAAAGTATCATTGGCGGTCGTCATATCTGTTTGCAGGTACATAACACTTACATCCCTTATATCCTCATGGGTGAAAGAGGTGACAGGATTGTCTTTTACATATAATACTCCATGTTTAGGTGGTACTTTTATCGTATACCTAACTTTATGTTTATCCGCGTTTGTTTCAATAAAGAATTGGTTTTCTGAAAGGAACACCACATCTGAGCCTTGCTGAATTAAAACAGGAAGTCCTGGGGTGATGGTTATGTTAATAGGTATCACCATTATGTTAAATAGAGTGAATTCCGGTCTAAACTTTTCGTCCCACACTCTAAAATGGAACGAATCCTTTAATACTGAGCCTTCATGCATATAAATCAATCTGTTATCATCGATATCGGCTTGTGTAAAGTACATTGTAGGTTCCCTATCGGGTAATAAAACTAATTTCCCATGCGAAGGGGCCGATATCAATATATACTTTAATTTTGCCGGGGGCGTATCGGCATCTTCAGTTGCCAACTCCTTTCTGGTGATTGTGTGATTCTCCCCTTGCACAACAGTCAGACTTGGAGCCGGGGTAATCAAATGAAACGGTTGATCGTTTATAGGGTTAATAATTACAGGCACAGTAATATTGCACAAGATAACGTAACCGGGTAGCAAATACAAAGAAAAATGTAAATTATCACCCAAAGAATCGGAATGATCGTGCTCGTAATACACCTGGCCGGACTCTAACTGTTGTTGCGTAAAAGTCGTAAAAGATTGGTTATTTTGCAAAAAAACTTGTCCATGCTGAGGCTGACTTGCAGCTGCGTGTATTATTGGCGCCCTTAAACCAGCATGGCTTTCCAAAAAGGTTACAACTCCAGATAAGTTAAGTATTATGTTGGTCATTGCTCCTTCATCTAAAGCTATTTTGGGGATGTTCACGTAAGCGTCTAGACCACCAGATGAGACTGAAATATCGATTTTAAACACCCGATTTAATAACTTTGGTGCTAAGTGAGCTTTCACGTTGAAAACAAAAGAGTCGTTTGCGTACAAATCCGAGAACTGATGGGTGTGCTCATAATAGACTCTGCTGTTATTTAAATCTTCTTGTGTGAATGCTGAAACAACTTTGATTACGCCTCCTGTGTCCATCATAAGTCTTCCAAGCGATGGGGGTGTGGTTATTTCATAATGAGCCTCTCTTTCGGGATCGGAGATAAATGTGTATAGATTTGTCGCCGATATATATTTTCTCTGCAAAGGGAATATGTGTAAGGCGTTGCTAGTTAACTTGACTTGCACTGGTTTGGTTTTGATTAGAAACATGTAGTCTTTTGTTGTATGAACGCCGTCACTGATGTTGAACTTGAAACGACCCTCGGTACCATCTGGAAAAAGCAATGTTAATGAATGCCATGTTTTGTTAAGTTATTCGTACTTACTTTGATGTTTGAAGACCACCATTCCTTTATTCAGTAGGTCTTGTGTGAAGTAGTTTATTGTGGAGCTGGATTCTGATAGCAGGGAGACAACTCCCCACCAGCAAGTTTGTACGTGGTACTTTAATGTTTCTGGAGGTTTATCTTCATCAATCGCGCCTAAAAACACAGTATTAATACTATTTTTGTTTAAGTTTAGGTTTAGGATGTTACCAAGCATTTTGTTGGTGATAACAGCGACCCCTCCTTCCCACATCGTCAATCCAGTATTATTAATCAACTTGGGTTTTTGATTATTCAAAGGAACAACATTAATTTTCAATACAACTGGAACGCTCTTCTTTTGATCAGATTTTGCTATTATTTCAATTTCGTCTTCGTGGTTTTCACTCCCTTGGTGCTGGTATTTTATGACGCCAGCAGTCAGTTCTTTTTGAGCAAATAGGTTAGTTTTGATGCAGTGCTTATGGACTTGTACACAGCCAAATTGAGGCCCTTTTGATATCATGTATGAAGTTATTTTTGATTTGTAGTAATCAGTCAGTACGTATATGTGACTGTTTGTTATAACTGACACGCCGCCTTCTTGAACTACAAGATTCGTGGTGGCCATGTAAATTTTTTCCGGGATTATTTCGATTGTTATTCTAATATTATTATGCCAGACTATGCCGTTGGTGACATTGAATGTTATTCTATCTTTTGTTTGATTGCTTCCAGATTGTATGTAAAGTATTTTGTTTTCGTTCACCATATCCTGGCTAAACGATACCACATTTATGGGTTCATGGCTATTTTTTACATCCGACAATATAGTTATGTATCCATGGTCAGGCATTTCGTTTATATGGTATACTATCGATGAAGCCGGAACGTTATTTTGCGTAACTTCTAAGATTTTTTTCGTTATAAGAGCACTTGTTGATTCTTCTACTGACAATTTTTTAGCGTTTTTCACTTGCAATGGTTCCCAGTAGATTGAAGGCAATATCCATACACCTAATTGAGCTACATTAACAGCATCTTTGCATCTGACTCTTATGTAGATTTCATCTGCATTTTCGTTGTTTTTTGAATGTTCGTTCAGGTAACTAACTCTTCCCATGTTGATGTCTTCTTGCGTAAAATTGTCCAATCCCTGAAATATTATATTAGTAGAAAATAACAGTATTTTTGGAATATTACGTACCTTTAATGATTTGGTAAGTATTATTTTTCCTGAATGAGGTCGGGTGACAACTTCATAAAAAACATCGCTGTCGCTAGCATATAAATTCGTGGAATATTGTAATTGTTCATTGGTTATGACAGCAAATTTATTTTGCTCCACTATGATTTTTTTCGTTAATACAGCATGGATAAAAGGAGCGGACGCTTGTATTTCCAAAATTCCGTTAACGTAGAATTTACCGTCGTTTATCGTGAGCTTCACTTTACCATACTCGGGTCCTTTGTGCTTGAAAACTATTTTATTATTGTCCAAATCTTCTTGCGTGAACTCCGTGATTTTTGTACTTTGGTTTTTGATATTGTAAAAGTCGCCGTTGGGTGATTCCCGGCATGTATAAGAGATAGAAGACGATAAGGTGCCCAAGTCTAGATCTGTATATCGTAGATCGTTGCCTGTGACAACTCGTTCGCCACCCACCACAATGTGGAAAACTTTGTCAACAGCTCTGGTCGGGCTGTTGTCATTTCTTAACTCTACGTTTATGTGGAGAGTTTCCACAAACTCAAAACTCTGTTCGTTTGGTGATAAGGCTAAAAATTTAAAGTGATCTTTAATCGTTTCCGAATTGTCGTGAACATAGTACAGCATGTTGCTCGTTATCTCTTGGATGGTAAAGAAATCTGTGTTGTTTTTTACAAGTTCGCCTTTCTTAACTAGTAGGTAACCATGTTTTGGTTTCTCGGTTACATTAAAAAATATTTCTTTAAGAAAATCGGTTTTTAAATGTAAATGACTTGAATCTATAAGCGATGTGGAACCTTCCTCCACATTTAACGTCCTTAGATTTACTTTAACTTTTGATTTTAAGTCGTTTGAAGGGAAATATTTTATGGTTATGTTGCCCGTAACGTTATTACATCCAGGCGATAGCACTACGAATGTAAAATTATCCTCAATAACGGAATATCCCCTTTGATGTAACTTGTATTTGATATTCTGCGATGCCAAATCTTCTTGCTTAAACATATCACATGATCTGAGTCGATATTTCGATAGGGCCGAAAATAAGAAGCCATAAATCGGAGGCTTAACAATCACGTAATCTATGGATGTTAATGTTTTCAACGGATGCGTTTCGAAAGATAAGTGATTTGTTGTTACGGCTGTCTCCCATAAGTCGTTCAACGAAATTGAGTTGGAATTTATCTTTTGGAGCGTGCATTTTGCGAAAGTTAAACGAAACGTGTAGATTGAGCTTTTGTCAAATGAAGTTTTAAACTGAAAATGGTATATTAAATTACGTTGATAGTTTGTTTGTTAAACTTACTTGGAATTCGTCAAAGTCCGGTTTGGAGTTGGTGTGCTTGTATCTAACTCTGTGTTGTTTTAAATCGTTGCTGGAGAAAACATCGGATATTTCCCACGAGTTTCCATATTTCTCGACCTCTATTACGCCATAATGCGGCTTTTTCACAATGCTAAATTGGGCACGGTAATCAACATTTCCAACGTTCGAGGTAAAACTTAAATTCTGCGGAGTTATAACCGATGAAGTTTGATGGAGCACAACCAATCCAGTGTTGTTCTCCAATCTCCAATATTGGGGCGCTATCGAAACGCGGACTTTGTAAATTTTGCTTGTTTCGATGCCGTCGGATATTTGAAGGGATATATAGGAATCGTTAACGCCCGAACTGCTTTTATCGAAGTACATGATTTTTTCTTTGTCGACGTCTTCTTGCGTAAACGATGTGATTTTCGCGCCCGGCTTTCGCAAGTTCTCGAAGTAACCCGTTTCCGATTTCAGAATGTTGAATACCAACTGCGAAGCTGTATTGTCTGGATCCAAGGCGTTCAGAACGTCGCCCGTTATCAGCTTTTTTGTGCCCTACAATTTCATTCGAATAAATTTAAACTTTTTAAACAACTTTTTCGGTTATCTAGTTACGATAAGTTTTTAAAGTGAAACTTCTTAAGCGAGGTTTAAGTCCGAAAAATTAAAGGGTCAAGGAAAACATGAAACGCTTTTAAACGCCTATAGGGTATGGGACCAGCTCTACTCTAAAATAAAAGTACAAAAGAAAACAGCAAACAAAAATACTTGAGACTTTGCCTCTTAAATGTAGATCCGAAACGTTTCTTAGACGAAGAAGCAAGTTTCGATTGTGAGAACAGGTCTTCTTGTTGCTAATCGACCACAACAAAATGAACCAAGGGCAAGTGGTAGTGGTGCAAGTCAAAATAAAACCACTAAACATAGATTTGTATACGATAATTGTGGAAGGCGGTTTAGAAAACCTTAATGCTAAAGAGAATCATTGACATTAGAAAACAAACAATCAGTGGAAGTTTTAGGCATCGGCAAGGTTCATGAAGAGATATGTCAATGGACAGTGGAAGACCACTCAACTACATGGTATGTTTGTGTGTTGCGATTTTGCGAAGAAATTTATTTCAGAAGGTGTAATAATTCGGAAATGTTATACTGTTATCAAGAAAGATACCAGCGCTTTAATTTACAAAGACAATACCGTCTGCAAAAATAACAGAATACAGTATATATGAGTTAAAGATAAAGACAGTGGTCTCAGATACTTGTCAATTGGTTCATAATAACCAAAGTGACATTAAAATGGGACAAGTTGAAATACTGTAAAAGATGTCACTACAGAGTTGAAAACAGAAACCTGAACATGAACTGAAAGAGGTTAACGAAAACTGGTCCTTGGTCTGTAAGGAAACCTTACAAGGATAGGAGCCGAAATCTACTTGAGATAAAGAAACTCTTTCTGAGATAGGGTAGGGTGTCAGATCTAGGCATAAAACTTTTAGTGTAATCAAATATATAATGTTTGATAATGAAGAGTGCAATCTTTGAAATTTTAAAAAATTGCAATAGAAAATAATCATTATTATTAAACTCGATTCCGATCATCTCCTTTGGAAGTTTCACTTTAATAGTATGCATATAAAGGTGATATAAACGGACTAGGACTCACCTTTCTAATATTTTAGGTATAATCATGCCATAATTAGAGCAAATTCCTATCAATCAAATAAAATAAAATTAATATATAAAAAAACTAACGGCATTCCAAAATATGTTAAGTCTACTGAAAAATAAGCATTCAAAAAGTGGGCAAACAGTCAAAGGGCGTGCATAAATTTGAATGAATTACCTGTACGACCCTTAAGACGGTGGAGTCGTTAATTTCGAGAGTAGGAGGGTCGTTTTTGAGGAGGATAGTGGCCAGCAGGCTGAATCGGAATTTTCCTTGTAGGTAAACGGGCAGGATAAAAGTGTCGGCTGGGGAGAATTCGACCTCGAGGACCATGGAGTCGTGCGTGTGTTCCGATCCGTCGTGAACGTAATAAACTTTATCGCGCCCAATGTCTGATAACGAGAAGGCGCTCTTCTCGTGAGGCCAAATATCGATTGTGACGCTTCCGTGTTCAGGCCCTTCGACAATAAAGAAGTTGATCCCCGTATCCTTGATGCCGTACTTCTGATAATCGAGGATCATATGCAAATTATTCGTCGTGATTATTTGATTTTCTCCCTCGACTACTTCGAGCGGTTCGACGGCTAGCAACTCCAGTTCCGTGGCCAGGCTATTTTTAGAGAACACTTTATATCCTTCGGTGTAGTTAACCTTTACGCACAAGTCCTCCTTGCAGTGGCACTGGAAGGAGTCCAAGCCCTGCTGGACGCACGTCCCGTTATCGTTGCAAGGATTGTGCAGGCATGGATAATTCCAAATGCATCCCGGAAGTATGCCTTCGGTAACGTGCGCGTCTGGCAGGCCTTTTCTTACGTCCATCGACTTGAAGTTCCGGATGCAGCCTTTAAAACTAATATCACATTTTCTACAACCTTTCGATGATGCTCTATATCGTTTATTAACTTCCATCCCGCCTAAATAGGAACTGTCGGTAAATTGAAAATTATGACGCAACGTGTTCGATTCGCTAAACTTTTTCTCGTCCACTATCAATTCCACTGTACTCGGCGTCGAACGGAAAACCACTTTGTGCCATTCCCCATCCGATACCTCCTCCAAACTATAAACCTCCACACTTTTCTCGTGTATTTTCATCGTGGCTCGAACACTACGATTCGCCAATTCCAACGAAAAATATTCTTGCTTCGTACTTTTGCCGGTGTTGTAAAATAATAACCCGTCTTGAGCAATGGTTTTTAATTCGAACGTTATTTTGATTTCTTTGTTTTGAATTTTCTGAGGTATCACAACGAACGCATCGTCTTCCACAAAACTAATCGGCCTATCTACATTCGCTTCGAATTCCGCGGCGCAATTCCACGTAACACCCTGTACAGTCGCTTGCGACTGCCTTTGTCTCGCCTGTTCCAACACCGTAACTCCATTATATTTCAACTAACAAAAGTTATCGGTCAATTTCACAGAACCCTTAATATTCAATTATCAGTTATTTATGTCATTAGGCCAAGAAGTCAGTCTTTTTGTGCTGAGCTAAGTTTGAGGCAAGCACAAAAAAAACCTTCTTGTCCGAATGACATTTCTTCAATCTTAAATCGGTCTATAAATTTGCTAAACGTATATTATTATAAGTAGATCAAATTTTTGATTGGTCCAAACGCGGTTACTAGCCATTTTGTTTCGCGGTCTTATTGGACCTCATCAGTGCTGGATAGCCGTGGCGTGTAAGCATACTAGAAACCCGCTCCCAAGAGCCTCATACAGGCAACAATAAAGTTTTATTTATAGACCGAATAAAGATAAAATATTATTTACCTCTGATAGACATCCCCTAAATTTACCGACGTGCCCGAAGAACATGTCGGAATTGTTCCTACTTTTGTGATCTCCAATAAATAAACCATAATGTATGTTTAACTCGAAAAATTTTCCTGGAAGATGCTTTCTACAAAAATAAATTAACCTCTCATTGTTAAATTACGTAAAACAATTGTGCACAGCATTTTTTTAAACGAAAGCTTTGTTTGGAACAGCTTTTTTAATTAAAAAATCTCATTAATATGCAACGATTTAAGCATTTCTATTTTTAATTTGAACACAAAATTAATTAAAAATATAAAACGCAGAGCAAATTTATTTCGTTCGTTTATTTAATTGGTGATTCTATCTATCTAAAAACCCCCGCTTTATTTTTAATGAGGATTTTCGTTCCCTGTACCGCACACATATTTATTTTAATTGCTACAGCTAAATCTAATATGTATACAGGGTTGACGCTTTTTTGTTGACTAACAAATATGTGAAGTAATTTTTTATCAAAACTCTAAAATAAGAGAGCCTTTTATGGCCGCCAAGATCTCCGGATCTAAATCTAAATGTCTATTTTATTTCTCCGCTGTTACTATTTGTTTTTAATCTAAATTATTACATAATATTTATAAGTTGTTTATATTTATTAAAAATTCGCTGATTCGATTTATTGCAGTTTTATAGGCCATTTATAACGTTTACCATTATTTGAAGTTTAGTTAACTAACGTATTATTATTATTGTTTGGTGGTGATACATGTAAGTAGTTTTGACAATAATGACCTTGAATATACTCTATTCCCATGTGTTATTTTTAAAGCATTTATCTTTTATCAGAGATCTTTTAAGTGTCCAGATGTTTTCAGGTATATTCCCTTGTTATTTTAAACTGAACATAAACAGTACAGTTAAAGCTTCTGAATATGGTTTTAAACTTATAATTTTAAATATTGTAGCTTTATGAGACGAGTTTAGCTAAATAGATCTCGGCGATCTGAAAATAGATATGCCAACACGTTACTGCAATATAAACACTAATTCTATTTTAAACTGACGAAATATTGACACGAAAACAATGCTGTTTTGTTGATAATTTCTACACAATAGACCGTAATTTAAATATTATCGCATGCATTAAATAAATAAACAAAAAGGACTTACTGTACTTTGTGTGTTTTATCTACAGATACAGATAAATTGGCTTCTCTTCTTTCGATCACTACCTCGTGCCATTTAAAATCGCTAAATTTTGCATTTTGCGGAGAGGTTACTTCGGTTTCTCCAGCACCAAGATTAATAATAACTTTGATTCTGCTGTTCTCTAGTTTAACAATACAATAATCAGTTGAACCAGCCACTAGTAATATTAAAGTATCAGGCAAATTGGTGCGAAACTTAAAAGAAATATCTGTAGAACTTTTCGCTTCTTTAAAGGGCAACGAAATAAAACTGTTTCCATAGAACGATGCTGCAACAAAGAAGGCATTAATTTTATAAATACACTCACTTATTAACCCTTCTGCTAACCTTGGTCTAAAGTTGAACAAATCTGCAGCAACAAACAAGAAAAAATTATACATTTATACTCCATCACAAATTCTATACAGTTTATGTCATGTTAGTTTTGTGCACATCAGGTTTTTTTTTAAACTCTCGTCACCTTCGATTCCACACCGTCGCCATATCTTTTCGACACAACTGAAACTGAAGTGACCTGAAATTGCCTGAAAGGCCTACACAAACGCCAAACCGCTCTGAAGTTGGCGCTCTGAAATACTCATACCAAACGTCTTTCAGCTGAAACATCGAAACCGAATTATTTCTTTGTTTACTAGTTATTAATTTTAAATATTGATTATTTAAAAATAATGTTAATATGTTAAACGGGTTTTTTTAATGGCAAATATGCAAAAATAGTTATAATAGTTAGTTATACATAATAATATATCGAAAAAGAGTACCTATATTTTATTAATCAAATAAAAATGGCGAATGCGCCGGGATTATTAATGTTGATTAAAATTAAAAATTCTTAATAATAATAATAATAATGTTTATTTGATCAAGTTACATACAATGTTTTTGACAAGTCTTAAAATATTACATATAGAAATAAATATATTACACAACAATTTAAAATCTAAAAGATTAAAAACATTACATTTAGAAATACTAAAAAATAAGGTTATACAGGGTAGCACAACACATTTTTAAAATTTACAGTTCAGAAAGTCATCTACTGAGTAAAAACAATGTTTTAAAAACTTTTATTTTGAATTTTTTTCATTGAAGATTTTTTAAGGTCTCTGGTACATTTACATAATTTATTCTTTTTATGTTATTGGAAAGGTTTTCCAATGAGTGAATTTTTTTAAATTGCAAATTTTATTAAATTTTTTCTTATAATTTCCAAAATTTTCCTATAAGTTGTCGTCATTAAAAAAATGATTTTTTTATTTTTAAAGTATTGAGAAATATAATAATGTAAATAATTATGGTATTTAAGTATGCAAATAAATAAGTACCATGTAAAATTATAATTAATTTTAATTGTGTTCTTACTTTGCCTTGTAAAGAATTGTAATTTGCGCCAAAAATACAGTGGAAAGGTAAATAAAGTTAAACCTTGATAACATATAACATGCTTTAATTTATATTTACATAAAGAAAAAAATATGATATAAATATACAAATAACATAACTTAACTAGGTTATTAAATTTAAATAAAGCTTATCACAATACTTGTGTAAATTGCCCAAAATTTTATATGGGCATAAATTAGATACACGTTTAGTAGATACAAATACTTAAAAAATAATAATAATAAAAAAAGTAAACTAGTAGTTAAACTAAAAAAAAATAAAAAATCACAAATAAAGAATTTGGTGAGAAAGATCATAATACATAAATGGAGAGGTTATAGATCCATTTTAGGACACATAATTACATCTACTGTATAAAATTTACTGAATATCGTGGAAGCGGAGGATTGCCCTTCCGGGGATTTCGGACATGCACAATTTTTGCACCACCGACTGGGCCTCGTCCGCGGAATATTCCGTGTGGGGCGGAGGTACAATGTCTCCATTCGCGACGTATTTGACAAGATTTCTGAGCTGGTCAATGGAGCCAGTAGCGACCGGTTCGATCTTTTGGTTTCTTTCGTGGATCAGCCTGGAGAATTTCGGAAGCAAACGTTCAGCCACGTCCTCACTGACCAACACCACTCCTCCCTGTGACAAAAGTAGATTAAGTACATGATTGATTGATTGGGTGAAATAAACGTGATTACTTACGGAGTTGAGGCATTGCAGCGACCTGTGCAGAGATCTGGATGTGGTCCCAAAGTCGATGACGATGTCCACCAAACCATTGCATGCGTCCTTTGTCCTTTCAATCAGCTGCTTTTCGTACAAATCCTCATTCCATTGCACGAGATTGACTTTTTTTAATTCGCCGGCGGCCAAACGGAAACCTTCGTCCTTCAAAGTGGCGACTGTGATATTGACTCTGTTCTCGTATTCGGGCGTTTGGAAGTGGTGCTCTGCGATTCTCAAGGCCCACAGAGCCAAACCGCCCGTGCCCACAATCAGAATTCTGATGGTGTGGTCTGCGGCGCGATCCTTCAGCAACTCGCTGACGTGGCTGTGAGCCGTGATCACAGCGTTTTTGGCGAGGAGTGCGCCGCTTGGAAGCATCGCGGCCACGCCCAGCGGAAGATTATCGGGAAGAGCCACCAAGTAGGTCAACTCCGGAACGACAATGTACTCTGCGTACCCATGCGGGATCCCGTCGTACGGATACAGAACGACCCTAGTCCCGACGCTCAGTTCCGCTGTCGGAGTGACGTCCGCCCCCAATTCGTCAATGACTCCAGCAACTTCGTAGCCGGGAAACAACGCGCCGTCTCTGACGCCGTAGAAGGCCGGGTTGTATCCGGACTCCTCCACGGATACGGAGCTGGATACGGACGATACGCTGGACACTGAGGACGAACGGTTCCTCATGCGGTAGCACGCTCCTGCGCACACCACGCGAATTCTTGCGCCCTTAGCTGGCACATCTGGCACGGGCACTTCGAAATTGAAGACGCAATCCTTCATGCACAGTCCCGGCGACTCTATTGACACTTGGCGGCACAATTTGTTCATACTTGACCTAAAACAAAACAGATTAATTGCTCATGTTTGTTTTTGCTTCAAATGGCCCGTTTAATTGTTAATTATCAATTAATTGATAAGTGAAGGTCAACTTAATTTAATCATGTCTTCCTTGTTTCATTGTTGCCACAGTAAGATAAAGTTGAATACCCCCCATGAGTGATAAACAATAGTATATTATTTATCAAGTTTGATAAACGCCATTTTAGTCACAAATTTAATTTTGGCATTATTTAAATTAAATATTTGTGTAAAGCGACATCTATAAGAAAATAACAAAACATTTTTGACGTAATTTTCACCATTAACATTGCCCGTCATGATTTTAATTAATCTTAACAATTATTGCTACTTTAAAATAATAAAATATGATTATGCTAAAAAAATATGTTAATCCTTTGATTTTTTTATTACTATAATTGCAAAATATCACAAAGTATTCAAAATTCTTACACTGAAAATGTTAATGGTACAAAAAGTTTTTCACAGTAAAAAAAAGAGAATGTTTTATAGGCATTGTACGCGAAATTTTTAACGCTTTATCAGTTAAATCTAGTTAACTGCACTACTACGGCGAAATCATTTTCAAATATTGGCGTCAAGAAACCATTTAATACTTTTGTATTTTTGAAAAAAAATAATTTTCACATTAAGTATTATTTTACAAGAAAGGCACTTTATTTTAACGATTGTATAAAATTTGACAACTTAAAACTAACTCGTGACTAAAAACCTGTTGCTAACTTCAGCCAGTGACTAAAGCTCCATAAAGCCACAGCTTGTGAATGTGTATTTAAAAGGTCCCTTAGTGTCATAAAAACATGTATATATTTTCGCGATAATATAATAAGAGAAATAGAAAACTTAATAGCAGAAAAACAATTAAAAAATTAACACATTGGAAGGTTGTTTTATTATTGTAATAATTCGTTTTAAATTTGTTGATTCGTAATAAAATTAACATAATTAATAAACACCACGAGCTTGGATGTAGTGTGTAAAATTATTTTGTATCTAAAAACTATGCACAAATCTCAAATTAAATGATTTATTTTAAATTGAAAACGTGTACAGATATATTTGGATCTTTTGTTTGTTTTAATAATCATACGAGTGTTGTTGAAGTTAAAAACCAACACGTTGTAATAAAAAAAATGAAATAAAAAAGTTATTGATTTTTAATTAAATTAATGAAATACCTTCTGCTTCCGTCTTCGTGATAATCAAGGAAAGTTTCAGTTAACATTTTCACAAATTAATTGAAAACTTCTTTTAAATTTGTTACTCTTTCTTCGCTTTGTAATGTAGAACTGAGTGTGCTAGCGCTTGGTCTCGAATTTTATCGAATACAGTTGTTTACAGCGTACGCTGCTGTCCACGTGAGAACGCCGTGATAGCACACTACAAATGCACCGAAAAATCGATAAACCCCCTTGGTTTAATTTCAGTTTAATGTTGCCCAAATCTGGCACGTCTCTTTCACGTTAGAACAGAGAAAATTAGTCATTTACTTATTTTTGTTTAATTTCGGCACTACCTGTTCACGTGATCTTTCAGGTCATTGATTTCATTATTTATTAAACCTAACCATCTGCCGGTTTATTTCTATGGATACTACTGCAAAACAAGAGTAAATATCGCAAAATTAATACGATTTTTACTTATTTACAACATCTAAATTTAATAAAAAGGTAAATATGTTGCGCTAACAAGATAAATTTAATCAAATATTTGCTCTCACGGTAGCACAGCAAAATAGATTTTACATAAAAAAGTATCACACGCTTTCATCGTGGATTAAAATTTAAATGGCCAATTTGTTTTACTTTAAAAATAATGCAAGTTCTTAGTAACAAAATCACTCAAAATTCACGTGAGTTCAAAGAGATTTTCTAAATTTTTGCCAAAAAACTTTGCAAACATTCCAAATCATATTTCTAGATTGCTTACATAAAATCTCAGCATAATTTCCCAGACATAATGTCTACATTTAAATATAATTCACTAATAATAATAATAATAATATAATTAACTAATTTGTGTATTCTTGCTATCGACAATTTGATAAAAATATTTTCTTCCATATGGCCTATGTTGTATCTATTATAGTGCGTGTTATTAATGGGTAAATAGAATTCAAGGTGATTCATACTCAAGAAAATTGTAAACAATCATTATGTAAAAATTTTGTTATTTCGAAATTTAAATCAATTATCCCGGCGCATTCGCCATTTTTGCGACATCGCAATTTTTTATTATTTAATTTAGTCAGTTAACGTTAATTACTAAAATGTTGGTCTTAAAAATAATTTTAATATTATATATATATTTACAGGGTGTACCAGTTATTAATTTGTGTCGTTAAAATTTGACAAATGTGCGTCAATCAATATATTATATCTATGAGGGTGGAATTTTTGGAATCTTAAAACATTGTTTAAAAGATTTCATGACAATCAATGTAAATGAAGTACACATTTAGTATAATAAAGTATAATAAAAATTGTTGATTAAAATATTGTTGGTTTATTAAATTGCCATAAAATAAATTTTATATTTAATTGTATCCAATGATCTAGTTGACATCCTACAGCTTTGTCGATTTTTTTTTAAATTAGCAAATGCTGTTTGCATAACTTTTAAAATGTTTTTTATAAGTCACTGACTGCTTTTTTATCAATAATTTTGTTTACAAAATTAGTCAACAAACCTAAAAAATTAACTCAATTAAATTTTGAACAATGACAGATTACTTGGTAACCATAGATACCATCAACTCACCGGTCACAGGTTTCTTGATACAAAATAATATTTAAAATTTTAAAAATTGTTAAATATCTCTGAAATTATTAACTTTAGGTATAGGAAATTGAAAGGTTTTTTAATTTAGCATTTGATTAGGTAAAAACATACAGGGTGTTACATTTAAAATAAAAAGTTATTAACGTTTCAAGTTAGCCTGTATATATATACATGTATATAGGTATAAAAAAAAATTAATACTGGTTTTGAGCTTTTTTTGAGCATCCCACATAAAATTTGTATTATTTAGGCAAATCCAACTTTTTGATTTTATTTTTGTATTGTATATTTATCGGAAAATTAATTAAAGTAAATGTTTGTTTAAAATTTTTACGAAAATATTATACTTAAAACATTGTACCCACTTAAAAGTAATTGTCCATGTGTTTTTGTAAAATTGTTTAATCAGGTTTTAACACTCTACAGGGACGTGCGCCATTTTATAATTTTTATTCAAATAATTTTATATCAAAATAATACATCAAACCTACAAACCTACAAAGCTGCGGTGATCTTATCTGAAGATTATTATTTGTAGTGTTTTTTTTTTCAACAAATAACTTTGAACTTAACACTTCAATTAATCACAAACAACCAATTCCCTTCTATCGTAAACAATAAAATTTATTAACACAATGCCTGAACTTTCAGCCAACTAAAAATGTAACTTTATTAAAGCAAATTAAAATTTCTTGCACTATTGACCTTTATGACCTTTCAAAAAACATTAACAAGACACAAAGATGCAGGGATAAATATAGAATTGTCATGGCAACTAATAAAATCGTTATTATTTAAGTAGTAATAATATTAAATTAATATGACCTGTATAAACGTATTTGATAAAAATTACATAAAAGCACGTGTCAAAGTTACAATTTTAAAGTTTGTTGAGTATCTAAATATGACATAAAATGTGCATTAAACAACAATCAAAACAAAACATGCAGCTCAAACAAACTGTTGTACAGTGAAAAGTATAAACGAAATAAATAAAACAAAGTAAAGAAGTGCACAAGGGGTTTTATTAAGAATTTTGAAAAATACGTACAGCTGTTTTGTAGCATATAATAAAAAAGCTCGACTACACCCCGAGCTCATACACAACACAGATGTTTTTATGAAGGACTTGTCAAGAACTTGTGCGCGCTCACCCTCTAGGCCTTCGGGAGGCATGCGCTTAAACAACAAAGAGAACAAAGAACAAGAAGATGGGAGTTCAAAAAATCCCGTCCCATCAGCGCTTGTTTCTAACCAAAATCAAACAGAAGCAAATTTGTTTTCAAAAATTTATTAAATAAATAATTTGGGTGTTATTTCATAACATTAAAGCAACATTTTAATTAGGTATATCGTTATAACTGAACTATATTAACACTAAGACCAGGATCTAGCACTCCACTTTATTGAGTAAATATACTGGGTGTTGTTCAATAACCTTCAAGTTTGTTCGTGTGTTAAATGAAAAGACTGTAGAGCCTGCTGCTAACTAATTATCATTAAAGGCAAACCTATTTGGAAGACTGTGGTTTATACTTGGCATTATCATTTCATAGGTTATATCATCTCCGTCTGCTTCCGAAAAAGAACTTTCGTCCTCTGATTCTGGTGGGGGGTTCCGTGGTACTATCTGATGATATTTATTATCACTCTCATCACTTTCATCGTCATCATTGTTGCATACTTCTTTATCGATATCAAGTTGTTTTGTTGGTAATTTCGGCAATACTGGCGGTTTTATGCTGTCATTTCTTGCTGGAGGTTTCGGCGGTAGAATTTTTTTTGCTTTGCCCGGAGTACCGTCTGGTTTAAATGTTGACGATGGCGGTATCGGAGGTAGGACTTGATGTGTATATCTTTCCGGTAAGTTTTGCGACTTATACGGCTTGTATTGGGGTATTTTACTGGGAGGTAGTTTTTGGCCCACTTTAATATACGTATTGTCGTCGTCATCATCATCGTCGACTTTTTTCCTCATACTAGAATCATGACATTCGTTTATTTTTGTCACCCACTGCAACATGTCTTTATACGTTAGAGCGATAAACTAAAATAATAACAAACTGTCAGCATCATTGCATTTTTTTTCAATATTTTACTTACATAATAAATTTTTGTTTCTCCTTTGGTTGAAATTAGCTCAAATTTATTTTTCGCGCATTCTTTGGCTGCATATTCTTTTAAATTTAAATGCGATGTTGGTTTTAAGTCTTTTTCGGTATTATAAATAAGAAACCATTGATCCTGTATCACTGCAAATATGCGTTTCAATTTTTCAAATCTGACAAACACCTTCTTTTTGTATGATATGTATCCGTGTTTAGATTGAAATGAGGTGTCTTTGGCTGGCATACCTAAGGAACAATAATAAAATAGTGTCAAAAAATAGATTTTCTGATTAAGGAATAGTGCCCAAATTGTGACCGATTCGGTCTTCTGGACATCATCAGTGCCGGGCAGCTGTCCGGCACTAGTGAGATCCAAAAGACACTTGAAACTAGAGCACGGTGACGAGGTAAAAGGCAAATTCTCACAAATATAAAATAATTTTTACTTAAAAATGGGCATGCATCTGGATCGTTAACTTCAATAACATTGTAAAAATCCTCTGGTTCGACGGGGGTATTATCCGGGGGTGGAACGTACACATTTTTATTTGCCGGTTTGTAAGTTTTGTTCTCTAAAAAATAAAAACTGTAGGTAATCAAAGTACTTTGCTAGAGGTTTCCCAAAAAACCTTTTGCTGGGTCCATATCAACGTAGTCGGTTTTTTTGGAAATTTCTTGAAGCTGAACTTTGGATCTCTTCAAAAGATCATTGGCAAATTTTCGGTCATTCGGTGATAATGCTGTTAGTTTACTTTCATCCAGAAAACTGCAAATATCTAAAAAGCAATACAGCTAGATAAGGAAATTTATCAAGCAGGAAATATGGTCAACATAAATAAAACAAATTATTAATAAAAACACATTTTACCTTCCAATAATTTCGATATTGTCATGTATATTTCTTGATCGCTCATATTTTCAACGAACGCCTTTGCTGCTTTCACCTATCAATTAATTAATTATTTCACTTAACTTCACTTGAACTCACTTAATTAGAAAATCACAAAAATCACTATGTCCTCATATATCGCATTTTTATTAATGAACAAACTTAGGTTGAATGGTTGTAAAATATTTAGCTCCCGCAAAGATGTTTAAAATAAGGGTTAGAAGCGCGCTCACAGTACCCACACCCAACTGGAACTTACGCACTAAAACATTCACTATATTGTGATGACTAACACTTTATATGTATATATACAAATATATCTGCAAAAATATTATTTACAAATAAATAAAACACCTTATTTATTATTTCTATTAATATTCGTTAAAAAAAAATAATGCCTTAAATTAACAGAAAAAAACATATTTATTAAATTAAATAAAAAATACATTTTTATTTCTGCGATTACAATTCAATTAGATAGGTATTTATTAAAAAAAACCTTATTTTCTTAATAACCAAACACCCCTATATCTTTAAAAATATGATATTTATTTACTTAAATAATTTCTGGTATTTCCAATATTTGTTTAAAATTTTACATGTGCTGCCCTCTCTACGCCAGTAGTTCAACTATCATAGCGGTATAAATTAATTTTAAGCTATTTTTTTGATGATAAAGTGCAAACTATAAATATTTTGCATTTCCTACCATTGATAGTTTTTTATCTACTCCTAGATTGATTTTATGGAGTTTTAGTCAAATGTTAAACAAATAAAATAGTTATTTTTATATATAACGCCATCTATCAGTAACTGTCTAAACTGTCGGTAAAACAGGTTGTTAGTTGTCATTTTGTGTAAACTGAATGTTTCAAAAGTTTGTAAGCAAAATTTAGTTCGTATTTCCTGATTTTCAATAATGTAAGTATTTTTAACTTATTATACAAGCTTTATGTGCCTTATAGGCGTATTTTACCACATAGGTTATTAAGTAACTCGGTTTTTTTTACTAAAATTCCGTTCGATGTCTGGAGTTGTTAAGTTAATACATGATTTTATTATTATTATTAATATATAATTATTGTTAATAATATATAACAATTAAGCTGTAAGATTACATGTCCATCTACATGATCCATATGTTTTGGTTGGGTTATATCGACAATTGGTGTCTGCAAGTTTTTATAGTAAATTAAACCTTCTTACCTTCTCAAGGGTCCTTTAAGCTGTAGATATTTTTTGTGTTTGTTATTTTATTGGACTAGGTATAGGATGAGGTGGAAAAATAAGGTGTAGATGTAAACTTTTAATATTTATTATCCATAGAAAAAAGAAAACAATATTAAATGAATCCTTACATCTTCACAATAATTTCATTATCACAATTCAGTCAGCATACATTCATACACACATCCATAAAAAGAACAATCTAATAATTCTTTTAAGTATATATTTTTTTAAGAACAAAATTTATAAATAAAATCGTTTTGCTTATTCTAACGACGGTCCAAGATCATAAAAGAATATATAATCGTTAAGTAAATGTGAAATAAAAAATTTGAGGGGAAAGGTACAGAGATAGAGAACATAATTTATTAGAGAGTAATTAATTACATGGGAGCTAGCTCCTTTTTTTGCACATAAAGAGATTTAATAATGTTTTAATCAGGCTGAGTTAGGTTAAAGAAAGATTGAACTGTAAAAATTTATAAAATGACATTGTAATGTGTGATGTCGAGTAGTGGGCAATCTGTTGCATGGTCTTTCTCTAACCTAGCCCTTCGGAGGAATGTAGACACTTGCTAGAGACCCAGTCACTTCAACGTTGAAATCGCCGAAAATTTAGGTGATTCGCGCGCTTTCTCTCTCGTACAGCCGCTACGTTATAAAATACATACAAAACAACTTTGTTCACTCGGTAAATTTAGTTACAAGCGAATCGAGATGAATTTTCGGCGATTTTCGGTTTTTTTGAACTAAATGTGGAGAAGTGGATGAGTCAGTAGTATGTATGTAGATGAGAAACAACACAGAACGCCGTGTATACATCCAACCTGGCCCAGGCTGGTGGACTTAGTGATGGATATGGATCGTGTTTGTTTGATTGTGAGATTGGAATTTTGATGGACGATGATTCTTGACTCTCACCTCTGCCTATCTGCCTAGCTGCCGTGCCAAATAAGGGAGGGAAATTGATTTAAGGGGCTCTGAGCCGAGATTCGGTCGTTACGGTGACAGTCAAGAACTGAACTGAACTGAACTGAAGTGAACTGAAGTGAAGAAGATAGTGATGTGTCGATAGTGTGATAGTGTACATGTACATGTGTGTTTGTGTGTGTGTGATTGATTGATTGTGTAGTGTGTAGGAGTAGTCAGGAACTTGCAATGCATTTGTCATCCCATGGGCTCGGCGCTCGTCTCATGTTCAGCTCACCCTCTCACAGGAATATCTGCAAACAGAAGAGAACACTCATTGACCGACGTTAGGAAGAGCTGAGCACTGAGCAACACCACCGCCCGGGGTTAGTAGAGGGGGGTTAGGAAGGATTTAGAGGCGGCGTCCACCAGCCCAAGAGGCCGAGGCCGAGGCGAGGCTATCGGATTTATTGCATAAAATACTCAGGGTGGTCAGAGTCTTTCTCAAACCTCTTGGCCTCTTCTTGCATGCTCTCTTTTATTTTCAAAATAGCAGCCGATTCCGTTTGGTCCTGCAAGGAAAGCGACCTTTAGTGGTTAATTGTCAGTCTACTTAAGCGCAAGCACTGCCCACCGATACATAGCCCTAGCCATACTCTCTTTCTTTCTTTCTTTCTTTTTACTGTTACTCTGTCATCATAATTTTATTTATCACCATTACTCATGGCAATATATAACATTACATAACATCATTATTTTCTTATTTATTATTTAGTAATCCATAAACCATTGATTAATAATTTATCAGCTACATTTTTTTAACAAATTTCATTATGGGTTAATTCTTAATAAAAACCACTAAATAAGCCAATAAAATAATTCAAATATCGGGCGTATCTTCTTGTTAGTTATAAAAGGCAACTCCAGCGATGTTAAAATGCACAGGCCTAACCCACCAGATTAAATTAAAGAGTGTATTACATAGGTATAAGTTAGTTATGGCCCATCATGTTAACAAAGCTCGAAAAATCCAGCTGATCACTTACATTTTCTCCGGGTCCGCCAAAGTTGCCGAGGTTGTAATCGCCCATGCCGCTGCCGCTGTCTTCTCTAGGCGTCCCAGGTCCCCCGTTGGCCGGCGAATTTTTCATACCGTCCATCCCGTCTCCGTTCAGCACTGGGCCCATGGAGTTCGGGTTCATCGGGCCCATCTGCCCCGCCTCCGGGCCTCCGCCCATCTGGAAATCTCCCGGCATGTTGCCGCCCACGGCCGGTTTCATTAACGTGTACATATTCTCGCCGCCCGAATTACTGGAATCCTGCGGGCTGGGCATTATCGGGGTTCCCGGTCCTGGCTGGCCCCCCGATCCTGGGGGCCCACCGTACGTCCCAGGCGACGACGAAGAATAATTCATAGGCTAAAATTTAATCATTGGAAATACAAAATTGAACATTGAACATTTGGAGGTTGATATCTTACTGCAGAAGTGTTGGGTTGCCATTGGGGTCTGCCGCCAGGCCCTGTCATCGACATTGGGGGCATGGGGCCTCCAGGGCCCAAACTGCTGTTGGGCGGAGGCCCCCTTAGTCCGGGTCCATATGATCCAGGGCCGATAGGTCCCATCGACGGTCCTCTAGGGGGGTTCATTCTAGCTGCCGGTGGACCTAGAGTATCGAGACAACGATTAATATCGTGCAAAAATTAACGTGTCAATATGTACAGCTGAACGACACCACATGCGTAGCACCAATGAAATATAACACTGTTTAAAAACTCAAAGAAACATAACATCAATTGTCCAAATATCTACCACAACAAAACGTTTATAACAACAGGTTCTGCAATCGTTGACACCAGAAAGTAGTGCAGGTTGGACAAGCTAGGGTTTTTCCATATTTTGCCTTATTGTCTCTATTTTTTCCTTTTTCTTTTTCTTTAATTTCAACAGTTATGATCTTTTATTTTTAAACAGTCTCTATCTTACAGCCTCACTTCAATAATCTTCTCATTATAACTTTGTGCAAATGGTCCCTCAAAGTTATAAAGATAAGAATAAGTTACGTGAATCGGCTGTTGTACCTACTATGAACGAACGGCTTTAACTTTTTATTATTTAAAATGTCCTTAAACTATACCTAGTAGTGCTCCACTTAAAAGATCTACAATATAGACCTTTTGAAGTGTGTGTTTCGATACATACATAGGTTGTTTTTTCTTCGGAAAACCGTAAGTACATGTTTGTATAAGAAAGAAGCAAAAGCAAGCAGATAAGTGTATGCATATGGATGTGTGAATGGTGAAGGAGCGCCTACCTTGCCAACCTACAAACTCTCCGCCTTCACCTGGAGACAGAAATAGATGCATTACATGAGGCATATCATGAAACCGCTTCATGCTAGTGCAAAATCTCATATTTTTTATAATAATCTTGTTTAAATTTTTTAATATATTAATATGGATTAATCGACTACAAATTACCGCCAAAAAGCCTCTTCAGAGAGTCACTTTGTGGCCGTAATTATAGCCATCTCAGAAAACATAACAATGAACAAATTTTACCTTGTCTTGTGGGATCCATGTTATTCGGCATCAGGGGCTGACCGGGAGGCTTTAAATAAGTGTAATTATTAAATTGTGCCATTATATTTTCTTGACTGAAATCGAGATCAATTTATACGTACTCCGTTAAAGTCGCTTCCCATCTGGGGCATTCGCACGCCCGGCCTGGGGCCAGCGGGGTACCTGGGCGCCATAATCGGCTGACACGTCATTATTTGACTGTGAGGGGGCGGCGGCTGAGAATGGGGCGACGGCTGACTCGAGGGGTGGGTCGGGGGCGAGGGACGTAATGTTGAGTTCTAAAATTAATTGTGTCAGCATCCAATTCAGAAAGATTTCAGTATGAAGTCTTTTAAACAACTTCGTGTAGAAGTTCTAACATGACGTCTTAAATAGCTCCTTTTTATGAGCTCAGAATTCTGAGCTGTTAATGAACTCATAAATAAGAAGTCAATTTTTTTACGTACAAATGAAGATCTTTTCTTGACCTCTTTTTGAACAATTTATTTTGAGCTTACAGAGTATTCTTTTTTCTTACTTCCAATTGAAATCTTTTAGAAGTCAACATGGAGACGTCACATTTATGACATTTTAATGCGATTACTTTCTTCTCACCGCTGTAACTGCTTGTGTTTGATATAAGAAGCGGCGAAGTAGAATTTAGAGCGTGCTCCATACCAAACGGTCTTAGACCTAGGTAAACGGCTACCCGATACTGACGAGCTCCAAAAGAGCGAAACAGGCCGTCTATCGGTGCCGGTGAAGAGCACGCTTGAATTTAAACAAAAGTGAGACGAAGTAATCGCAATTCCTAAAATAAGCGAATACGAGCAAATTATTAAAATAATTTTAATAAAATCAATTTAACAAATTAATAAAATTAATAAAATAAACTTGACATGTCAAAATAAGCAACGATCCAGTATGCAATTTCTTCATCAGTACCCTAGTAGTACTTCTATATCCAAAACGGAAAATTCTAAAGAAGTCTTTTTATGAGTTTATACAGTAGGACTCTTTAAAATGCTTAATTGTGAAGTCAAAGAAAAGGGTTCCTCAAGAGTTCTTTTTTGAGAAGTCTTGATTAGTTCAATAGGTGGCGCATTCGAAGTCTTAAGAACTTCTTAAAAACTTCTTTCTGATGTTGTATTTGACGTCCAAATCATAAAATAGAGCTTATGCAGACTTAATTAAGACGTCATATTGCTGTCTGGGATCATGCTCCAAACATATAAATATTTTGACTTGGTAAACTTTTACTTACAGGAAAGAATCCTGGGGGTATAGGGCCACCCGGCATGCCATCTGCCGGTGGCATTTGCCCCAAGGGACTTGGTGCGGGGCCAGAGTTCTAAAAATACAATATTTGTATGATTTTGTTTTATTAATAATAATAAAATTAATATCTCTGAGTATTTGGTTAACCCTAAGGGTTAACTAATTAAATTTATTTTTAAGTGCATTTAACGTTTACTTACGTGCGCAATTCCATTTACTCCATATCCAGAATTTACAAAACCCTAAAATGCAATCAAACGTTAATATATCATAAAAACAATTCAATCATTTTTTTTTATTAATATATATATTTTTTTTTAGTTATCATCACACAGGAAAAATCAAGGTAGGATTTTTTATTTATTATTTTAAAATCATCCTGAACTTTTATCTGAACCCTTGTAAACGAGTTAACGAAATAATTACGAGACTTTCTGAACGGATGTTATTGCAAATTTGTAAAACCAGTTTAACGTAATTTGTTTTCTTCATAAAATCGGCCCATGTAGATTCCATGTTTTGTTCCTTCCTACTGATAAATCGTAAACATAGAAAATACTAAAATAATTCCCCGCTACTTTTAGAATAGAACGAGCTCTAGCGTCTATCATGTTGGCGAAAATAAATCATAAATCAAGTTTAATTTAGAACGAATTAATCGAGAAGAAATTGTGTTTGTCGGAAAAAAATTCTATAATTTTTACAATTGTTAATACAGTTCAAGAAACTGTAAATTATAGCCGTTATGAACAACCGTTAAAATACTATAAAATGTTTGTACCGAAAATAAACGTAATCTAATTATATTTGCGCTGCCCATAAATAATATAGCGCAAAAATTAAAGTACGTTTGAAAAAAATGTATAGGAATATCAATTATTATGTAAAGTGAACGTCATAGAGAAGTGGAAATACGTCATTTTATTTTAAAATGAAATATCTACGTAGGTACGCTTTTGTACGGAAAAGTTAAAAAGAGACTACTTAAATATCAAAACTACTATCGTGCTTCAACTTTGTAGATAAAAATTCAAGGTCTCGAGTCGGTAAGACTGCTAACCAAACAAACAAATAAACAAAAACTATTTTAGCTTGGAGAAAAAATGAGAGCATAGCGATTGAAAATGAGGGAACGGCGTGTGAAATTTGACGTTTGTTTAAATCGGTTAAGGGTTTATTGTTCCGAAATGAGGCAGAAGGTTGTGAATAAAGTTGTGTTTTTAATGAAAACCGAACTGAGCGAATGTACCTGGTCAAACGCGTACCCGGGCGGCGTTGCCAGATCGACACAAGCAAGTATTGATCGACTACATTACTACTTTTAAAAGCTCAAAAATACTCACATAATCGTGAAAAGCTTTCGCTTCTGATGAATGTTCGCATGTATCCCTTCTTTCGGGAGCTGCACAGTATAAATCCCAAAATACGCTAAAATATTAACAATCATTAAAATGCTGTTTGGCCAAGCGGCGTGAACATTTTACGTACCACCACCAAGAATGTAAAAATCCTGGAGGCTCTCCTAACGTTATGTTTTTCTCCCATCGAATCTAAAATTTATTAATTTATTGTTTTTGGGGGTTTTCGTTTTACTTTTATGCAAATCACTCACCTCAGATAGGAAAGTTTGTGCGGCTTTCTGTGCCCCTACGTGGAGTAAATATTCGTAAACGTATAACGCCAACCTGAATAAACAAGCAAAATTTAAATATTTTTTATTGTTTGTCCGAGGATGTGGCAACGTTTCAAACAAGTAAATAAATAATGAAACTTTAAATTTTTATTTCGACCGTTCGAATGAATGGATTGTTTGTTGTTAATAAACAGAGGACTTTCTAGTTTGGAAAGTACGGTAATAATAATAATAATAGGAGGAATATTAGAGCGCGACTTATTTTATTATTATTATTATAAAGACTTGACGGCCAGTTGAGGAGATATTAAGATAGATAATAAGCAAACAGGCAACTTACTTTTCTCTAGCTTGTGCATCTGACGGCACCGTTGATCCCTTTCCTTTTGCGTACATTTTATAAAAGAAATAAATTTATACAACTATAAATTGAATCCTACATGCAGTTAATTTCCTCGTATTTTTCTAATGAACCACTATATTATGGAACACGTTGGTTCTACATGATAAATGATGCGGCTCATTGCAACTGAGTTTGTTGTATGCACAAATAACAAATTCACTTCACTATTTCGAGCATTCTAAAAGCATATCTCTGAAATACGGCTCGGTAACATCATATATACATCTGAAATCCACACCACACGTCAAATAAAATTCTTAATTTTATTCGACGCTATACAAAATCATCACTTGGATTGTACTGGTATGGAGCATGCGTTCATCCGTCCCGTTATACAGCTATCGCTTCGATGCTCGCCTCTTTGTCCATTAAATAACGAATTTTTAATCATACACCGCACTCGTACACTTGTTCTGGCGCTTTTCCGTCAATTTTTCACTATACTATCACTGTACTAGCATGCGTTCATTTTTCTACATGTTTTGGACCAACTAACATGGCAACGACCCGAATTGCTGTGAAACACAACGCATTACGCAAGCGCCGATTTTCTGCCTGCCCCCAAACCGACACTTAACATCGATGCATGAACCGGGAAAATATTATTTTCACTGTATACCTAGAACCAAATCTCAACACTCGACTCATATACACTATCGAAATCCTAACACGCATATAAATTCGCTCATAACGCACTCAATCCCCAAATATCCACATCCAAACACTTGCCCCTCCATCAAATCCAAATTCCCTCCAAAAACGCCGCGCTATCTCCAAATTATCGATCCCACAATAATTATTATCTTTTTACTCGAAAATCAATAATTTTTTTCTTCGAATTTACCTCTCCCTCACATTTAACCAACTACCTGTTTTAAATTCTCAACCTGCATTGTGCAAATTTACTTCATTGTTCAATTTTTACCTAACCATATTAATCTTAGTCATTACATCATTCTCAAGGAGATAAGGATAAATAAAACAAATACCTAAGCAACATCTCATAATTTACTGTAAAGAAACCTATAAAAATAATGAATAATAAACAAATTGTATATTTATTTATTTAACGAAATATCTCAATTTTGAACAATGCATTCATAGCTAATACTCCATAATACAAGTAATGATCCGACACCTGTTAATATAATTATTGCTTTAGTATGTCATTATGCAGAGGCAGTGATTAATTGTGGACAGTTTGGTATGCCACAGTTGAAAATTTTAGGCACATCACGGGTTCTACTTTCGTAATAATCGAACAGGATGGGCTTCTGGCAGAACTTGCATTCCTTAAACAAAAATACACCGATAAACATTTACACCTTTATCTATATGGACGTATTATACCTTCCCGCATTGGAGCCCAGTAAAAGGTAGCTCCAATTGCCCCCAAACTTCCTTCAAATCCCTCACCAACTCATCCATCAACTCTTTGGAGTGGTGAGGTGTCGGTGCCAATCTCAGCTTCTCTTCTCCTTTAGCCACAGTTGGGTAGTTGATAGCTTGAATGTAATGCCCTTTCTCTTTCAATAAAGTATCACAAACCAGAGAGCTTTGCTTCGGGTTACCAATTTTTATTGGAATGATATGACTAGGCGAATGCTCTACAGGGAAGCCGTTTTTCAACAAGCTATTCCTGAGGTATTTCACGTTTTCTTGGTGCTTTCTTCGCAACTCCCTACCTGCGGCGGACGCCAAAATCTCTACGGCTTTAATGGCACCCGCTAAAATCGTCGGAGGTAACGCCGTGGTAAAGATCAAGCCTGCGGCGTACGAACGAACCATGTCGATTAACGTCGCGTCACCAGCAACGTAACCTCCAACATTACCGTAAGCTTTGCCCAAAGTTCCGGATATGATGTCCATCTTATGCAGGAGACCTTCGCGCTCTCCGATGCCGGCACCGTGGTGGCCATAGAGCCCCACAGCATGGACCTCATCAACGAAGGTTAAAGCGCCGTATTTATGAGCGACGTCGCATAGTTCGTTCAAAGGACATACGGCGCCCGACATGGAATGAACCGTTTCGAAGGCGACAATCTTCGGAATGTTGACATCGACTTTTTGCAGCAACTCTTCCAAGTGAGCAGGGTCGTTGTGCCTGAAGATGTGCTTAGGAACTTGGGAGTTTCTGATGCCTTGAATCATGGAGGCATGATTTCCCGCATCAGAGAATATATGACAGCCTGGCAGTGATTTGGCCAAGGTAAACAATGTAGAATCGTTCGCTACGAAGCACGACGTGAAAAGTAAGGCGCCGTCTTTTTGGTGCAGCTTGGCCAGCGTAGCTTCGAGCTTCTCGTGAAGAGTGGAATTGCCAGCAATGTTCCTTGTACCGCCAGCACCTGTTCCGTATTTTTCCAACGCTTCGCTGAAATGAATCGCACAATCAGTACCGGATAAACAATAAACAATGGATCATTTTATTACCGTACTGCGTTTTTGACCTCCGGGTGACAGGACATGCCGAGGTAGTCATTGGCGCACCATACTCTAATGGGTTTTTCACCATATGAGTATTCCAGGGCATTGGGAAACTGACCAGGGCCTGCTAACCTGTTGACTTTCTTGAAGATCCTGTATGAGTGGTCCTTCTTCTTCTTCATTATCTGTTGGTGAAAGAATTTGTCATAAGCAAAAACACCTGAAATAATATATTTCAATATTATTATGAATCCTAATAGCTTCCTTAATGTATGTACCATCTTTTTTTTTCTCAGCACCCATCTCAATGGTGTCATCTTGCTTCACTTCCTTGATCACATTGGTGACTTCCTTAAGGAATGGACATGGATTTTTTACGGGTTCGTTTTCTAAAATTTTGTGATTACCCGACCGTATTTACGTGTAATAATAGACATTACCTTGCCCAACAGCTTGAGCCTCATTATTAACAATGCTGCTCATGTTACGCGAAATAACAGGACACTGGCTTCCGTACATCTTAAGCAAAACAGGAGTATAATTCCTGACATAATTCTGGCTAAGTTTCGTCAAAAACGGACAAGGCATATTGCTCTGGTTATAACCTAAAATTATATAACCCAACCTCACAATTTACCAGTGAAATTTAAATTTCAATACTCACAGTTTGATGGTACACTCGGTATTCGGCTTAAATGTTTAAAGTTGGTCTGCAACAGCAAAAAAACGAATTGGAAAGTGATTTTAAATTTCTACGTGCAAGTAGGTCAAATATCCACTTATGTGTTCTACGAGGACAGGACAGGGTTATAAGCTGTACTGTAGGTATACAACAGATCGAGAGCTTATGTAACGCTTTAGACGTAGCGATATATTATATAGGTAGTCAGATTACATTCGCCTAACGACCAAGCTGTATCTAATCATTATTGCTTATAATCGTTTACAATAATGAGTCTGCTAATTTTAATTTTCCTTAAAACCAAATTAAACCGCTTTACTGATAAACAAGTCCATTGTTCCAGGTAATATCAAATTTAGAAAATTTTTGGCTTTGTATTTATAATGCCAAATACGGCCCTGTATTGCAAAATTGCGAAATTATACAAAACAAATTTACCAAAAATATTTGTTTTTGATAACTTTCACCCAGACAAACATATTATACTTTGATAAAATGCCTAATTTTTTTGTATAAATTTTTAACGTTCTAGTTTTGCCCAATTAAACTAATCATTTGTAAAGTTAAAAACAATTTCGACTTAATTATTTTTTAATGAATACTTACGAGAATTGACATTTTTATAAAAAATACACTCGACAAATTTTTATGTACTACTAATACTTAATTTGCACATATTCCTTTATATAGTAATAAGTATGTAAATTTAAAATCAGTTGAATTTTAAACAGAAACGTATTATTTCAATTTACATTTACGTTCAACCAGTATTATTTGCAAATTAATTTATTTTTGGAAACTTTTCATTTAGTTTTTTAATTAAAATCATTGTAATAATTAATTTTTTCCACTCCCACCTTTGAAACGCCCATTATCGTAATTGTTTCCATGACACGTGTACCTTAAAATACACATTGACAATTTGTTGCTTTACGGCGTTTTAGTCACGGGCTGAAGTTAGCAACAGGTTTTTAGTCACGAGCTGAAGTTAGTTTTATGTTAGTTGACAGATGTCAAATGTAAAAATTATTTTATTATCTCAATACAAAACTACAAAAGTATTAAAAAGTTTCTTAACGCCAATATTTAAAGGTTTATTTGAACAATGTACTGACCTTTTAATTTCGCCTAAACTAGATTTAACTTAATTTGGAGTGGAGACTCCGTGACCTTGAAGTGCCCATAAAACATTTTCTTCACTTTCACTGTGAAAATCTGTTGTTAGTACATTTTCAAGGGATACATTTCGATTTACACATAAAAATTTAACATTTTTACCGGTGCGCCGGTAATACAGGTTGCCAAGTTGGTTACTCTATTGTTTTATAGATGTCGCTATATACAAATATTTAATTTAAATAATTTTTAGATAATAATATATATTCGTTGTAGAAAAAGTAACTCGTTTATAAACGTTAATAGACTAAAATGGCATAATATCCTATAACATTAAAAAAACTTTTTCCTTTTAGATTTGCAAATTTCTTTGAAAAAATAAAGGGTCAATTGACCCTTCAAGAGTTTAATAATGTACTTACATTGGAATTTGCGACATGTTGTCGTAATTTGATAATGTTGACGTTTGAAAATATAGGTTATGCAATTTATTCTACAGTGACCTGTAATATTACAGTTACCTACACTAATTTCGAGCTAAATGCTATAGATGGAATTCTTCCTATGTAATTTCATTATTGTACGACGGTACTTATCCTTAAGTGTGAAATTTTTGGACGACTGTCCAATATCTTTTTTTTTCAGTTTCGTATCTTCTCAAAAAAATTAACGTAAGATTTTAAATGATCCCCCCTCCCTTAAAATGAGATTTGGTGGGATTTTGCTAGAATCCTCCCCTGTATTTTTATCTTACGTAATTAATGGATGTCGCCTTATAATATGAAAATTGTCAAACGCTTGAAAAAAAATAACTAAAAAAAATTAAAATTGACTTTTTTTCTTAAAATATTATATTAAATAAAGCCCTTAAATATTTATTAAAAATATGTAATGCTGCCCTATTTAGATATAAACATGTAAATAAACAATAAAAACCGTCTTATCATTTAGAAATATATTTTGCTATTAAATAACAATAGAAAATTATAAAGTTAAAACCATGTTTTATATTACAAAAAATAATAAAACTATAATAAATACATTTCAATAAGAAAATGTATAGATTAAACAAACAATTATAAATTCGGGAATAAAACTGTCAGAGAAGTTGAAAAAATTACATATGTTTTTAGGCATAAGTCAGTATGTACTGAAAAACTTCTCTAGCAGTTGAACAAAATAGTACAAAATATATATACAAGGAAAAAAACGGTTTGATCTTGAATTATTTTTAGCTTTGATTCTAAGGTATACTCAGTTCATGGGCCAAAAATATTACAAGGTGAATTCAAAATAAATTTCACTATTAAATTACAATCTAAAGTACAGTTCTTGTTTACTACAATATATTAAATGAAAATAAAACTTTTTAACCTTGTATATTATCACTATTCAACATATAAAAATTACTTTTAACACGCGTAGTTCCTTGTTGTATTATTAAGTCTTAGGTTTTGTTATTAAAGGCACTATTAATAATAAAAAAGTTAGTTTGAACGTTACAATTTCTTTTAATATACATATACAGGGCGTGTAAATTATCTCTGAAGGCATCCTAAAATCTAATCACTCTGTATATAAATTCCTTTGAGTCTTAATTAATTAAATAAATAAAAGCAATAACTGTAAATATATTAATACTTTTATTCACTTGTTAAGTAGATATGTAACTCAAATAGTCGTAAGTCAAATTTAATACTTTTTGAGTCAAATAAAGTTGTCAGAATATATTGCACTAAAAATTTAGGGTTTTCTGACAATGTGATGCATAACACTAAAATAAAATATAACGCAAAATGTAATTAAAACATTACAAAAATACCAAAAGACAACTAAAGTACTGGCTTGAGCTTATGTATTAATTTGTTCATAGTACTAAGGCAACATTATTTCTTCTATAAATTAGTTATTTAAAAAAAAAAAAGCTTTAAATTTCACTATTTCGCGGCGGTGACCTTTTTACGGCGTTTGTTTAACAGAGGGTTACTGGAATTTTCTAACGGTTTCATTTGTACTTGATCATAGTCGACCCTCATCGTGGCCAAAGAACGCGTCATCTCCTCTTGCACCTCCGGCCACATCTCGAAACTTTCCTTCAACATCTTATTGGTGTGCAGCGGCGTCTGCGGAACTGCAGTGTATTGCTACAAAGATACGTTTAAAAAAAAGCTTGAGCTCGTAAAAAAGCATCTAGCATAACAGTTTAACTTACTGCAATCCATCTATTATGCATCACTTGGTCAATGGTAAACCTTTCACCGGGATGAATATTCAACATTCCTTTAATCAAATCCTTTGCATCCTGACTGACGTTTTGCCATTCGGGATCAGGGAAAGTGTATTGACCCATACGAATCCTACTTTTCATTCCCGGCGATATAGCCAGACCATGGTTGCTATAAAAAGGCGGAAAACCGCACAATCTAAAGAGATAGAGATTAAGTAGAAAAATACATGCTTACGTATTTGAAATACAGTGTGTATTAAAACGAATAGATACACTTAAATAAAACAAGTGCCAAACCCCGCCCACTGTGGTAGGGATTGAATTTGTTTGCTTGAGACTTTGCGTGCGTCTTTGTAAGAATAAAAAAGTATTTTCTCAAATAAAATGGTTTTACCCGTGAGGAAAAATATCAAATTATGGTAATAATAATCTCGATGAATTAAGGGTGCAAATCTTTAATACATTGGGAGATATTAGTCCTGAAATGCTGTTTAACGTGCGCAGGAATTTTTATGATAGGCTAGGGTATTGTTTAACTGCTGCTGGTGGTCTATTTGAACATTTAATTTAGAAAAAAAGGTATTTTCGTTATTTTAGAATTATTTTTGTTTGTGAATTTATTTTTAAGTATTGTTTAAAAACCATTAAATTCCAGTTAATGGCGAAAATGTATTTCTTAAAAACTATACACATTTCCCTACGACAGCGTCGGAGCTACTGAACAAACAGTAGATCAAACTGCATGCCCTTCCTAAAAGGGTTGTTTTTCTTATTTTTTAATATTAAAAGTAAGAAAATTAACTAAATCAAATTATTTTTGACATATTATTATTTTTTTTGTTATTTTTAAAGTTTCAAACAAATAAAATTGAACTATTTATTAAATAATTATAATCGTTCTCTTCTGATTTAAAACAACCTGGCAACTATGGTTCGTTGATTATATACAGTCTGTATATTGTTTTACATTAAAAAAATTCATATAGAAACACAAACTGTTTACTCACAATATATACATGATAACCCCCATGGACCAGACATCACAGCTTTTGTCGTACTTCTCGGGACCGAGCACTTCGGGCGCCACATAGTAAGGGGTGTAGCAGGGGGTTTGAAGCGTGTCTTTAACTAGAGTTTCTTTGGCAAAACCGAAATCCGTCAGCTTAAGTACTCCGTAAGAGCCTTTTTTGGAATACAGTAAGTTTTCAGGTTTTAAGTCGCGATGTGCTATGTTTAAGTCGTGCAAGAATTTTACGGCAATGCATATTTCGTGCATCACTTGGGCAGCCTCTAAAAGAAAGAACACAGGCACATATTTATCCACACAATGTTAAATACGAAATTATTGAGTGTCATAATAAATAGAAGAATCCCAAACTGACTAAAACAGTCAGCCGCCTGCGCAATAGGACTTTGGGCCGCCTTAAAGTCCTACTGCGCAGGCGTATCACTATTTAAGACTGATATAGAAACCAACCTGTTTTATTTAAGCAAGAATATTTCAAAATTTAATTTTTGCATGAAATAAAAATAAAAAGAATTTTACCATAAAAATATTTAAAAGTAATATAATTTTAAATAGTATTTAGTATAAAAAATAAATAAATCTTTTGATTCAAAAGTAGTTAAATTCACACCTCTTTCGTTGAAAGCTCCATCGGGGCGGTCTTGTATTCTTTGGAATAATTCTCCCCCTTCCATGCTAAAATTAAAAATGATTTTCAAGATTTTATTTTTTTGTTAATATCTTTAGGTAGGTACCATTCCATTACGACGAGTAGACATGTATTGTTATTGTATTTATTCTCGTATACATCAATAATATTGACAATGTGTATGCACCCACTGGCTCTCCAATGAAGTTCAACTTCCCTTCGAGCCTTTACACTATCAACTAAAATCTGCAATGATATTTTTATTTTCAAATTATTTCGTTTGTACTGTTAAATTCTTACCTTCAGAGCGTATTTTTCTCTGGTCCGTTTTGAGAAACATTCGACAACTTTACCATTAATACCCAAACCCAGTACTTGCTTAGTAATTTCATAATCTTCCGTAATAGGAGTCCTTTTTGGCACCCTTACATTTTGCTTTACAGAACTCATTTTTGAACAATTATTAAACACAAACCAACCAATACGACTATTTTAAACTATTTTTATATTTGTTATCTATCAGGAACACTTTTTTTTAATTTTTGACAGCTGACAGATCACATAGAAACTAAATTTGAGGTTAAATTTGGTTAGGTTTGTTCCTGCAGAGCATTTGGACTGTCGAATGACCGTGCGCAATAGTAAAATCGCGACCAAATGCTCTGCTGGAACAAACCTTATAAATTGCGCTATTAGTTCTGCATTATCTTTAATTAAATATTGAATAATATTTAATTCGGATTAAGAAAAACGTGTCCTACTGTCCTGAGAAAGTTGTATGCAAAATAAGAAAACGCCTTATTTTTGGGAAATTTGTTTGTTTATTCTAAAATTTATCGATGAGTAACCGCAAAAAAATAATGTATTCTGCATTTCATCCGTCTATGGTTTTAAAGGTCAATTTTGACGTATTACGCGCTATCTGCGTTGCCTACCTCACGCATTCAATAATCAGTGATTTTTCCATTTTCCCTTCGCGAACGAAGTTATATTTATGTTATAATGAATTCGTTGTTTCTGTTATCATTTAACCTATTTGAATCACGATTCACCGCTTTTTTATTATTATTAAGCATAAGAGCTTAATATTTCAGTATGTGTAAAACTTGTTTGTGAATTTAAGTGCAATATTGTTGATTTGTTTATGCCGATATGGATTCGGAACTATCGCCTGAAGAACAACCAACTGGCGAGCGATGGGACCCTCTGGGGGCCCCAAACGACTACGAAGAAAATGATATGGATAAATTTAATTATGAGTGTGACCATGTCCAGTAAGAACTAATTAAATCATTTAATTACTAAAAACTCTTAACATTTTCTTTAACAGTGTGCCATTAGAAAAACTAAAGAATATAGAGGAGGAGCATGAATTACTAAACTCATCTCTTTTCGCTTTAACCACTCATTTTGCCCAGGTACTAACCGTTTTACATTTTACATGCAAACTCTAAAATGACGAATTATAGGTTCAATTTCGGCTTAGGCAAGTCGTAAATGCCTCTGGTGAGGATAAAGAAGAACTCCTCAAGTCACTCGAAGAGTTTGCTTTCAGAGGTATTCCAGATGTGGGCCTGGTTAAGGAAAGAATGGACGAAGCCTCTTTGGCCGAAGCAGTCAGACTCCGAAGAACACAACAGAGGGAACTCATAGAAAGGTTAAAATGCCAGTTGAGGGAACTCGAGCAGTATGCGTTTGAAAATGGGGCTGCTGGGGTGCCACAGGATGTCCTACTCGAGAGGCAAAGGGTGATATTGAACGAGCTAAGCACCAGGATGAATCTCGAGTTGGATGAGCAGAAATACCACCAGGTGAATATTTTTGACTTGCCCTGTATATTTTTATTTTTTATGTTCTAATCAGTAAGTAATTGATAGTTATGTATGTAGGTTATATTTATCTTAATTGCACAGGAAAGTCGTATGCATTATTTCCAGACATCAACAAGTTTATGTATTCCTTAATATTATTTAATTTTTTTTTTAATTACAGATGACCCCAGCAGATGTAAAACAACAAATAAACGTTGCATTAGATGAGCTAGTGAGTCCCTTAAAAGTCAAAGAGCATTTAGTTGCTCAGCTAAAAACTCAGGTGGCAGATCTTGAACGATTTATAACTTACTTGCAAGCCGACACGAAAAACGCGAAATGCTCTTGCGGCTGCGCGTACCACTCTCTAAAGCAACCATTTCAAAATGAAACCACTTTGGGCCTAATTCAAAAAACCGCCACCATACTGCAAATGTTTGCCGCCTTGCAACTCGGCTGCGGACCACAGCAATTCAAGAAAAATGACTTAAAAGCCACCATGAAAGTGAATCATTGGGGGTAAGTTATTTTTTCTCTGCGGAAAATAAATGGTGGGAAATTTTCCAAACGCTTTAGTTTCAGAAACCAACTTTTTTGTGCTTAATAATAAATAATATTGTTTGAGAACAAAACTGATAAAGATATAATTATAAAATTTTAACACAAGTTTTATATATTAATAATCTTGATTCTGTACAAATTTTATTTTAATTGGAACAGTGGCGGCAATTTTATACTGGTTTAAATATAAAAATTTTGTAAAAGTAGATACAAAATTACATTATTTTGTAAACTATTTAATGAATCTTTATAAAATTTTATCACATGTTTTGTGTGATAATAGACTTAATTCTGTAAAAAAGTTAATTTAATTGAATCAGTAGCGGCGAAAATATACTGGTTTAACTTACAGGTATAGCACAAACAACACGTAGTGGATTAGATTTAATGCCATGGGATCTTAGTAATTTATAATCAAAAGTATGTAGGTATTAATCCTGACCCTGTACAAATTTTACCTCAATTGGCACAGTGGCGGTGATTTTATAAGGGTTTAAATGATTAAAATCTTGTTAAAGTAAGTTAAAAAAAAATTATTTTAAAAAATATTTAAAATATCATTATGAAATTTTAACAAGTTTTAAATATTAATAATCTTGATTCTGTACAAATTTATTTCAAATGGATCGGTAATGGCGATTTTATACTGGTTTAAATAAAATCTTGTAAAAGTAGATAAAAATTACATTCTTTTGTAAACTATTCAATGAAATCTTCAAAGCTGAAAAAACGTATTTCATAGTTCTCATATCATTGTTTCTACGTTAGAATCAAATGTCATAATTTCTGATGTAACTAAAGAAAATGATAATAAATAAACAAGTAAAAAAATTGTTGGCACCAAAAATGTTGATTTCTAAGAAACTTCAGGTGTGTATTTTTTTAGCGATCTGCGCGCCAAACTTGAGATCGCTATATCGCGGGTGAAAGATCTGGCTGAAAACGAGGACAAATACAACGACGGCGAATACAGCAGCGATTCGGACTCGCACACGGTAAATTGCAACGTGCATCTGACGACGGCGGTGAGAAAATATCTGGCAGCCTGCATAAGAGATTTAATTCAGCACGGCACGACGGCCGCGCAAAGCTCGAGTCTAGTTCCTTTCATCGGATGCTTCCCGCGCAGGAATTCCCATCCCACTGCGCAGATGCACGCCTGGGAGATCGTTTTGGAGTATTATGCGTTGAAAAACGGGGACAAATTCAACTCCACCCCGGCGAGAAAGTTGTCGCAAAGTTTTAACTTGGATATCGCCGGGGCTTCCCCCACCTCCAACAAGCACAACATGCTGTGCTGCATCGGCGGCATTATAAGCACACACACGCCTTACAAGAGGAGTTACGATTCGCATTTCAAAGCGTTTATCTGCGCAGCATTAAAGTGAGTTAACAATTTGAAATGCATAATTATTCTGATTTATACTTTTTAGCGCAAACAAGTTGGTGCCCTGGTTGAATCTCATTTTTCAATGCAATCAGCTGATAAAAATGCATTATCTTCCATGGAGTTACGTGGCCAAAACTGGCTTTCAAGATAGTTTAAGAAGTTTGGACATCCTTACAGGGTATAAATTTGATTTGCCGGTGGACCTTGCAATTAGACAGTTTCAAAATATTAAAGATGTGTTTACATAATCTAGTCGAAAACTATTGTACCTCTATTTATTTGTTTCTGTGATTTATTACTATTATTATTACTAACCTCTTTGTGGATATTAGAGGTGGAGAACTATCGATAGTGCTGGGTTACGATTAATCGATAGTGCGCTTCTAACACCATCGATAATATCGATAGTACTATCGATAGTTTTAAATTTAATATTGGGGGAATAATAAACAAAAATAAATCACAGGTCGAGTATCACGAACACTTTTGGGAACCCCTTGCACGCATATACCCATAAAAAACCTCTGTGTTATGCTCGCACAAACGGACTTTAAATTATATAGATAACTATTTCGCACAGCAAATGTCATGTAGTCGGTAAAAAAGGATGCTTTCATAATTAAAATTTAGTGACTTTCTACTTATTTTTTTAATATTTTTTATTTTTAATTATATTTAATATGATATATTAAAATTAGAAACTTTAAGGCGATGAATTTTTAGCGGGCGATTTTCGGTGACTATCGTTCAAATTCCTCTGACTATCGATAGATGGCGATAGTGGTTAAACTATCGATAGTCCGATAGTTGCCATCGATAGTTCTCCACCTCTAGTGGATATGTTAAGCCTATTTATTGTATATTAACTATAATAATTATAATAATGGCTTTATTTATTTATGACCCTCAATTTCGCTAAAAAAACGGTGCCGGGACTAAAAAATACATGAACAAAATGGACTTAAATCGTCCGAATGAATAATGCGCATAATATAATATGTAGATAATTAAATGATTTGACATCTGTCAAATGGTTTGGTTAACCTCACTCTCCCAATTTAAAACCCGATTGGTTCAAATCTCAGTGAATAATGAGGCAGGGAATTTTTAATTTTAGTTACGAGTTTTATTAGGCACGAGCGAAGCTTGCGAGCGAGCGTTTAATAAAAATGAGTTGCACACTATACTTTATCTACGACGAGAAGAAATAAAAATTTAAGGTCAATATTTGACGAATTTAACCTTACTTTTTCGCAATTTATAATAAAGCCAACTTCAGCCCGTGACTAAAACTACTGTGGTTTACTTTAGCCCGTGACTAAAACAGCTTGTCGATGTAGGAGTAGATGAAATAGTTTATTAAAACCCACATATTCATATAAAACTATTTATTAAATGCAATAACAAAAACGAGCATTATCTAGCAGTAATTTATAAATACTGTAACTAGACTAGAAACAACAAAATCTCGAATATTTTTTAATCTTTTTTCTTGCTTTTTTCTGTCTTTGATAAACCTGAAAGCACTCTGGTTGGCACTTCGGCAAACAATAGGGTGCCAACAAAGACTAAAGCTGTGCCAAGCCAATGAGCAAAAGTGAATGGGTTTTGGAAATAAACTATGGAAAATATTAGAGATAAAAATTTTCTCAAAGTAATCACCAAGGTAACCGTCAATGACGAACACTCGGTTGTCAAAACATAAACACTACTAATACATAAGTATTGCGTCACAACGTTTAAAACTAAATACACCCAAATGAGGGGCAAGGCGAATTTTAAAATCGGTATTTCAAAAGGCTCGCTGCCATTGGCCACCGCGATGTGCTCCATGATACTGCTCGAGTACAAAAGAAAACCAGGTAAAGAGTATAAATGCTAAAAAATAAATGTAGTTTTGTAATAATTTGCGTTAAAAAAATTACCGTATAATATAAGGCTTCGCTGGGGTGTTTTCCTCGTCTTGTGTAAAGGGATTCCTGATAAATTCCCATTCTAGCTGATAATAGAAGAGCGAATGTTAAAAGTGCAATCCCAATTGCCCACCAGAAAAAGTAATTAGGGTCTTCAGGGGCTTGAGTATTATTAGTATTTACAGTCATATCACAGTCAATACATTTCTAAAACAATCAAATATTGATACATTAAGAGGTATAATATATTAAGGTTTGTACCAAACTGTCTGAAACTGCGCATGCGCAGTAGGAGTCTTGTAGGAACAAACCTATTATTTAAGAATAGTTACCTTGGCAGAAGAATTTTGGCTTGAATAGTATGTACATACGATTATACCTATAGTTATCATTCCTACAGATAAATATTTCCCAAAAGGATACTTCTTTTTCAGTATAAATTTGCCCATTATTAAATTAGCTATTAAGGAACCCTAAAATTTAAATAATTAAGTACTATAGTTCACCCCCAGTAGTCCCACTTTAACATTTGAGGACAAATAAGTGAGGTTATGTATCTGTCAAGTTTAACGCTAATTTTGTCTTATTTTCGACAAATATCACAATATAGATACATAGTACTTATGTCTATATTTTGTATTCCAAATTAAGACATTTATACATACATTATTTTCACAAAATAGCGTTAAATTGACAGATATATAACCTCAATTATTTGTATTCAAATGTCAAGGTGAGGCTTTACAATGTGGAGCATTCAATATAATTGACTCAATACTTACAGCTCTAAAAATCATATGTAGCGGGACAGGTATGTTGAAGTTAAAGGCCCAATTATTCACAACACTAGTGACGAAAAACATTGTAACCAAAATTAAATATTCTTTAAGTGCAATTTTCGGTTTGACGGTGCCAAACTTGTGTGTGAAAATAAATCCATGAACGGCGATGAATAAAAATTGCAAGAATGTTATTAAATGTCCGCATCCTGGATCCAATCTACGAGAAATATTGTTATTATAATAATAATAGAAAAATAATATAATACTTACTTTATAATATACTCCAGAAATATATTATTAAGTCCGCATCCCAGTAGGACCGTAAAAATAGCAAGAGCTGCCTTCGAGTTCATTTTTAAGTCTTTAGTCCAAAAACACAACTGAACCTTTCATAGCAATTTAAAAACTGATATTACATAAAATATTGGTTTGGTCAAAATTTGTTTAATTATCTATTAGTGATTAAACACTCATCCTATCCTAAAATATAAAAATTGTCTGAAATAGGAATAGATATAATTTAATTATAATATTATCAATGACATGCATTTAAAACTTTTTTTTACACTAAGGTAATGACAATGTTTATTATTTATCGTCGAAAATTCCGATAACCTAACCTTGAATAATGTTTTTTTGAAAATAACCGTCTGAAAATAAACAACTTAATAATAAGGTATAATATTATTATTACTGTGGTTGGTAGTATTTGTTTATTCTGGAATTTAACTACTGATTAAAAAACCAGATTCACTATACAATAATTGCTAAATTATTTATTTATTACCATAAGTAGAAAAAAAAAATTTAATTAATTAAAGCAAAATATTATTGTAATTTATTAAAAATAGATTTCTTACAAAAATAAATCAAAAAACAACTCGTTTACCTTTAAATTTAGCGCTGTTAAACTTACACTCGATTGGTCAATGACAAGTGACACATCACTGACATTAAAAGCCGTAGTTGCCACGTCTGCCACCAACTAATTTTCGGTAACAAAACAATCGGGCAACGCCGAATTTTAACAATCATAGGCAACCCAGATGACGCAACTTTTATTAGTAACGTATATACGTTGCGTAATCTGGGTTGCCGTACCTTAATTGAAATAATTAGTTGTTGGTAGCACTGTTATTTTAGTAATGCAGTGCAGCCAACAAAATATTCTAAAAGTAACTAAGAATTTCTCAAGAGCGTTTATACAATTTTACGATTAGAATAACATTACTCATTTAAAGTTATGTGTATTATTGTGAGAAAATTTATTAATTAAAACAATAACAAAACAGTTTTTTATGTTAAGACGTCGAAATGCAGTTATTATGTGAAAAAAGGCGTTAAAAGACTAAACAAATGTGTATGAAGGCATTTAAAATTCAATTTTGTTTTGTTTTTCTTTATAATGAGACCGCAGATCGGTCTAAATGGGACAAATTTTAAGAAGAAAGTGTTTCGTTAATAAATAATGCCACTAATTGGTTAAGTTTGTTTGGGATCAATTTAAAAGTGTGGGAATTTCTAATATGAGTCATACAAGTGAACAAAATCCTCTATCACAGCCTCTTAGGGTAGAAACTGATGATAACAGTGTCCACACCGATAGCAACAACTATTTCGAGGAAAAGGACAGTTTCAGCCAAAACAACGATCATGATGATTCAGACTCATTGGGGCCTCTGCCCACCAAGTGGGAAAAGGCATACACCGAAAGTGGGGAAGTCTATTTCATCGAGTAAGTACACTTCAATTTTACCCTATTTATTAAAGCACTAACCAAATATATTTAACTATGTCAAAGTAAAAGTTTAAACAGGATGTGGGCCATGTTTAAGAGAAAACATATCATTTAATAATAACTAGTCAGATAAAAATATGTGCCACATCTGCCTTTATATGCAACTCACATGTGTTATGAAATGAACCCACCACATGATAGTGTTAGTTTGTAATCTTTATTTAGATTATTAAAATTAGGGGAATGAAAATTCCAAAATTGTTAGGAAATAGTAGATTATATTTTTTATATTATTATAGCTTTTATATACATATATTTTGTATTTTCATTTATCATTAAAAAATTATAAAAAGTATGTTTATATGAAAACTATAATTGAGATACTTAAGTAATTTAAAATGTTTTGATTTATGAAGAACACTTTAACTTTGACAAGTAATTAACCTAACTTTTCAGTTTTGACATTTATTAATTAACCTTATTTGCTTGTCATTGTAGCTGTCTGGTGGACTGAATATTATTTATTTAGAACAAATTTTGTTTTTTTAAATAATTTGCTTTAAATTGAAGCTTTTTTCTTCTTATACCTATTAAGTTGTTTTTCCGCTTTAAAATTGATTTTTTTAAAATAGCAATGTGGGTGTCATTGAATAATTCATTTTATTACCTATAAAATAAAAATCTATGATTACAAAATTAATTAAGGTTTATAAATAGTTTCTTATTGTACAAACACACAATAAAAATTGCAAGGACTAAGCATCATACAGAAATCTATTGTGCAATACATATACATAATTATAAGTTAGGTATTAACAAAGATATTTCCTATAAAAAATATCTTCTTCCAATATATTAAAATCTAATAATACCAACTTGATTTTAACACTTTTTTTAAAATTATTTTAGTTTGATTTCAGTATTTTTTAACTTTTTTTGAAAATATTGTGTTTAAATTTTAATTGGGAACAAATTTAAAAATTTTGATTCACACCTTTATAAAAAATTAAGTTTTTGGGTAAAAATAAAATTTATTATGATTTTTTTTTAAATAAAGATTAAAATCCAAACTCAATCTATGAAAAAATAAAACTTCCAGCCATTCTAAAATTCTGAATTAAAATCGTTTACTGTTTTCTGTTTCTCAAAACTAAATTGACAAACAAAGACAGCAAATTGTAAGGATGATTTTTATATTTCTTAGACCAGTTAGACCAGCAAGTTATTAACAAAGATATTTCCTATAAAAAAGTATCTTCTTCCAATATATTAAAATCTAAAAGTACTAATTAATACCAACTTGAATTTGACACTTTTTTAAAATTATTTTAGTTTGTTTTCAGTATTTTTTAACTTTTTTGAAAATATTGTGTTTAAATTTTAATTGGGAACAAATTTAAAAATTTTAATTCACACCTTTATAAAAAATTAAGTTTTTGGGTAAAAATAAAATGTATTATGATTTTTTTAAATAAAGAATAAAATCCAAACTCAATCTTTAAAATTAAAATCTTTAACTGTTTTCTGTTTGTCAAAACTAAACTGACAAAGACAGCAAATTGTAAGGATGATTTTTATATTTCTTAGATCATATTTCTTAAAAATCAGAATGGGATAAAATACTAATTCATTTAAAATATTAATTAACCTGGGTCTCATGCAAGGTTTTATAGTTTAAATTAAGCAAATCTTATGATTTTTACGACTAATCCACTTAAAAAACCCTAAGCATAAGTTTTGTTCAATATAAAAACGTCTTATAGATATCTTACAGAGGACATTTTGCTGGTGGGAAGATTTTTTTTAAATGATTTAAATCGCTGTTATCTAAAATCAATCTGTAATCATATCTAGGATTGTTTGTCTTTGTTTATAATTCTAGGGGTGAATTTTATTTAATTTCGTGGGGTCCCCAAGGGCCCCAAATAAAAAAACTGCCTTATGAAACATTGTAATTGTTTCTTGGTAGAGATGTAAAAAAACCGTTTTTTTTCTGATGTGAGAAAAAAACCTAGAAAAAAAACGGTTTTTTTTTTTTCAAAATGAAATTTTGAGTAAAATATATATTAATAATAAAGTGAAATGTAGAATATGTTAAATTTTTCATTATTGAAAATTTTGACCGAGACTAAAAAATCTGATTTCTTATGCAATGTAAAACTTCTACACCAATACAAAAAAATTAAAGGATAAAAAAAATTGTTTTGCGATTCTTCGCATAGATGTATCTTTGATAAAAATGGTCGTATTGGAGCCGTCAAAAAAGCTTCTAGTTTTGAGATTTTTAGATGAAAAATGTGTAACGCTCAATCCTAACAAATACCGTAATAAAAAAAATCGATTTTTTTTTTGCTTTCTGGTCCACGGAATGTTCTGACTTAACCACCAATGAATAAATGTTCTACAAGAATTTGGTATTGTTTTTTTGAAAAAAAAATTCCATACTCAAATCATGAAAAAAGTGCTTTTGGAAGCTTTTTGAAAAATCAAGCGCTGAATGAAAAAAATTATATGTAGTTACTTTTTTTAGGACCAAAATGAAAACAAGGGCTGCCCTTATTGGTCAATTAGGTGGTGGTGGCGCGTGCATAGCGCGAGACTGTATTTACATTTATTAATTGTCATTTAGTGGCTAATTTTAGTCCAAAAAACAATGAAAAAAAACTTGAAAAAAAAAACAAAATAACGGACCGTTTTTTTTCAAGTCGCATCTGTATTTCTTGGTTAATTCTATTAATAATTGAATGATAGTATACTATAGTAAAGAAATGTATTTTAAATTTTAGTCATTCGACTGGGACTTCGCATTGGCTGGACCCACGGCTATCAAAATTCCAAAAAAAATCCCTAGAAGACTGCCTGGACGACGAGCTTCCGTACGGCTGGGAAAAAATCAGCGACCCGCATTACGGCACGTATTTCATTGATCACGTGAACCGTAGAACGCAATACGAAAATCCGGTGATCCAGGCGAAGCGAGCGGCCTCTCAGCCTTCGACGAGAGCGAGTCGCACCTCGTTTACCAAAGATCCGTCCGAGTTGTGCGGCCAGCGATTTCGCACCTCGCTGGTGAAGTCATCGAGAGGGCTCGGGTTCACGATCGTGGGCGGCGACGACGGCGTCGACGAGTTCCTGCAAATCAAGTCGGTCGTGCCGAAAGGGCCGGCCTGGCTCGACGGGCAGCTGCAAATGGGCGACGTGATCGTCTACGTGAACGACACCTGCGTGCTGGGCTACACGCACAACCAAATCGTCAGGTTGTTTCAGTACATAAGCGTCGGCTCGACGGTTTCCTTGGAGGTTTGCCGAGGTTACCCGTTGCCGTTCGATCCGAACGACCCGAACACCGAAGTGGTGACCACCATAGCGGTGGACGGGCATTTGCAGCCGATAGCGAACGATAAGAGGCTCTTGGATACGAACTACAACTTTTTGGACGGCGACGATATTTCGCGCGGCGACGAAGACACCGCCGACGATATCGATGACCTGCTGAAGGGTATCAGTAGCCTTACTTTGGGCAAAGTCGAAGTGCGCGTGCGTATAGTCAAAGGTAACCTCGGCTTTGGCTTCACCATAGCTGATAGCGCGTGCGGACAACGCGTCAAGAAAATACTCGACCGTCAAAGATGCAAAAACTTGATGGAAGGCGACATATTGCTGGAAATTAACGAAGTACCTCTACAAAACATGTCGCACGACGATGTGGTGCAAGTGCTGAAAAATTGCCCTTACAACAGCGAAGCCACAATATGCGTGCAGCGCGGCTGCGCCAACAATAAAACGCCAAATATTAGAAATAAGCCTAGAAAGTTAGATAATAGATTCGGTGGCAAGGACATAGGCAGCGCCTACAGAAGCAAGACACCGACAGCCGACATATACAGCACGCAGCCCAGAGAAGTGCTGCCCAGCAGGCCGAAAACGCCTCTGGTGGACACGCGAAGCCTCTCCAAGACGCCCGTAAAAGACCTCAACTCGAACGGCAATCACGAAATGTTCAGGCGCGAGTTCTCGAGCGAAAACTTCAACGCGGAACGCACCGGGCTGCGCCTCTCGCTCATCGACAACCCCGACGAGGACGTCGACATCGACATACCGGAAACGGCGATGCCGCCCCTAGCCAAGCCCTCCTACGAGTTCCCCCCGCCGGTCGACCCCAAGTACGGTCTGTACATGCCCGTGCCGCACCGGTACGACTGCGCGTGCTTCGCTTGCGCCAATCAGCGCGCAGGACCCGCCGACGCCGACAAAAACGGCTACGACTGGTGGTACTCGTCGAGAAATGTCGAGTACGTTACGACAGCTGTCACTTTGAGCAGGCAGGAGACCGGCTTCGGATTCAGGATTGTCGGAGGGATTGAAGACAAATCGCAGGTAAATTCTACCATTTCTTTTTCACATATTTTTCTAGGTTTTACATTCTTAAATATAATATCTTCATTTGCAAGCTATACATAGGGAAAATACATTGTAGGTGGAAGAGACAAGTCGAAGTCGCGCGGGTCGGCGCGAAACTAAAATGTTCCCAGAAATTATTTTGACGAGTGGATGAGTAGACTAGCATGCGACGTAACAGGTGACCTTGTTTACTGGCGATTAAAATTTTATTACGTCCTAATAATTTCTGAGAACTTTTTCGCTTTGCGCTAACTTCAACTTGTCTGGCCCACCTACAATGTATTTTCCCTATGTATAGCTTGCAAATGAAGGTACGGTACATCAAAATTACTTTAAAAATTGAAATAAACAACTAAGAATGCAAGAATCGTATCTAAAAATATCAAAACTACGTCATTTTCAAAATTCTTGTACAGTAAAAACAAAAACTTAATCTACAAACCTCTTTTTTCCAACTTTTGTTTATTTGGGGTTGTTATTTAAGTGGGCAGTTGGATTTTTTAAATAAGCCCTTAAAAAGAAAAAAAATGGTCCCCTGGGTCACAAATTTACTAACATATTAAAAAAACTTAATCATTTTAAAAATATATTTTTTTGCTTATTAATAATCCTTTTAGGTTTTATTTACACTGGGATTTGTTTTAAAAAAAGAACATATGTACATTTTTTATTTATAAAAAAAATTTTGAGTACAAAACTAAGTTAAAGCAAAGACTATGTTCTATTTCTCAACTTTCTTACATACATAACATAAATTAAAAATACTTATGTATTTTTAATATATTTCCTGCATTTAAAAAATGTCTATTTAAAAAAGTTAGTTTAAGAAATTTTCTCTTTTAATCTTATTAAAAACGTTTTTACTCGATTTTTTATATTTGTCCAATTTAATGAGCAATAAATTAATAAAAAGTTTTGTTTATTAGTAATATTAATAAAATAATAATAAAAAGTCAATATAAACATTGTTTCCAAAAAAAATTTTCCAGCTTCTTTGAGGCAAAATACATTGACTGGGAAAATTACTATTAAAAAGGTGGAGGTCATTATTTTAAATTTGCTACATACTGTCAGAAACAGAAAAGGTGGAATGTTACTACTTTCTATTACTGTGACACAGGAGAATACACAGTTTTGCCACGCTGGTGTAAAAAATACAAAAAACTTGTTGTGGCTTCAAGATAGTTCACCATTTCCTACTTAAATCCTTTACCAAATACATTGCCGCAAAGGGGCAGCACCAAAAAATGTGCGCTCAATTCAAAAGGTCATTTATAAAAGCTGTGACCCAGGAGACGTGACCTAGGGGACCAAAATTAAGGGACAAACCTTGGGTGTTATTTTAACCCCTTGTATTTTTAAATATTACCACAAATGGGTTTTTTTTGTAATATTTGGAATATATTCTCAACTATATAAAAAAGGAGGATGTTATTTTACTCTAAGATTTTTAAAGTATCTAAGATACTACCCGAAAATATCTAAGATATTTTATGAAAGTATCTAAGATACTTTTGAGTAACTAAGATACTTTTAAATAACTAAGATACTTTTAAGTAACCAAGTTACTTTTAAGTATGAATAAAAACTATAAAATTATGAAAATTCAAAGTTCAAAATTCAAGTTGTAGGTTAGGTAATTACTTTGAATCATTCTGGAATTCCCCCAATTTTATCTAAGAAAGTATCTAAGTTACTTTATCTAGTAACTTTTTGTCCAATATAAAAAGTATCTAAGATAAAGTATCTTGGATACTTTAAGTTACTTTTAAGTATTTTTTTTTTCAAGATACACCCAGCTCTGAGCACAAATGATTTTTTTCATATTCATTTTAGAATTTTCTGTTATCTTTGGCATTGTTTATAATAATTTTAACATTTAAATAATAATGTCAAAGTAAAATTAAGGCATTTTTAAGAGGAGTACCAATTTTAAATATTAAAAACACCAAAGTATATTGATATACAGTACCAACAAAATTTTATGCTTCATATCAAAAAGTCTTACTTTGACATTTGAACAATTGAGGTTATGTATCTGTCAGTTAAATGCTAATTTTGAATTATTTTTTAAAAATAAAACGAAATTAACTGACAGATACACAACCTCACTTATAGGATTGCGTTCATTATTTAAATGTCAAAGTGGGATTTTTTAAACTGAATAATACACAATTTTTATTTTGAATTACGCTCCCATTTATTGTAATAATTGCCGAAATAACATTTTACACGATAAATTTAGGGAAAATAATAAAAACGTCATTAATTTGCATAATTAGTTTTCTCTGCGAAATAATCCATTATCTGCTTGTGCATATGTGACTTGCCCATACGTATCCACTCTGTCATAATCAACCTGATCATTCGGATTCACCAAAGTATCTATAACTCTTTGCTCGAAGGTTGAGGGATTGAATTTAATGTATGTAAAGTAAAAATACCCGCTTAATTGGAGGATTCTGTCCTCGTTTAATTTGTTGTAGAAAGTGACCATGATTCCCTTGGGATTAGCTTTGATTTTATACGCACGATTCAGGAAATACTTATTGTTCTCTTTTATATCTCTTGTATACTGTTCTATGTCGTCGTTGAAGACCATTTTGACCGACTTCCAATGTCCCTTCCCAAGTTTGTCGCTCGCTATGAGCAGGGAGGGTTTTTTTTGATGGGTGAACTTATTAATCAGCTTTCTACGTTTAGCAACAGTTTTTTTACAAATATACTCGAAGATTCGGGGCTTGTATTGAGGGTACCTTTCCAGCATGTTATCCAGAATAATAGTGGCCCTGGTTTCGTGAGCGTACAGAATGATGTTCCCCTTATTCAAAATTTTAAGCATTCTAGCGACTACTTGCATGATTGTAACCCAACTGGTACATTCCTGCATGTATATATCCACATTTGGGAAGTAATTTTTTTTTTTGTAAACAATATCTTCCTCTGATGATTGCATTTCGGCGTCTTCTTCTAAAATATCCCAAATTGTGTGCATAACCTCCTCATGATCAATATCCATTTGGAAAATCTGTCAAATAAATTTAAAACCACTTTTTAATGCTAAACTAAAGAAAAATGCACAATATACCTTCCTCAACAATTATTCAGCGATTAAAAGCAGTTTAAACGTTTTTTTAAGTCAAGTTTTCAAGTCTAAAAAAAATTCCCATTTATTGAAAATTAACCCGGTTTTTTTATACTTACCCCGTGTAGTTTGGCTTAAAAATTAACAATATTGGCTTTTTTATTGTTTTTTTTCGTTGTTATGCAAATTAATTAGTTTTTTGCTAAATTCAAAAATTGTTTGACGGTAACTGTCAACGTCAAAAAAAAAGGAAAGTTACATATACAGGGGTGGCCAGACTAAATATTTGACGTTTAGATTTTTGCAAATATATTTAATTTAAGAAAAATTAAAGAGTTTTAATAAAATATTTATTTATATATTCATTTAAATATTGTTTATTTAAATATTATAATAAATAAAGAAAATAAATTGAGTACATTTATGTACAGGGGTAACCAAAAAAATTATTTTTAAAAATATTGAAATAATGGTAAAGTAAATGGGTGACCAAATAAAAAATAAGCGTTTTTGCAGTTGTATTATGTTTTTAAGTTTTGTTCAGTTAAAACTATGTTTTAGTAGTTAAATTTGTTCTTCCAGAAAATCTCGACTGTCAAATGTACGTCAGGGACATGCGCAATACACATCAAATGGAACAAAAGTATAATGGGTTGCGTTATTTTTGTTTACATATATTTAAACAATAATAATGCAATTGTTACATTTTAGCACAAACACAAATGAAGAGTTTAGCGGATAAACATTGGAGTGACATTTTTGCTTAGCACGAAAATGTCACTTAACATGTTTAGCCACTAAGTTCTTCAAACGTTGTAACTCAAGGCTTTTTATTTGTATTATGCGCATGTGCCAACTAATCTGCTTGAGAATACTTCTTAAGCCTGATTTATAGATTGTCTTTCTTCGTTCCTTCCGTAAAAGTTGATCAATACAAAAACCGTAGTGCTGTTTATAAATTCCCGTACGGGAGTCGTATTGTTCAACTTTTACGGGAGGAAGAAAGAAAGGCAATCCATAAATCAGGCTATAAGTTCCAACAACAAAGTCATGGAGACTACATAAGAAGCATTATTTTTACCACTAGCGTCAATACAAAGTTTGATGTTACCATTATGCAGATTCTTTAAGTACAGTTTTTGTGTGTCAATAAGTTTTGTTATTTATAATTACGTAAACAAACAGAACACTAGTCCCTTCTTATTTTGGAAAGTCATGCGTATACATTGAGTTCGTGCTCCCTAATGTAGTCTCCATAAACAACGTGTTTTTTGACTGGAACGGGAATCTGGACAGTAAAGGTGGGAGAGACTAAGACACCACTGTTGATCGATAGTGTTTTCTGAGCCTCTCCCACTTTTCCCCGTACTCGTTACCGGGTTGTTGTGCAGCGGGCTTAAAACTAATTTCTAATTAATTTAATTTAGGTAGCGGTCGGTCACATTGTGACAGGCGGCGCCGCCGACGTGGACGGGCGCATCCGTTCGGGCGACGAAATCGTCAGCGTCGACGGGCTCTCGGTTCTAAAAGCCTCGCACCGCCAGGTCGTGCAACTAATGAACGCGGCGGCGGCTCGCGGCCAAGTGAATCTCATACTGCGCAGAAAAGTCTATCCCGGACCGCCAGTGAACGCGCAGGCCTATCCCGTGCCGTGGCCGCACGACGCTTCCCCCTCCACCAACGCCGCTGCCAATGCGCTTGCGCAGCCCTTGGCGGTCGCCACGCAGCACCACGCGGGCCCCACCTACGACGTCGCCGTGCAACGCACGGAAAACGAGGGCTTCGGATTCGTCATCATCTCCTCAGTCAACAAGATCGGAAGCACAATAGGTGAGATCTCGGGTTTTTTTTTTATTTATTTATTTACTTACCCAAAAAGACCAAAGGTCCATAACAAGTAAAATACAATATAAAAAAAATGTTTATATTTAAATTTATACAATATATAATTTACTTAATACTCTGTATTGTAGTTTCTTTCTTCAATTATTAGATTTTTTACAGCCCGCTGGAAAACATTGATATTTGTTTGGTTCTTAATTCTTTTTGACGGCCGCAATTGTCGGACCGCGCTCTAAAAGCCTCGGATCTAAAATAAATTTTTCTAGGTCGTTTGATCGAAGACAGTCCGGCTGAACGTTGCGGCAGGTTGCGCGTGGGAGACTACATCGTTGCGGTCAACCACATCGACATTATGCACCTGAGTCACGGGGACATTGTGAACTTGATCAAGGAGTCCGGCCTCTCCGTCACGCTCACGATCGCGCCCAATCAAGATCTCTGATTCGCTATGCGCAGAACGACGGCCGACGGCTGCGCGGTAAGAAATAATTATTATCGCCGAATCGAAAGGTCTGAGTAACACCTAGATGTAGTTGGTGCAGTGTTTTTTGAATTTAAATAATAAAGTTACTGGGTGTTCCTAAGACGTTTTGTCTGGTGTAAATATACACAATAAATGCCTACACAGGGTGTACTTGTTAAATTTGGTAGCTAGGATATTTGACATGGTAGTTAAATAATCAAAATTTAGATTTTTGTGATAAAGATGAATTTATTGTTGTGCAGTTAAAGGGCCTTAATTTTAAAGAATTTTAGAGTTGCAGCATGTTAGATAGGGCTTAGTATGTGTAATACAACAGTGTCTGCCAAAAATTAATAAGTGTCCCTTCTCCCTTACGAAATATTTACTCTTTAAATGTTAAGTAATAATTTATATATTAGATAGAATATTTTTTGTTATATTATATTATATATAGCAAATAGATTATATAGTGAACCTATGTAAGCTCAATGTTGTTTAACTGATAGATGTCAGTGAACGTTTTTAAAACCAAATTTAAATATTAAATAAAAATAACGTATGTTAATGTGATAGCATAAAATCTCACTGCCTAATTAGTAAATTTAATATGTTTTATAGTGACGGACATTTTAACAGAATTCTCTGTAAATCCATTGTTTGACTGATCAATATTTTATTTATGTAATTAATTAATTCGAATGACTGAATTTCAATGATCAATAATATTTTTTAAACTTTTATTAGGTTTATTAAATTTGTGATATTTTACGAAATTGACTAATTTTACTCGTACTATTTTAATCATTTCCCAAAGATGGATTTTCTTAAAATTTGCATAATGTTTAAAAATTATTATTGAGTCATACCTGTTACCTACTACAAGGATCGACCATACTAACGCAGGTTATCAATTGGTTCCAGAGCTGTGTGTACTTTTATTAATTTTGTATTTTATTAAGAGTATGTGTACATTAGGTTGTCCGTTATTTACCAAGTTGATTTTTTTTTCAATAGTGCCTCCTCCATTTTAGAGGGCACTGTCGAAAAAAAAATCAACCTATTGTGCTCAAGACATCTCGGTACTAAGTAGTGCTAACCTGTATTAGTATAGTAACTTGCAATTATTTACTTTAATCTCTTATTACTTTTAATTTATTTTTATATTACTACTTATATAAATGTTACCTTTGTATCATACAACACTTTATTTTAGTTTTACAGTAAGTAATGTTTGCAATATGACACTTAAGATTAATTTTGAAACTGACTATAGAAAACTTGCCTTAAATTTGATCTGAATTAATAAATATGTATATTATATATGTATAATGTTGTTATAATTAGTATTATATTATATTATGTAACCTGTAAGAGTTTAGTATAAGTTACATTATATTTCAGTCTGTCTCATTGTTAAATTTGTTAAACATTAAAAAATTATTGTTAATCCGGCCAACATTATTAAAAAAATATTGTATGTAATAGACTGATATTTTGTATATAATTTTATCTCTTTCTTATTTTTTTCAATATATTATATTAAATTACTTATGTGTTTTATTAAATTACAGAAAACATTTTCAACCAACTTTTAAAATCCTAACCTAATTCTTTAAAAAAGTTTCATCTAGCTTAATTTGACATTTTTAATTTGCAATATTAAAATAATAGTAGTTTGGTGTTGTGAAGTAACAAAATAAAAAACTAATAACGGACATTTTCGGAAAATATTAGTTCCACTTTTGGCCACCACTTTGAGGGGGGCGCCACCATCGCACAAAATTATAAGTAGTTCATATTTTGCCCGCTAGGGGGCGCCTTTGGAAATTTTAGTTCCAAGTTTCACCGCCAGGTGGCTTCACCTATAAAAGTAAGTCATCGACGGAGGGGTGGGCAGTGGGGTGGCCGGAGCCATCCGACGCACTACTATCCAACTTTTAAAATCCTAACCTAACATTCTTTAAGACTGTTTTAGCTAGCTTAATTTGACATTCTTAATGTGTGATATAAAAATATTAGTAGTTTGGTGTTGTGAAGAGTCAAGATATAAAAATATTAGCGGTGAACAGCGCCATCTGTTATCCGGTAGCGAAACTTTGAATTTACAGAAAACTTTATCAAACAATTTCTTATCACATTTTTGTAAAACATTAGTTCCACTTTTTGCCACCTATTCGAGGGTGGCGCCACCGTCGCACTAAATTAAATGTAGTTTGTATTTTGTCCGCCAGGGGGCGCTTTTTAAATGTTAGTTCCAAGTTTCGCCGCTAGGTGGCTTCACCTATAAAAGTAAGACATCGACGGTGGGGAGGGCATTGGGGTGGTCGGAGCCATGCGACGCACTACTAACCAACTTCTAAAATCCTAACCTAACATTCTTTAAGACTGTTTTAGCTAGCTTAATTTAACATTCTTAATGTGTGATATAAAAATAATAGTAGTTTGGTGTTGTGAAGAGTCAAGATATAAAAATAATAGCGGTGAACAGCGCCATCTATTATCCGGTAGCGAAACTTTGAATTTACAGAAAACTTTATCAAACAATTTCTTATCACATTTTTGTAAAACATTAGTTCCACTTTTTGCCACCTATTCGAGGGTGGCGCCACCGTCGCACTAAATTAAATGTAGTTTGTATTTTGTCCGCCAGGGGGCGCTTTTTAAATGTTAGTTCCAAGTTTCGCCGCTAGGTGGCTTCACCTATAAAAGTAAGACATCGACGGTGGGGAGGGCATTGGGGTGGTCGGAGCCATGCGACGCACTACTAACCAACTTCTAAAATCCTAACCTAACATTCTTTAAGACTGTTTTAGCTAGCTTAATTTAACATTCTTAATGTGTGATATAAAAATAATAGTAGTTTGGTGTTGTGAAGAGTCAAGATATAAAAATAATAGCGGTGAACAGCGCCATCTGTTATCCGGTAGTGAAACTTTGAATTTACAGAAAACTTTATCAAACAATTTCTTATCACATTTTCGTAAAATCTTAGTTCAACTTTTTGCCACCACTTTAAAGGTGGCGCCACCATCGCACAAAATTAAATGTTGTTCGTTTTTCTTTCTTATCAAATCTTTGGATACTAAAATATAGATTACAGCTAGCTGCTTTTTTATGTTATTTATGAGCCCTGAAAGAGTAAGTTAGTCAAATGAGATAAAGGGAGTATGTTTGAACAATTTATTGTATAAAAGTAACATTAAATATAAAAATAATTTAGAAGTTATGTACACAAAACATAAAACACAATCTGACATAAGTCCTCTATAGATGATTAGGAATCTGAAAGGGAATTTGTAATCAAAAAATATGTCATGCATTAAAAACAATAATCTACAATAATAAAAGCGTAATTAAAAAAACAAGGATAACAAGCCTAATATGAGTTATTATTATTAACATTAACGAAGTTTTGGCAGCGTTTTTTATTATAACCAGGCAGCTGCGAAGCGTTTTTGGGAGATAACTTGCCTGCAGCGTCGGCTATAGCCTTTTTATAAATCGCCTCTAGTTGAGGCTGAACATAGCCTAAAAGTGGGCGCATCGACGGTTCAGCAGACCAGCAGCGCTCCATCAGGTTCCAGCAGGAATCATCAAAGTGAGGGAGGCACTCCGGCCTTATACCTGCATTTATTCGTTATAAACTGATCAAAGATTCCTTTAATCTCACTTACCTTTCTTGACACTGTTCCACAGCTGCTCCTTATTCTGAAACTGGTCGAAATGATTGGGCAGCTTCACTTGACCGGCACAGATGTACCAGAACAGTATGCCGAAAGCGTACACATCCACACTGGAATCGTATCTTCCTGAGAGCAGTTCGGGAGCCATGTGCACAGGAGTGCCAACTATACTGCCCGACATCATTGCTTCAGGTATGCAGAAACCAAAGTCGGTAAGTTTCGCCCTATCTTCAGTATCCAGCTGTAAAAAGGTATTTTTGTTAAGTGGAAAGAAGAGTAAGAAAGAAAGAAAAAGCTCACCAAAACATTTTTTAATTTGATATCACGATGCACCAGGCCTTGCGAGTGCAAATATCTAATGCCTTCGATGACATCAATGGCTATTTGCACCCTGGAAACCCATGTAAGTCCATTTCTTAACCCGCAGTATAAATCTCTCGTCATTCTCTCCATTATCAATAGAACAGCCGGCGAACTGCCCCCACCATAGGTGAAATCTATCACAGAACCACGAAGGCGCACTATTCTCGGGTGCTCGGGAATAGTCCTCGTGTAGTAGAACTCCATAGCCAGATCGTTCCAGTGCCGATCGTCCGGAGGCACGACCGACTTGAACGCGCAAGGATTGATTCCCTGCCAAGGCTCGCAGGACGACACGACCCCATATTGCCCCCTGCCTATTTCCTTAATTTGCTTGGGCATGCCCCACAGCACCAGATCGCAAAGCGACGTGCTCTCGAGCGCCAGGCGCGCAAACCTCGGCGCGTGCCGCTTCCTTATCGTGATCCTCTGCTCCTCCGTCTGCTCGAGCTGCCCGAACAGCTGGTTCTCCAGCGAACGCATGGCGGCTTGGAAGGCGTCGTGCGACGACTTGACGTGCTCTTGAAACTGCAGCGATATGGTTTTGGCCAGCTTCGACGCGCTCAGAGACTCGATCATGTTGGAGACCACTTGCAGCTGCCATTGCAGGTTGCTCGATTGCACTTGGCAGGAGTGCGTCCACGGCAACGCCAAGCCGGACAGCAGCGTTCGAAGTCTGTCCATGAAAGTGCGCACAGCGGAAAAGCTCGTCGAAGACTTCAAGTCGATGTTGTAGGCGGCGCTGATTATTTGTTTCACAGCGTCCGACGCTGAAAGGCTGCCTTCGAAATCGTGCACGTTTTTTTCCAAACTCTCGAGGCACCTTTGCAGCGTGCCGGTGAAACTCTCCTGCAGACAGCCCACAGACTGCACGATCTGATTGGCCACCGAGTTACTTAGCCTCCCTAGAACCAGCTGCTGTATCTCCATCATCGCCAATTTAGCCGTCTGCTGATGATTACTGTCAACTAGGTTTCACTCAAAATTAGTAACTTTTGCCAGGAAAATAGCTTTAGCTACAACTATTATTTTTTAAACTACACTATTACCAAGAAATTACTCCTAAACAAGATTTTTCTACATGTCAAAGTAAAATGTTTTTTACTGTTTCTTTGAAGTACGATCGAAACCAGTGGCCACGAAACAAATTCCCAAGGATTGCGGCAATTGTATAAAGAATGGACAAATACACATCTACAGAGCAACTCTAAAAGAATACCCAACAACTAAAGGAAAAAGAAGAACTGAGACAATTACAAACCCAAAAATAAGTGCACAAAATAGTAACAAAGGAGATACAGGATGAAGAAGTAACCTTAAAAAAAGAACATAATAATAAAGGATGACAACAAAATTTGTTGGTTGAATTCGTCCAATTATTTCATTCAACTTTTAAACAAACCCCTACCTAGTTTTGAGTTTTTGTACATAATATAATTATAATAGTAGTAGTAGGTAAATAAAATAAAATGCAGTGGCATAAAAAAATATTAAATCATTATGATTGTAAATTTAAATTGAATTATTAATAAAAATAATCATTTTTATTAAGTCATTTAATAAAAAAAAATAAAATTTGATTTTGTCCGTTTTTGACCAATTTTAACATCATGGACAAAAACACAACCTGCAACAAATAGACCTAGAAAGAGACAAAACAAAATATGGAAAAATTAAAATAAAACTCCAAGAGTACAAATGTAACAACAAACTCCCAGAAGAATATAAAAAAACTAAGATTACTTTGGCGTTAACTATAATCCCCCCCAAGGGACCTAGAAAGAGACAAAACAAAATGTGGAAATGAAAATAAAACGCTAAGGGTACTTGACAACAAACTCCCAGAAGAATTTTATTGTGATACTTGTACCAAAACTATCCTAGTTTTAATTTAACAACTTACTGTGTTGGTTGTACTCTTCAAGGACTTCAGCCACATTGCTCTTCATATCTTGCAGAGTCCTCTGTATGATTTGGGTGATTTTTTCTTGCTGTTCGCTGGCAATTTCCATCAAACTTTTGTAGAGTTTCAATTCGATTTTTTGGGCGAAAGAAATACGTTTTGGAGTAATTTGTATTTCCCTAGCCATATCAAAGGCTGAAAGAATAAATTTTCTGAGGCACTGGCTGTGGATCTACAAATTTAAACAATCAGCTCTATAAATAAATAATTTTACGCTATGGTTACCTCACTGAGTAGCGCCGCCATTTTTAAAACGCTTGATTTTAGAACCTCTCTTATAAATAAAACAAATTTTTCATTCATTTTCGTATCACAAACTAAAGTATTATCTAATGTACTATCTAAGCAGTATGATTTTCTTTTTATAATATCATCAGTCTTTGCAGTTTCCGAATTCACATACCCTATAAATTAATAAGGTTTTATGAGTGGCTCAGTATTGTATATTTTGTAATCTTACCCAGTCTTACAAGTTGATCATTTAAGTTTTGCAATTTCGACAAAAACTTCTGACCATTACACTCAACATTGTGTTGCTCTGATTCTGTCAATGAATCAGTACTCTTACTGTTTGTTGCCACAGGTTCCACTGATTCAGACACCTTCACAAACAGAAATGGCTTCCTGTAAATATCCTTCAACTTTCGAATCTCCTGTATATTCTAAAAAAAAGTAATTTAAATGATTGATTTTATGACTCTAGGGGCCTTACCATTTCACTAAGCAGATCTTCAGAAATGGCGTAAATTATCACAGGTAGAGCATTGTCCATATGCTTGTTTAGTATCTCGGGCAGTTGGTCCAAGGGACAATCAGGTGGAACCATAATTTTAACTGTTTCCCTGAGTAGGGTGTGTTTGAGTTCCACTTCCAACGAGGGACAGTGGTCCAAAAGGCATTCCTCGTCATTTCTTTGCAAATCTTCTTCAGGTAGTGTGGTCCAAATTTTTTCGTGGGCCTTCAATTTCTCCACTATTTCAATATCGTGACCTAATGTTAGTCTAATGTTTTTGATGTGTCCATAAATAAAAGTAATCTGAAATTTTTATAAGTTATATAAAGGTTGTAGAGAATTATTATTATTACATTTTTTTTAAGTAATATAATAATATAACCTATAAAACACTTACATATCTCCACCGCGCACTGTGGAGGGGTAGTATTGGTTGTTCAAGAAATTTGTTGATAAATAACGCTTTGGCATGGCAATTTTGCCCAAAAACAACCAGTGTAGGTACTCGTGTTAATTTTCCTTTTAGTTTATCGATGATATCTTCATTCAAAATATCCACACTAATATCACCTAATAAAAGAGTGGTTAATTGGAAAAAAGTGGAGAAAAAAGCGTTAACTTACGTCCCAACTGCAAAGTATTTACAATGTCTTCAAGAGCACAATTGGTTTCGCGAAGTATTCGCGATAAACTGTTGCAATGCTTTCCATATTTTCTAAATTCTTTCGGTATTTCGGACAACATTTTCATTAACCTCACTTACAAAGCAAAATACTGATTAAGGCCTCATTTCTATAAGAAAAACGATTTATTTGTTTCAAATTATTTAGTTATGTCAACCTGTCACTTTAAAGTTAACCAACACAATACATAAAAACCGCAACCATAGACCTGCAAAATATAGATTGGATTGCACCAAAGACCAAAACAAATGTAGAAGGGTTCAGTTCTATTTTATTACTTTATTTATTTTTTTATAACTAGGCAGAGAAAATTTTAATTTGTTTCTTATCACGTCTTATAGTTGATTAAAAGTAAAATTTTCGAAATAATATTAAAACATATAGGGTGTTCTACACTGGACCAAATACAGTAGAACTTTTGTTTAGGCATAAACCTGTTTATCTCCGTTATTTATGGACAGATTTGAAAAAATGTGTTTATTTAATACATTTCGGCCTTAAATAAGAAATATATCTACAGGGGTTTATATAAAAACAAAAGGTCGATAATTCAAAAACAAAAAAAATATTATACAATTTTTTTATGTTAAAAAATAACAAAGTAGGGAGGGTTGTTTAGGCAAATTGTTTTTAAACTGTAAACAATTAATTTAGATATTACCCAAGTGGAAAAAGTTCACTTACGAAATGCAGACGTCCGGTATCATTTAAATGAATGGTTTACGCATAAAGATAATTATTTGTTTATAAAAATACTTGAACTGTTAAGACTTGTGTGATAAAAAACATCGGCTTATCTGAAGAAATTAAAAAGGCGATAAAATTTTTTTGATGTGTTTACTTTGGTAATTTCGTATTAGTCAAAGCTATTTTAAAAGAACAAAACACAATGAATAATTTAATAATATATATTTGTACATTGTTTTTTATAAGCGATTTAACATTATTTATAAAAGGCATTATAATCTAAAGGCACTAGGATAATTAAAGTTAATATTTAAATAGAATTTGCAATGAAAATATGACGGCCAGTAGAATGTTGTCGAAATTTATTTGAGATCCGGAATCTGACACGCTACAACACTGCGTGGCCAGTTTGAAAACCTTGGGATAGTAATCGTTCCAAAACTCGAAACCTTTGTAATTCAAATTTTCACCGTTGCTCATATTAAAAGTGCTGTCAATAATTAAAATCCCGGGATTTTCTTTGGTTAATGCTTCCCATTTTATGGGGTATATGCTGTTTTCAGTTGGGTCCGATGATCTGGCGAAATTAGTCCAGAAGGACATAATTGTATCAGATATGCGTTTATCCCGGAGATCCCAGTCATGATCGGTGTTCCAATAGGGGACCCCCCAGACATACAACAGGTCGTATAAATGGGGGACTGACACCCAATCCGGTAGGGCTTTCCTTGCAGCCTCGGTGCTAGGCTTCATATCGAATCTATACATGTAAGTTGGTTGGTGTTTGCTCATGTATGAAGCTTGCAAAAAGGCCGCAGAACCGTAGCTTTTATCGGTGACAAATTCCGCTATAATACCTTTAAATTCTTGTACGGTTCTAATTGGTACTGAAGGCCCGTATACGAACATTATGGCATCAACTAGGTGGTCATAGTTGTACATGCAAGGGTTGTCGGTATCGTTCATCTGCGGTATTTCATTGCTAATCAACTCAGTGAAGATTTGTTGAAGACTTTCTTTGGTTATATTGTCCGCTATGTCTTTGCTATCCAAATTAATTTCCAGGATTTGTTCCATGTTAGTGTAGCCGGTGAGGAAAGGTATTTTGTGAAAGTCGCCTCGATCAAAGAACTCCATGGGATGCTCGGAAAGAAAAGGGTTGGTTGCGTTGCTCAGTCCAGCGTCAATTAAAGGTCGCCAGTCTACATTACTCGTTTGCTCCACCAATAGCAAGGCTTCTGCGCCTCTAAGGCAATCGATTAGTTTCGATGTCGGCTTACGATCGCAAGCAAAAATCGGTGCGATTCTATCGACCAGACTTTTATCTTCCTCGGGATATTTCACCACGTTTTTGCCCAAAAAATCCCCACTCATAGCTATCGCCTTGTGAAACAACTGACGGGATTCCGCGTTAATCATATGCATACCTATACTGGTTGCACCCGTGCCGTACCCCATCAGGCATATGTTATCGGGGTTCCCGCCGAATTTCGCTATGTTATTCTTAACCCACATCATGGAAGCTTGCTGGTCTAAGAGCCCATAGTTTCCCGTAGCTTCGCCGTCCATGGTAGTGAAAAAGCCCATTATATTTAGACGGTAAGCTACGGTAACCACAATGACGCGTTGCCTGTAGACTATGGCGTGCGGGTTCCACATAGCAGGGGAACCAGTGGTAAAATTACCCGGGTGAAACCATACAATGGTAGCAAAGCCATTCTTCGGAGGCGTACCTAAAAATATAACTTGTTGATGAATTTTTATCGATAGTTCAGAGATTTTAGTCTGACATGCTAAGGTCACACTGAAAAGTCAAGGGTAAGATTGATCTTTTGACCAAGTGCTAAATGCTCTCTATTGATGGTAAGATTAACAAATTAACTAAACGATGTAATAACATTGGATTTTATCGTACGAAAAACAAGTGTCCCCATTAATACTGCCGTAGTGTAGCGTGATCCCTATTACTCATTGCAGTGTATACAACTATATACAGTTGACAAAAAAATAATCGAAATTTATTTAGCAGTAGCGTAAAACACATCGGAGGTGTTGCGACCTTGAGGCGATTACATTGCAGTAAAGATTTCTGTGAAAAATTTTAATGATTTGTAATAAAACTTGTAATCGGTTAAGTCGCATGTGCATAAAGCAAATGTTCAGCAGTAAGACCGGACGCTGCCAGCGCTAAATGCTGCTTTCTTGCGTGCTTATCCCTCATTACGAACCCTCCAACTCTCCTTTCTACCCCCAATATCACGCATCGAACGAAATCACAGTTCCACTGTCCAGTCTACGTCATAGGAAAATATGATTTATGGCGTAGAAATGTTTAAAAATGCAAAATTATTAAATCGATAATCTGCAATATGCAGTCAAAGAACTCTTTATAAATAAACATCGTCAAATATTTGAGAAACATTATTTTTGTTTGCTTACCTAAGCAAAACACGTAATAAAATTAACTTAACTTGTGCAACGCTGTTTATGAATTAAATCGATTTTCTGCTCTTATTATTATTTATTATAAGGAGACTTAACGAAAACAAAACCAAGCTACAAAGAGTTGAAGCTTGTCAAACTCAATAGTGACTCGCTAATGTTGGAAATGATTTACCAAGATCTACCAAGATTTACCAAGATCTGATGATAGGACACCTCTTTTGAGTTTTAGAAGACCAATCACCATCTGGTAGATTTTTAATTCAAGACGAATGACGAGGTTCGAAAAAGCAGAGGAAATCATTAACAAAGCAATTGTTGAAATTTTTGTATATAAATTTCGACATTTGATTAGATTACACTCGACAGTGACTCGCTAATGCCTGTGTTAGAAAAGATTCACCAAAAATCTGATGATAGGAGTCCTATCATAGGACACATCTTTTAAGTTTTAGGAGACTATATATAGTCTCCTATAGTCTATAGACCAGACTAAACCTCTCCAGAGTGTTACCTGTTTCAATATGTCCATCACCATCTGGTGGACTTCCAATTCAAGACGAATGACGAGGTTAGAAAAAGAAGATAAATTCATCGAGTGATATTTGATTAGATTACAGACTAATTCCTGTGTTATAAAAGATGATAGGACACATCTTTTGAGTTTCAGGAGACCAGACCAGACTTTTACCTGTTTCAATATCTCCATCACCATCTAGTGGACTTCCAATTCACGACGAAGTTTAAAGACTAAAGGCTAATTAACTTATAGACCTATTAATTAAAGCACTTTGTCATACATAATGTTTAAATTGCCTCCCTGCAAACTGCAGTGTAACATTTACAAGTAGCTACCCTAATTTTCACGATAATGTCAGCCATTGGTATTTGACAACAAAATTTGTAAGGTTAATTGGCTCCCTGGTAAAAAAGCACAAATTCACCCTTCAGGACAAATAATTTAGGGTTGCGCTATTTTTGTCGCAATATTATGAATAAATACGCTATTAATCATGAACAATAAAAACATCAGGAATGATAATTGGCCAATAAAATTCGCCGCAAGGTTAGACAAAATATTTTTTTAAGAATTTCGTTATAATAATTTTCACCTTATTAGTTGGTAAATTTGAAAAATTCCAATTTGTATTTCTAATAGTCTAAAACTATTTCTAAATTTATATTTGCAAAAATGGCGGATGCGCCGGGTTTAATTTTTAAATTCCATGAAATCGTAAATAAACGTAAGGCAATTAAGGTAGCACATAGCTTTAAGTTATTCCAGAATATAATTGAATATTCATTGCCGCAAACTGATATAAATCAGTGCATATAGGCGTTCAAAATAGATAAGAAGAATTTACTGTATCCTTTTTACAAAAAACATTTTCTTAGTAAAATATGGATTTGTGCATATAAAGCAAAGGGTATTTGCATACCAACTAATAATCATTAAGGACAATAATATTTACATATCCTTATCCTCTAAGGATTTCCATAATCGAATTTATTATGAGAAAGGTCTGTGGACTGGAAATTTCAAAATATTGTGATATTGGGGGTTGAAGTTGAAAATAACTGTTTATCGATTAGAGTTTAAATATATTTCATGCTATCTGCAAATATATGAATAAATTTAATATCGATTTAAATTTTCTTGACATTTTCCCAAATTGTTTAATTAACCTGTTGCTTATAATTACAATAATTGTATCTTAAGATAGGTAATAGGTAATTACCTTGTGGAGTGAAGACGTTGAGATAGAGGCAATCTTCATTGACTTCTTCCTTCGCATCCGAGAGTAAACGAAAAAAGGGAATCTCCGATTGTTTGAGGTCGATTTCCGTTTGCAAACAGGCAGGATAATATTCAGTTGCATTTCTCACACCGTCCCAGGCTGGCAAAGGATCAGTTCGTGGAGGTGCGAATCTCAAAGACTCCAACGGAGGCTGAGCATATGGAATCCCGAAATAACCGTTAATTTTTTGTATCCGCCTCTTTGAAACTTCTCTCCCCATAATCGTTCCCTGATTGGGTATCTCGATTTGCAATTGCGACGCACAAAATTGAACGATACAAATGAAAAAACAAAAACGCGACATAGTCGTTGTGAGTTCTTAACGTCGAAGCCAACTTCTTTCTTGGAGTTGAAGTTGGGAACTGACTTACCTGGCCGTGATTTAGCCGAACGCGAAATATTGCGTGCCAGGTCTTTCCCCCTATAACATTCTAAATGCAATCAATTTAGGGATTTTTAGCTGAAATGGGTCATATTTTTTGCCCTGACATTTCCACGACATAAAGTAAACACTAACTGATAGACAAACAAATCAAAACGAAACTGCAGTTTCCTTTTCACTTGTTTGTCTAAAAGCGCACGCTTATTAACGATTTTATTTTTGCAAACACCACTTTTCACTCACTCACTTTATAAAGATCAAAATCTCTTTTTAAAATGTCTAGCTTTATTTCTGCAAACATTATTTTAAAGTTTGTCCTAAACATTTTTATCCAGATTTAATGGCGAATAAAAACATATATGTTTTTATTTATAAATGAATAATTACCACAACCAAAAATATTTTGATATACTTACCTACCCAGATTCCATTCGTGATCTCCATAAGAAATCACATTCTATAAAAAACCTAATGAGTTTATCTCTTCATCACAATGAGCTCAAATGAGTACGTTAGAAATGACTTATGTCATTGATGAAAATCATCAAGTCATTTTCATATGATACATCGTCTTCTATCCATGGGCGCCGGAAGGAATTCGTCTAGGGGGGGGCCTTAAAGTTTTTTACAAGTTTGATAGATGTTATTTATAATCAAGTTGTAATGTAGAAGTTCACATTAAACTTAAGCCAAATAAAATATCATCTTTATATGTATATTTACCTATTTATTTATATTGGTACATATTGCAAAAAATACATCACAGTTTTTTGGTAAATATATAAATATAAAAAAATTGTATCGCCGAGGAATCTCTAGTACAGCCGTCTTAAGTATACGCTAGGGTGTTTCATTTAAAACGAACATTTTTTTTTTCTTGCTGACACATGAAAATTTTGTTTTTTAGGTTGAAAAAAAAATTCCCTGAAAATTTGAGCCCTTAATTTTGATTCTAAGTACTTCCTTTTTAATTTTGTAGTTTTTCCATATAAAAAGCATGTATTTTTAATCATTTTTACTTTAAATTTCTATATTTTGGCCGGGTTTTGAATTATAATTTTTATCACCATAATTTTCTGCATAGTATTCACGGTTTTTGAAAGGCCCTGCATCAATTTTGTTTTTGATTTATTTACGTTGATTGTAGTAGCTCTAAAAGTCGTTTTTTTTCACTTTTTCTCACATATTTTTTAGAAAAACGAGCGAATGAGTGGTTTTACCGAAAAAGTTCAAATAAAAAAGTTGTAGAAAATTTAATTTTTGACAAAAAAGGTTTTTACGTTCATATCACTAAAGTGCTTTGTTTAAGAGATATAAGGAATATATAGTCGTTTAATCAAATTACATAAATTTCAATAAAACCTATTTTTTCTTTGTTTTTGGTTATTGAATTGCTTATATCTCTTAAACAAAGGACTTTAGTGATATGAGTTTTAGAGCTACTACAATCAACGTAAATAAATCAAAAACAAAATTGATGCAGGCAGGGCCTTTCAAAAACCGTGAATACTATGCAGGAAATTATGGTGATAAAAATTATAATTCAAAACCCAGCCAAAATATAGAAATTTAAAGTAAAAATGATTAAAAATACATGCTTTTTATATGTAAAAACTACAAAATTAAAAAGGAAGTACTTAGAATAAAAGTTAAGGGCTCAAATTTTCAGGGAATTTTTTTTTCAACCTAAAAAACAAAATTTTCATGTGTCAGCAAGAAAAAAAAAATTTTCGTTTTAAAGGAAACACCCTATACAAATTATGTAACTATACGCTATACAAATTATGTTAAATTAAAATATAATGAACAAATGATAACGATCAGCACTTAACGTCAAATTATGGAGTACCGGAATTTCTGGGTATGAATTTCCAGGGGGGGGCCCGGGCCCCCCCCTGCCCCTATGTAGCGGCGCCCATGCTTCTATCTGAAAGGAAAATCACAAATTTGATTAAATCAACAAATTGTTAAAAAAATAAGTCATAATGAAACTCAATTTACAGTGAAGATTATAGTTATTTATGTATCAAGGCAGTAAAGTCGTATTTTTTATCACGAATGTGGAAATAACCTAGTGAGTGATAAAAAATGACTTTAATGCCGAGGTGCATATTAAATTTTATCCGAAACCACATTTAATAACACTAATAATTAATATTGATGATCAAATCAAATGTCATTTTTTAATCTAATTAATAAAATTATTTTTATTAATCAACATTTCATGAAAGGGTCCAATCGACGTCCGCGACGGTGCTTTTTTTAAATATTATTTAGTTGCTGCTGAGTGGCAGTAGACACATCTTAAAATGTATAATGGGTTGCATACAATACTCGTATTAAATCGGCACTAAAGTTCTACTTTACTGCCGATTTCGGATAAAAGACTTTAAAGTGCAGATATGTCAGAAACTTAAATTGAGTATAATAGCAATAGATATTAAAGAAGCGTCTCAAAAATATTCTGAACACTGGAACGAAATGAGCAATTTTAAGTTTTTCGTTTTTTTGTATTTTTTTAAGCAAACTGGAAACGGTGGCTTCAGAGAGATATCCCGAGAGATTTAACTCCACTAAAAATATAATATGGAAAATTTTTGGAGTATTTTGGAGAGTTGAGAAAAAAGTATTAGATGAAATAAAAAGTATAAAATCAGATTTAGAAACAAGTCCAAGTTGTTAACTCATTTGAGGAATAAAATTACATTTTGAACCATTCACAATATTTGATTTTGAAAAAAATATATAAATTAAAAAAATATATAAATAATAGATCTCTAGTTTTTTTATTGTCCCAGTTAAAATTCGTAAAATATAATTAACTAAAACTACTTAAAAAAAATCGCATACTTCTGAAGGGTTGGGCATTGCGGTCTCAATAAATCTTAAAATATCCTGGACAAAAACACTTTTAACAAAAGTCGCGTGATAACGCACCCAAAATTTTATATCGCTTACAAGGAAACGTCCTTTCCCAAATAATTTAGGTCGATTAGGATAACCTATATATAAAAATCAGAAAAAATATAAATATGTCATTTTTTCAATTAACAATTAAAAAAATACCATTTGTTTAACGCATTTTATTAATGTTTGTTGTTAGTTTATATAAATAAATAGTTTTTATAAATTTAATAAATCGATAAGTGCATAAGCACCTTAACGGTCCCAAATAGTGCAAATGCACCCTTACACATGACATTCAAGCATAACCTTAAAATTTTTGTAAAACTTCAATATGTTTAAAAAACCGTTTAAAGTAAAAAGTAACACTCAAGTTAAGGGATCTGAAAGGTAAATATAATAAAAGAGCAATTAATTAACCATTTAATACGATTTTTGTAGAAAATTATTCAAAGAATTAGTTTTAAAATCATTTCCAGTGTTGACAGAAGAAGAATTCAACGATTTTTTGCCGAAAAAGGAGGTTTTAAACACTGTTAAGGTACAAACATGGGAAGGAGAGGTGGTGCAAGTGTACACAGTGCAAAAAGTCCCGATGATATTCGATGTAAGGGGAGTTTGTTACCCAACAGTGTATTTTCTTTGGAAGTTTCCGAAGCTCTTGTATGCCTTTACAACCCACTCTCAGGTGACGAATTTTATATTGCAAGGCGCCGACTTAATGCTGCCAGGGGTGACGAGCCCACCACACCAGTCAGGGCTGCCAAAGTACGGAAATTTAAACGAAAATAATTTGTGCTACGTCAATCTGCTGAACAACGTGGCAGCTATTGCTGTCGGGTTAGCAGCCCAAAGCTCTCAGTCGATGGTTTTTGCTAATGGGCGGGGTAGGTGCGTTAAAATCATGCATTATTACGGTGATAAATTGTGCTGTGGCGATGGTGTGCCTAAATTGTCAGTGCCTAATTTAGGCCCACCTGAATGGCTGGTTTCTAAAGGCTATGATGAAGATTTTCCCGCCTTGGGGCAAGAATCACAACCTGAGAAAATCACGGTAGAAGAACCCAGTGAAAAAGTGGTGGAAATTGTTGAAAATACGACAGAAGAAAATATTGAAAACGAAGAACATAATACCGAAGTTGATTCAGTGGAAAAACAGGATGAGTTGTTGAAATATTGTTTTTTGGTGGCTGTTAAATACTCAAAGACTTTAACTTTACCCTGTCTAACGTCGAATTTCTTCAAATTACACATGTTACCTGCCTGTCCTGAAGGAAAAAGTCTGGATTTAAAAAAATCTTCCTACAAGAAATTAAAACCTTTTTTGGAAAAAATGGTAGAGGTAAGATTTAATTGAAAACATAATAAATAAAGTCTATTCATTTAACAGCTTTTAAAATATTAATTTTTGCTGAACTCTTTAATTTTCCATATAACATTTTCATTGGAGGTATGAATAAATTTTTAGTTGCGTGTTATAACAATAAAAGAAATTAAAAAAGGCGTGGAAGCCATAACTGCCGTAAGCAAGGAGTGTTCAGTATTTTCGGAATTTTATATAACACCTGAGTTTAGACCTAGGAAAGACAATGAAGTGGAGACAACAACCAGCGTTGTAGAATCCTACATAATCACAGGAAATGTGCTGCCAATTTTTCAAAAAGAAGGTTTCCAGTAAGGGATTTTATTGAATTATTATTTTTATGCTATTTGAATATTATTTTTAGGAAGGGTGATACTGTATTGGGCACAGACGTGAGAAAGTATGTTGCAAAGTATGTTAAGGACAATAATTTCCAAGATGATGAAAACCCAAAGTACCACCAGCACAGAAAAAAACACGTAGTATATTAATAATTTGATTTTTAGACTTGTAAAACCCAAAGAAATTCTTAGAACAATATGCAAATCGGAATCGCCAATAACATGGGAAGAATTAGTGGAAAGAGTATGTGAAAGCATGAAAAATTGCTTCAAAGTTTCGTCTGGTGGTGGGGAGGAGATGTTTAATAAGGGAAAAGTCTCTCCCATTAATATTTCAGTATCAGTGAGATCAGGAAATAAAAAAGTGACTCTAATGGATAACTTGGAACTTTTCGGAATAAAATTATCAGAATTCGCCAAGGAATGCCAGCATGGGGTGGCAGCTAGCACTAGTATAAGCAGACCACCTGGAAAGAAGTGTGACCAACTGCTAGTGCAAGGAAACCAAGTTATTTTTGTCTATAATTTATTGATTGGTAAGTTAATGATTGTTTGAATGATTTTTATTGATAATAATTGTTGATGATTTTAGAGAAATACAAGATTCCCAAGAAGTATGTTAAGGGTTTAGAGAACGCCCCCAAAAAGAAGAAATAAAACAATGTATTTATTTTTGAGATGATATTTTAATAAAATTTCCCGTATAAATTGGGTTTTTATTTGAATCGGTGATTGCAGAAGGGCACAAGTCATGTTTTTATCGGTTTTATGTTAATTTAATGTTAAATCTACAACAATTACAGTTTTGGGTTATATTCGGGATGTTGCAAATTCTACAAATTAATAATTTGATATGTAGACTTGTAAAACCAAAATATATTCTTAAAACAATATGCACAGCAGAATAATCAATAACAGGAAGAAATGCGAAAGAAATTTGTAAATGCATGAAAAATTGGTTTAAGGGAAGAGATGTTTAATAAGGGACAAGTCTTTGACATAAATATTTCCGTATCAGTGATATCCGGGAATAAAAATGAATAGAATTGAAGCACACCACCTAGAAAAAAGTGTGACCAACTGCTAGTGAAAGGTTAAGTTATTTTTGTCTATAATTTATTAATTGGTAAGTTAATGATTTTTATTGATAATAATTGTTTTTAGATAAATACAAGATTCCCAAGAAGTATGTTAAGGGTTTGTAGAACGCCCCTAAAAAGAAGAAATAAAACAATGTATTTATTTTTGAGATATTTTAATAAAATTTCCGACACAAATTGGGTTTTCATTTGAATCGGTGATTGCAGAAGGGTACAAGTTATGTTTTTATCATTTTTGAGATTTATATGTAATTTGAATATTAAATTAAGTTTTAATATTCAATTAACATAAAAATCTCAAAACCGATAAATACAGTACCGATTGATTTCAATGGTAAATTAAAATAATAAAAGACCTTTTTATATAGTTATAGTTATCAAAATATATTTGGTTAAAAAGTATAAAAACTACATGAAAATACAATAAAAAAAATACAAAACAATAGTTTACAATAAAAATAGAAAAATATCACCAGCGTTATTTGAAAAGTAAACTTCGGTCCAGCAGATATTCGAGTCCCAGATTTCGACTGGCCAGCAGTTTATCTTTTGCAACATCCGCCTTTCTTGGTGTACCGTCTTCTACACGGAATACAATCCGAGTCGCTGCTACTTTCAGTATCGTAACTGTCAGAAGAATCGCTAGAATAGCTTGAAGAGTCGGTGTACTGTTCCCTTTTGCGCCTTGAACCTCGAGATAACTGCAAAAAATTGACAACATTAAACCAGGTTGCGTGGATGGTTGCATTTACTACTTACATTGGAGTTTAGAATGAAATTAATTATTACGGGTAAAACTTGGCAAGCCATGTCTAGAACGTTGGATTTGGATGAGCAGTTGCCGTTGCAGCAACATTTGTTTGGCGCGTTGCTGCTGCTGCTGCTAGCATCCGCATTTGCTTGAAGAACAGCATTTTGACCCACGAGGTGCGGGTTTTCGCTTAGTAGTGCTTGTAGATTTGCTGGTTGTAGATTTTTTAGTAGTTGTAGTTGTTTTCTTTGCGGGTTTCTTCTTTGTTGCTCCATTGCAAGGACCACAACCAGTACAAGGCATTATTAATTTCGTCTACATCAATTAAATATTAATATTAATACAAAAATAAAATAAATTACTTACCTTAAAGTATATAAATTCGTGGCTTCTTCTAAACTAATAAAATTTTAAGCCGTCGAGGTATTTATAACATAACTAAAGCAAAGTAAAAACGAACACAAAAAACGGACGAAAAAGTTGTTTCGCGTTAAACTTATCGCGAATGCACGATTTAAAGGATTTTACTGTACAGGGTGTGCGAGGAAATTAAAAAATTATTTAACAATTATTTTGCGTATTTTATTGTAAATGCTTGTCTGTCTGATACATTTTAACATTATCATAACATTTCATCGTTGAACCAATTAGTTAGAAAATTATAAAATACGTACCTATATTAGATTTATTTAGTTTACACGAAAAAATATTTATCATTAAATTGGTGTTTTATTTAGTGGTTAAAGTGTAAACCAAATATTTATTATAGATACATACATATTTTATATTTGCCTTACTGGTTTTTTTATTTTTCAAACATAGGCAAATGATTTTTTTATTTGTATTAAGTCAAGTGGTGTTCCAAGCTTATATGTGCTGAAACACAACTGGCAGTGCTATACGGTAGGTTGAAATTATTTGTGACCTTAATTACGTAATAATGAAAAGTGAGAAATTAAAATTAATTTTCTAAAAAATTGAAAATTAATATTAATTTTTTACGTATGCTGTGATACAACCTAAACAGGGAGTAGAAGAAATCAAAATATAAATTTTTGGCACATTTTTGCAACAGTTTTCATTTCTTATACTCTGTCCATTATTATATTATCTACCTGGTATTCTACACAGTTATAACTGTAGGTATAGATAATTATTACTTATACATACTTGACAATTACGAATATCCTATTTAATATAAGAATACACTTTTGATATAGAGGAATAAGTTATTATTTTGATTTACTTTTTAAAATGATTTAAATAGGTAAATTCCTTTTGCAAAGAAGAAAATTATAAGGGGGTAACAATTTACCTGATATGCCTATAAAATAAAACAAATTGTTATTTTTTAGCCCAGTAAAATTCGGAAAAAATACTAGCCAAGATTTTTCTTTGGAATCTTGTTTATATGGACACTATTAATAATGTCCCAAAAGTCCCAAACAAAATAGTGTCGGCCAAGTATCAAAGGTCTCAAAAACATTTTAAAAGTTAAAAGTTTTTATTTTATTTTATTATTATTATTAATTTTATTACTACCAAAAGTTTCGTGACCTTGTATTTGGCAATTTGGCATATTTTTTCCAAAGTACAACCCCAATTTAACTGGGCTATATTTGCCATTATTGGAAGACCTTTAAATTCGTAACCCTTGAAAACAAAACAGTTTTAATAGTTTTTTCGTTAAAATCTGTACAAGTTTACGATTACAGGGCGTTGTTTCACCTTGAAATGGACAACGTAAGAGAGACTAACAATTTTTTCAAATATATATTTTTCATTTTATCTTTTGTTTTCCAATTATTGACCTTCTTTTTTTTATCATAAACCTCTTTGTCTTCCTTACCGGATTTAAAAATGTTTAACACAAAATTTTTAAATATTAAACTAGGTACTTTTATGTGAAAACAAAAGAAGGTCCATGATTTGAAAATAAAAAATATTTATTTAAAAAAATTGTTGTTTATTTTAAGTAGAAACTATTTGACTTACAAATCCTTATTTGAGCAAATTGTCATAAACAATCAAGAATGGAAAATAAATCAGTTATTTTAGTTAACAGTTTATTTTGATTTATTTAGTATTATAGCTTTAAATTCGAAAAAATATTAATGTTCTGCTTATTTCCAAAGGAATAATAATTTTTTTAATTTCCAAATTTTTAAATCGATTAATGAGTTATTAGTTTTAAATTTTACGTTTTAAAACCCTGTTTTCCGATTTTTTTACAAACCAAATTGTTTAATTTTATAATAATGCTGTAATTTATTGGAAACGCTAAACATTAATATTTTTTTATTATTAATTTTTATATTAGGCGATTTCAGAGTAATATAATTAATGTTATATTTATTTGAATTCGTTACTATGGTTACATATATTAATAGTTATTTTTTATTATATTATACTATTATTTACATACATATAACGAATTCGGGGCGAATATTTAAAAAAAGTAGTACCTACCCCAAAATTCAGGATTTGATAAAAATACTAAATTTTACATAGATTAATTTTATTAAATTTATTAACACATAATAAATATAATAAATAATATTTTTTAAAAGGATAATTTTATTATCCGTTAAAACACTTAAATAAACGTCTTTCAGTTTTTATTAATTAAGTAAATTATAGCAATTATTTATTTATAAATGTTTTTATTGTTTGTACATGATTTTTATTTATTCATTCTTATTAATTAATTACTTTAATATCCAATCAAAATTTAAATTCAATTAACAAGTCATGGTACAGTATAACACTGCCTAGTCTCATTCATACTATTCTATTCTAAGCTGACGACAGTGTTGAATATATATAATTTTCAATGTGTCGTAGCACGCATACGTTTCTACGGTTCTAATTTTTTTTCATTAATTTTCGCGAGAAAATTCGAGCTTAGCATTCGTTACACTAGACAAGATTTAACTTCATGGATTTTCTGAGCAAAATTTGCTGAGCAATTTTAGTGTTGAGCAAAATTACGCAAGGAAGACTAAAACAAAAATATTTATAAATAATATTTAGTCCGAACGAATTTTCAACAACAACAACTGTGGATTTTTCGCGTTTTTAATCAGCTGTTAATAAGTTAAGGGTCCGTTTCACGAAATGTTACTAGGAATACATTACAAGAAAATATTTTATTTTATACTATATGTATATGTATAATATATTTTTATGTCATTATATACGAAAAACTCAAATAATGTCAATAATATGCAATATGAGGAAAAAAATCTTTAATTCTATATAATAAATTATACTTTAATTCTATATAATAAAGTATACTTTTATTTTATTTCTTATATGTTTATTAGGATAAATATTTGTTAATAATGATGTTGCTTCCTGATTCCTTCAATATTTACCCTCTCTCTGATACTTATACTTGTAAAGTGTTCTTGTAATATTTCGCACCCTAAATCAAATTTATTTTGTTTCATTTTCATGTTTTATCCTAATAATAAACGTGCCGCTACATCTTAATCAACTAGGAGATTGTTCTATCGTTCCTTACGCCTAATAATTTTATTGTCAACTTTAAAATGTCATTGTTTAAAAAAATCCATGTTGTTGATTAATTAAAGAAAAATAAATTGAAGTTAAATGTTATCAGAGTGTTGACATAAAGTTTCTTAAAAATCACTTCAATTTGCAAATATTTTGAAAAATAAAGTCTTTTTTATCAGATCTCTAAAGGCAGTGGATTACAAGATTATTGCTTAATCTTTCAATTTGAAAATAAATTCTTATAACAATAATATTTATTATTATTATAACGCATTTATTCCTTAATAGCTCTGTTATAACAAACCAATCTCCGATTATAAGTGTAATAATCAGAAGTCAATATCAGATCCGAATTAAAATTGTTTACAACCAAATCGAAGTAACTTTTAATTAAAACTGACTATTTACACAATTTCTAAAACATTTGCGTCTTTATTAACAATTTTTTTTTCTATACGTAGTATATTTAGACGACGATTCACTCCGGACTTAACGATTGTCACTTGGCGAAAGAACATAATTTTAAATCGATCGATTCACTCTCTAGCGGTTTCGAGTGTTTTTTTTTCAACAACATCACTTAGGCTTTGATATAGTCTGTGTCGAAATTTCGATTATGGAAGATACGGCTGTCCCGAAATTCGAGAAAAACCACCAGACTATAACGATTGGTGTCAGTTTATGCGGGAAGTTTCACAAAGGAACGTACAAAAAGAGTGTCAAAATGTACAAAAATAGTTTTTATCACTCTTACAAATAAAGGAAACCATATTCGGCCGACCGGAGTTTTTTCTCGAATCGCGAGACAACTTAGCAATCAAGTTACTAAATAAATGCGAAAAACCGACACACCAATAGGCCGCGTGGAAGCCATGTGATTTTCAACAAACACACCCAACCCATTCGTTTATTTGCCCCTGTAGATCTCGATAATCCGATCTTGGTCTACGTACTCGAAAATGTGCGGCGCATCCATTAAAATACCCACCGTACCGGCAGTGGTCACAATGAAAAACATATACAGCTGAAGTCTGTCAATCACCATTGCGACATACTTCCAATCTTCTCTAGTCTGAAATCATATTTGAAACACCCTGTATATACACATTTTACCAAGCCTTACACAATTACAAACGGTGCTAGGGAAATAAATACCCAGATAGGGATAAGGATAAGGAATCAATATGTAAAAACAAAAGAAACAAAAGTTTAACTGACAAAAAAGTAAATGAAAATCCAAACAAAATAAAAAAAGTTCACAGGAAAAAATAGATGAAGAGTTCGAGGAAAAATTGTTCAACAACGGATGACGGATGATGAAAAAAAATCAAAAGTGCGATTTCACGTGGAGTTCACTAATGGTATCTGGGTACATCTAAACTTAAAAATTATTAAAATCGTTATTTAATATACAATTTAAATTTTAATATCCCTTCATTTTTTGGATTTAAGTATGCCTTGTTACGGAGATAAGTGCAACTAATTAGGTTGGGAATTTCATTTTGTAAACTTTATTCAGTAATTTTATTGCTTCTCAATTAAATTGAAATTAAAACATCAAGTGGAAATGCTTAGATTAAAAAATGTATTATTAATTCTTTCCGTATATTAATTAAAAAAATGTGCGAGGTACGAACCTGTATGTAGAGATCTTCGTTGCGTAGATGTTCGGCTATAAATTCGACTGCTTCAGTGGCTTTGGAAGCTTCCGGCGACAGCAGTATGGAGTCGGAGCTTTCGCTTTCCCGCCTACAGCTATCGGCCCCGACACCAACTCCCATGTCGGAGTTAATTTTTCGATTAATTTTGCAATTCGGATGATGCAGATCAGACAATTCCATCACTTCGACCTTGCTTTGCGATTCGATCGAGCTAAAATCATTCCTGTTACACGCATTAGCGTACGCTATCATTTACATGGATGATGAACACAACTCGACAAAACAAAAAAAAATTACAAAATAATTTTTATATTAAATAAAATGAAGGACAGTTTGCTTTTGTAGTTGTGGTACTAATATCGGATAAACAGGTGCGATTTGGCAGCTATTTTCCTGAGAAATGATTTTGTATGAGGGCATAAATGAAAGAAAATGGTCAAGAAATCATCGAAATGTTTGATGATTTTGAAGGATAATTTGAATAAGTGTTGAGTAACGAACAAAATTAATTAATAATTAATCAGTACTCGGAAAAATACACGCCAAATCTCATATTTTTACTCTTAGCTGGCAATTATTGATGCCACGTTTTGAGGAAAAAATCAGTGTATTAAGAAAACTTTCTCTTTGCTACAAAAGCAAACTTTTTGTCGATAGTTAATGCGGACGCAAAATTCATATTGATTAGTATAATTAACTGATGAATTAGGTAAGTGTATTTTGCGAACAGGCTCTATGAGGAATTTATTAAAAGAGAAAACGGAGTAGCATTATTTAAATTGATTGGATGAGTGGTTTAACTATTGAAAGCTAATCGGCCGTGCGACAAAGCAACGCGTTTATCTTTTGAAGTGTCGCTCTCGGGTTAATTAGAAAATGAACGCGCGACGATTTTTTTCCCTACCTTATGTGTTTGGGGATATCTGCAGGCGATCCATATGGATGAGGCGGGACTCCCATTCCCGGCATCTCCATCATCCAGCGTAAGCGGGTTTTACGAGGCCTCTTCATTAGCAATATTGCGGGCAGGTAATTCAGGAATACAGTACGTATCCAAGAAGGCATTCTATAAGAAACCCGTTCATTAAAAACCTACTCTGTGCAGCTCGATGTCTTACCTATGTGTTCTAGGACCTCTGAAGTTCCAATTGATTATAACAACGGTAACGAGAATACTAACCGTATTCATTATAAACGTAAACAAAAGGTACTTAGCGATGAGTGGTAGTACTAAGGAAGTCGGTGGCAGGATTTTCGATACGAGCAACAAAAACACAACGAGTGAAAGTAAAATACTAATCCCTAATGTCACCTAAAACAGAAAATGCTTAATCTGGATGGAATCGTGTTATTTTTCGATTTGGCTTGAGGGTATTAAAACGATATTTGCGCGGGGGGGGGGGGTGAGAAAAGATATTAAATCAATGCCTACCTTTTCGCCAGCTTCGGCTGGCAGATAAAATACTAGAACGCAAAGGAACGAAATTAATACAGTTGGCAATATTAAATTCACTGTGTAAAACAATGTCTTCCTCCTTATAATAATGTAAAAAGTGATATCGGTTTCGGTAGGATGGTTGCCCTCGTATATGTTGAGGTATGCCGGGACTTCAATTATGTCCCACGTTCCGGATTTCCAATAATCCGACAGATCGACGAAATTTTTGTTATTATACAAAGCCAATGACACTTGGTCCCCATTAAATGTCCAGGAACCAAATTTCATGATGCAAGTTTGTTGATCAAACGGGAAATACGTTACGTCTATAGTGCAAGAACTCTACAAGGAAAAAAACCACTCAGTAACTTATCTATTTCTATGACAACTCTCGATAAACCACCGCAACTTTGCCGAATTACTGAATTCATTCAAGTTCAAGCCTCTATTGATTCAAGTTTGAAATGCACGAAATTATTTCATTAAACCGAACAATGGTCTATAAGTCTAAAGAAGATATCAAAATTTTTTTAAAAAGGTTATGTGGGGAGAATCAGTATGACCTGATTGGCAACACCCTCTTTGTTATATTGGATAGCTTTTGAAAATTGCTATTTAACAGTTAAAATATTTGACGTGGAATTAGTTTTGTAGACCACGGATTTTAAGTGACCCCATAAGAAAAAGTGTAATGGTTTCAGATCTGGAAGGATTTTGGTCCTCTTCTATAAATCCAATCCTCCAAATTCCTGCCCAGGATACTGGGTATGATTTTCTCTGATAAGAAAAAGATTTTCAATTAAGATAAAAGAGACTTATAGAGCATTGCTCGTTTTTAAATAGACACCCTGTATTATATACAGCAACTTTGATAGTTTGGAATAATTCGAGGCTTCCACTTTGAATTATTTAATTGAAATTGCAGTTCTAAACATTAATTGTTTTCCAGAAATACTGAATACCACTTGTATGAAATTTAACAATGGTGTGTATAAATACACCAACTAGGATTTAGAAGTATATTGATTATGTTAGCCCTTGTCCTTTAAACTCTCTTGCAAACAATTTAAGATCCTTTTAGGGCGTAGTCTTTTAACTGCAAACTTTAAACTTTGAATCCTGATACTACGGCATCAAACATCGAATCTTTCGTGTGTTTATGAAAGTTGCCATAACGTTTTAAACAAACTTGCCTGGTAAATGGCAGGCGGAACCCAAAGTACTTCGCCGTTAGGGTAAATTAAGACGTTTGATTTGTAACGGACCTCATAATTACCATCGGCACTGAAATTAAGCAAAAATCGCACCATTTTCGAAACCATATACTGACACTACTTACTTATTAAATAATACTATATCAGGCTTCCAAACTTTATCAGGTGGCAACCTTAATACTGCGATTCCTCCGTAATCGGCTTCGTCCCATTGTAATTGGTAATCGTTCCATACCTAACAATAGTTTTAGTAAAACCTTGTATTTTTTTCAAAACGTAAGTGAAACTTACCAATCGCAACCACACGTTCGATTTCATAATTTGATTTTTTTCGTTCTGAAATAACAATAATAATAAATTTCCAAAAAATGTGCTTCAGAACAGGTTTTACGAGACCCCAGCAGTTCCGGATAGCCGTGGTGTGTAGGCATACTAGAATCACGTTTTAATAGGCAAACAGGTACAGCAATCGCGGTGAGAGGTAATCAGCCTCTGTCTACTGTCCAAAGGGACTTGGCCAACTATATGTGTTGAAGATACGGCCCAAAAGACTTTTTGATGGTTACCTCTCGCCGCTATCGCTGTACCTGTGTGCCTATATAAGACTCCCGGCAGCGTGGTTCGAGTGTGTTTACATACCACGGCTATCACTAATAAGGTTTAATAAGACCGAAACAAACAGTTCTCAATAATAATAATAATAATAATAGTAAATGTGTAAGAAAAGATGTAAAAATTCTTGTCTGCACCTAATGCATACAATGTATGTTGAAAAAGGAAGACTGCAGCAAACAGTTTATATTAGTAGGTCAAACAATTTTCAATAGAAACTAAAATTCAGTTATTCCCGCTCAACAGAAATCCTTTTAAACGTAAAATTGTAAAGAGTATTCCCCTGCATCACGTGCACAGCGAAAATTAAATCGGGTGGGTATTAAAGCGAAATTAATTTATTTATAATGTCAACGCGTATTCAAAAGTGCAAACAATTAAATTGAAACTCGTGCTCATGTTTAATTGTTTTCAGTAAGCAGCGATGTGATTTAATTTAAATGTTTTGTGTAACACCTTCACCCTTTTTTCGGTCTCTAATCAATTTTTTTTTAGATGAACGCTTTCGCGAGCTCACGTTCGTTTTCATTTACGCGTTTAATGGTGTACTTACAACATTGATGAGCTGTACAAAAGCCAGACCGAATCTAACATCAACTTTTTCAGTCATGTTTTGCACAGGCCTGATCAGCTTGTTGTACCCCCTGAACAAATCTCTCACCAGACGTTCCTCATCTTCCGAACAATTTCCTGAAACAAATAATTTCTCTAAATATGTATCGCTTAAATTTTAATGAAAGGGACAAACTTGCGCTTGCGCTTAACTTTATAATCTTGCCAGTAGAACAAAAATTAAAAGCATTTATTTTTAATTGGGTAATGTACCTAGTATATGCATAATTGCTGTAAAATATTATGTTGAGTTGAGTTTTATTCAAAAGAAAAATTTGTTTGTATACTAGGTACAAATGCGAACCTTTTTATAAACTTTTAAATTAAAATTCTTCTTGTTAGGTACAAGGCTTAGTTTTTATATGTGTTGAATCATAAGGAGGGAAAAACTAATAAAAATGGCACATGACTCCAATGTAATTCTTTGGCCTATAAAAATTTTAAAATTCTTTTTATGTCACGTGAATTCTTTTATATGTTGTTTCATTTGGAGTAAATATAAAACAAATTACATTAATAAATCCTACTTTGTTTTGTAGGGCGGGGTTATTAATAGAAATACTAGAAATAAACAAATATTGTTGACGTCGAAAATATGAATTACTTTTGTGAATCGCGAAAGTAAATACTTGTTTACTTGTTTGCACATTCTATATTGTCTTTATTTTCTTGAAAGTTTAAGGGATTTATCTTGTAGTATCCTGTGTTTTGAGGATAATAATGTTAAAAGTGGGCGAGGTTTGACATTTGCTGCACCAAAATCAAGAATATTTTAAGGATTTATCTATTATCCTGACTATGTTTATAGTAATTAATGTTTTTGTAAATGGGTTTGGTTGTTTTGAAGGGTGTATGGGGTGATTTTAATTCAGAAATTTAATTTTATCTGTAGCTTATTTTTGTTATTATGTAATGTAAGTTTGGATATCGGAGATGTGTGGGATGTACGTTTACACGTAGGTGACACTAAATTGGAGATGTATAAAAAGCGAAAGTGTGGGTGATAGGACATGGAGAAATTCTTTGTGTGAGAGAATTAGCGAAGGGGAGGGGCTGTGTTTACATGTAATTCGGCATGGTGGGTGTGCCTAGCACTTACCGATGATTACGAGAAATCCTAGAAAAATAAAATAGCACACAAAATTGGCCAAAGGGGCCGTCCACCTCGTGGGGTAGCGCATGACACGGGAAATTCTTAAAGGACCGGAAGATCATCGGCGTAAACTTCTCGCGGTTCGCATGACTGAGTGCTTTAACGCTGCGCTCGACTTTTCAACCGACTGGCCTTTAACATAAACACCGCTTTGAACAGACTCTCTCATCGTACGTCTTCACGCAAAACCGCCCGAACAAATACTAACCACAATTACAAACTCGATTGACAGCATGCGATTTCAACAAAATCGATTCTTTCCCAACTGCCACCCTAACACGCTAGATGGCAATAATCGCACGCAAGCGCAACCCAACCCTTTCATCGGCCAATTGCACCCCTTGCTCCACCCATTTATTCGACCCAGTACACGTGGCCATCAAGAAGCCCTTCTTTGTTTATCAAGAAACCAACCTGACTCTATATTGCTTCTAATTCAAATAATCTTGTATACACGGTATTTAGTCTGCAGTACATTTTTAATACCATTAAGCCTACTCACTTACCACATCTGCTATCGTTGTACTTTTTAGGATATTTATAATCGTACATTTTTTGTATACAGGGTGTTTACAAACATGTCTCGGAAAATAACATTTTTGATATACAGGGTGTTTTTTCACGACATCTTAGGAACCGTTTAAAACTCAGAACCAAGATTCTCATTATTAATATTAGGTACTATCCCAGTGATGGAGATTTTAGGGTTGCGTGAGGTTTTTTGCCCGTTGCCTTTTTTCATCATTAAATTTTCTCTAAAAACACTTCACGTTAAACCTTTTTTGTGTAGAAAAAATTGGTTAATGGAATTTTAATTGTAGCTAATGTTAACTATAAAATGTGTACAAAATCTGGGTTCTTTAACCTGACATATCGTCAAAAAAAGAAGATTGTAGGCAATTATGTTTGTTGAATAAAAAAAGGATTTGGATCGTGATTACTGAGGTCTTTTTGCACTGGCTTGAATATAAATAGTAATTAGACCTGTAGCTATTTAACTTATTCAGTATTTACCTGAAGATACTTACCAATCGAAACGTCGTGATTAAAAAATTTCAGGGCAATGGAAGCCCAAACTTTTTCTCAATTAAGTTGATTGATGTTAAATAAAACGCGTTAAAATGGCGAATGCGCCGGGATATTAGCATTGGTAAAAATAGCAGTTTTGTTTTTAGTGCCTATTAAATTTTTTTCATATGCCAATGACTTTTTTAGGGTTGTGTGAGGTTTTTTTATCATAAAATGTCGTCTTTCTCTAAAATAATCAAATGTGTACAAAATCTGAGTTCTGTAACTTTAACGGTTTCTGACATATCATCAAAAAAAGAAGAAAAAAAATTTTTCGTGACACCCTGTATCTCGAAAACTGTGGGTTTTTTATAGGATCTTCTTTCTTAAAATAAACAAGAAATCACAACCTTTATTTTTCGATACATGCGAAAAATGACTTCTAATTAGTACTATTAGTACTTAAAATTAAAATAATCTATTGACTTCAAAATATGCATATGATTTGAAACTAAAATTAAATTTTAGAACGGTTTTAGAACAACTTTAGACCGTTTTTGTTCATTTAAGACAGTTTATATACCGATTTCTGATGGTTACATAGATATTATTTCGTTTTTCTTGAGTAAATTATATAAATAACTATTATATTTAGTACTACCATTAAAATATCTATTGGTGTTTACTTGAAGGTTGTAGACAATGATGTTTGTTGAAGGTTTTGGATGGTGACGCAGACCTGTAGCTATTTAACTTATTCAGTATTTACCCGAAGAAACGTCGTGATTAAAAAATACCAGGGCAATGGAAGTCCAAACTCTTTCTCATTCAAGTCCATTGATTTTAAATGAAACGTGTTAAAAATGGCGGATGCGCCGGGATATTAGCATTGGTAAAAATAGCATAGTTTTGTTTATATGTACATTTCTATGGATTAGTATCCGATTAATTGGAAATTGCCTGGTAAAATACAATTTCCTACTGTCAATAGCAATTTAGCATGTGTACTAAAGGATGGAGTGAAGGGGTGGGCTGGGGCTGGGTAGTGAAATAAAATATTATTCTATGTTTTGTTTACTCTTTTTTAATGAAAGAGAAAACATATTAAAGAATAATGTCGTTCATATGTTTAATTTAAATTCATTTAACAAAGTACAATCCATCTCCAATAAATTTTTAGCATCTTAGTACAAAACTGAACAATTATTCCTGTAAAAAACTAGCTACACACCCAGATAGTTTTTTTCACAATAATTGCTATCCTAGACAATATTAAATACAAGCTTTCTGTTCTAAAATGGATTGTCTGTTTTTAAAATATTATTTATAATCCGATTAGCCATTTTTAAATTATAATAGTACTTTGGAAATACTTATTTATATAACAATATAACTTGGAATTCATGACTTAATATTATGGATATTATTGAAAAAGATTTGCAATTTTTTTAGTGTGATTTTTTGAGTTAGCACTTTTAAATGCCTTCTTTACTAAAATTTACATCCTTAAGAGAGATAGATGACCTTAACCATCAGCCGTTCGTCCAATTATATTTTAAACATCAAATTAAGTTGGCAAGTTTCTAAACTCAACATCAAAAGTTAGTATTGCAGCAATGCACTTTTGTTGAAGAATTTACTTAACATTCACTCTGACCAACAACAGACCGACACAATGACAATGATAAAATCGGTAAAAATATTTAAAAGTCTGTTGCTGAGCAAAACAACGAAAATATTTAATGAGTTGATTTTCATCACAATATTACGCATTATTATTATTATGATCAAATTCAATTGCTTATAAATGTCATTAAGTCTATTTTATTATTGCTTTAAAGAGAAAGAAGAAGAAGAAGAAGAAAAAGAGAGAATACACTTTTTAAAACTGTGTTCAAGAATTTCGCATAATTATTTTTTTTGGTTTTGTCAGGATTTGAAGCTCATGATTTTATTTATATGTTTATCGTTAGTAGAAGTGAGGCCCCCTTGGCGAGTTTGTGACGTCACATCCCATGGTCATGCGCACTCTCGCCAAAGGGGCCCCACTTCTACTATCGTTTTTAGTATAAAATGTTATAAACATATAATGGAGCTTTTAAGCAACTTCCATATAGTATATGATCCTAGTAAAACGAAAAAAAAATAAGGGAAATACCGGACATTTTTCTTAAAACCTTCAAACGGCATCAGCATATCAATTCGTAACATCATTTTTATTACTCTGTACAATTATTACGATCCAATCAAAAATCAATTAGGAACCACCGGATTCAAAATTCAAATATTTTACCAAAAAACGGATTAAAATATTTAAACTTCAGATATGTTTGGATTCGCATTAACTTTCTCCTCAATTTTTGTTCTTGTGGTTTTCACGATGATTTTTGATCGTCAATTTTGAGAGATATGTACGAAAGTTCTTATTAACTAGATCTAAACTTGGGGTCACTATATACAGGTTCATTTCGATAGATGCATTAAAATCTTCTACGTAATTATAAAAAATCATACAAGCGATACTATCTCTTACTGTAAAACAATTAGACTAAATCAAGTCGAAAGTGTTTTTAGAGATTTATATACCGTATTTTCACGCTTAAAGTATACGTGCGCATCCAAACTCCTTAAATGAGAGTGGGGATATTTTGCAGCGGGAATGACACACAGTTATTATTATTATTCTATAGCAGCGGTATTTTGGGATGTAAATGTCACAAATGTAAAAAAGGTGTTTTCTTATAAAAAGCGTTTCAATTCTCTTAAAATCAAATTAAAAATACAAAACAAATAATAATTGTGCACAATTACAAAATTAATAATATCCTGTTAAAAGTTACATTTTCGAGTATCGCTCAACGCTAGTGAGTGGGCGACTGAATATCTGTGATGTCAGGTTAGAGCGAAATATCCCCCACTCTAAAATACTGTGATGCGTCAGCTGTATACATCAAAAATAAAAATACGGTATAGCTCAGATCATGTAAAATCTTTTCCCAAAAATTTGCTGGCTTTAGGTTTGTTTTTTTTATGGAGTTAAAAGGAATTAAAAAGGAAAATTATTGTCGTGTATGTGTTTTCTACGGCCTGAGTAAAAGATTGTCAGAGAGAAATTTATAGAAGAACGATTTTTGGGTAAAAATTTCCATTCTGAAATAATAAAGTTTAACATTTAAGTAAACTACTAACCTTGCCAACGATTTTATTACTTATTAACTTTTATTTATGTATTTTTTGAGAATATAACAATCATTTTTATCTTTACAAGAGAATTAGTATAAATCTACACCTTACTTAGTATACAAACATTTCTCACTAAACACAAAACAGGGGACGTAGGTATTGATTTATATCGATTTAAAGCAAACGTATTTTTTAGGATTTTTTTAATAATTTTCATTTGATAATTTATTGGGCTAATTTTAAATCGTGTTACCTTAGCGTTTCGAAAAAATTTCAAAATTTATTTACACAAAGTCATTCGCTAAAATACAACGACAAATTCGCTAGTAAATCAATAGAATTCAATGTATTAAAACGGTATGCAAGATCCAAATATTTCATGTTTAGCTTCTCGAATTTGTTGTATAAAATAACATTTTCAACAACAATTGAATACATGGCGCTTGAGAAAATTCGATCCGCCATTTCTTTTTTTTCTAATAAAATACTGCATTACTATTGTCGGGTTTCCAATTTTTTTCTGATATGTTTGGAAGTTTTTAAGCTCTAAAATTATGTAGCAATAAAACATCTGTTTATTCAAAAATTGCTCCAACTTTATTTATAGGATTTTTGTCTGATATTTTTATTTACCAAAATTTTAGCACCATCATTTTAAAAATCCTATAAAAAGTTGAGCAGAGTAAGTCAAAGCATCGACTTGAAGGTTTAGGCAGTGCATTTTGAAGTAAAACTTCTTTAGCGAGGCGCAAGTACAAAAAATTAAATAGTAATATAAAACGCTTTTAATCTCTCGTAAGTATAAGCAACGTGTTTTGTTTAATATATTGTAAATCACATATGGTTTTGTGGTCAGCATAACTTACCACTAGACCATACGGGATATTCTATATGATAAACATAACTTATTATTAAAAAATAAAATAAATAAATCAATCCAATCCTAATCGACAAATATTAAAAAAATTGTCAAATTTTCAATTTTTTTTATAAATTTTACTATGTATTCCTATCATCTCCTTCAGAAGTTTCACTTCAATAGTGTGCTTATAAAGGTGAGGCACACACATTTTTTTAATTAAACGAAACTAGTTTTGATTAACGTGTTTAAGAAAACGTTATGTCTTCGATTTTCCCTGTAGAATTGTGAAATGTAGAATGGAATCAAGAAATGATTTGAACCAATATTTTAGAGCTTAACAAGTTGCCGAACACATCTAGCGAGCGTGGATAACCCAATATTTAACTTGGTTTTTATCACAGTATATTTGTGTTAATATCTAAAAACACGATACATAACCAAATTCCAGTAAAAAAACTGCCAACTGTTACTTAGTGTAACTTAATTAATATTTGGCAGCGATTTCGGGAAAATCGCGGTTGCTTAAAACCGTGCTGCGCAGAAGTTAAAACCGACTGCGCAGAAGTTAAAACCGGCTGCGCAGAAGTTAAAAGCGGCTGCGCAGAAGTTATGACCGGCTGCGCAGCACAATCGTAATATTCGGGTAATCGAGCCCTAAAACAAAATAGACGCCCATCTCCAGCACCACAAAGTCTTTTTATAGGAAATATATGTTGGTCGATAATTTTAATAATTAATGCCAACGACATTGGGGTTTATTTATTTATATAGTTGGTATGCGTCTAGTTTATCATTTATTTAGTTTAGTTTATCACATGGCTGTAAAATATGCTCTGCATATTTTATAGTCATACATTGTTTATCTATATAGAAGGATACATCGTTGTTCGATCCCATAAGGACGTTTTATTCTTCTATAATTATTTTTTAAATAAAAAATTACTACGTTTATTTTTAATAAATAGAAGCAGTATTTAATTTATTGGGTTTATTATTAATATATTTTTTTAGTTTTTTTTTTATTATTTTTTTTATTTAGCACGTTAATATCTACCAACATATAGATGCGGAATTAAAAAAATAGGATTCCAAACCGATTATGCTCTTATCCAATATTATTCAAGTAAGTATGTATATAATATCGGACAAGATAAGATTATTCATTAAAAATCATTTTCAGTCTTTTCTAAACTTAGGAAATGTTTCAAACTATCTTGAACGTGTAGAATCTAAATTATGCTGGGTTTACCAGAAAACATCCATGTATAAATTTTTTGCGATATCGATTCGGCTTATTTGGCACGTATGCTAATCTTTGGCACCGTGTGAATTTGGCAACAACGAAATTTTACAACTTTTCCCTAGCGAAACAATTTACTGGAGGGTGTTGATGCTAAAATTTACGACCTTAATTTCTATAGAAAATGATCTCTATAGAATCAGATTGGTAATGTTGCAACAGAAATCTGATTTCGCTTCCGCAACTGCGGAAGTTCTGCACACTTTTCACATCCGCTACCGCATTTTTTATATCGAAAGTTGACGATAAGCGCGTTTATTGGCCAATTAAGCCGTGATGTGTAATCTAAATTAATAAAAATTGTCAATTTTTTATAGTATTCGTACTTCCGCTTCTGCTTCTGCACACTTTCGTTACTTTTGATATTTCTTTTCTTATTATAATTAATAATATGTTTTGTTTAATATATTGCATATCCCGTATGGTCTTGTGGTTAGCATACGTTACCACTAGACCATACGGGATATACTTTATGATAAACAAAACTTATTATTAAAAAAAAATCAATCCAATATGGCGGTCGCTGTAAAATGGACAAATTTATTTTGTATAGAAAGTAAAGTCGCAAATTTTAACACCAACATCCTCCTGGTGTGTGAATAAACATTTAAAACATCAATGATCAACAATTTTTCAATTTTCGCCCTAATTAATTATTGTCAGTAACTAAAGACCCTGTGCATAAGGATTCATAGATAGGAATTGGTCGAGTAGAAATGTTTTCTGGCAAAAGTACGATGATAAAATTATTGTCGTTGTTTGTATCCTTTTATTTTAATTCAATTAACGAATAAATGGCAATTATTCCGTAAAAAAAGACGTGTGGTCGAGAGCGTAATCGTTGTAAAACGATTACTAATCTGGAGGTGGCGCGTCCGTTGGGGGAGCGCTTGGCTACGAGACGATAATATGAGGCGCTGAGAATAACACCGCTAAAGTGGCGATGATCGTAAACAAGGTGAATATTATAAGGCACAATCTATCAACCACCATAGCCGCAAATTTCCAGTCTCTAGTCACCACCGATGACTCGTCGTCTTTTCGCATCTGATCCGTTATAAAACGGATCTCTTTCAAAATCATAGCCAGCTCGTAATCCGCGTTTATGCAGCCGTGAGTCGCCACCACTGGTTCCGGCGGTGGGACACGAGCCCCATTACCATTGTCTTCGGCTTGCCTGAAATACAGAAAACAACCCATCACCAAAACTGAACCCACCACCACAAAATACAAAATGAACGTGACCAACGGTGATTGGTAGATGGAGGCGAGACACGCAACTTACCTATAAACTGACCTAAAAAATGAAGATGGCGGCATTGGAGTAGGAGTGCCGCCTCCTCTGTGGTTGTGTCGAAAATCGTCGTCAATGTCGAGTACGTTGGCAAGAAGACTTTTCGAAGATCGCTCTTTCATTTCCACGTCCGGAAAGTGAATCGGCTTCCTTTCGGCTATCATCGGCGCATTTCGGTTATGCGAAGCTCCGTATTCGGGCGTCCCGGGCGGTCGGTGCATGCGCAATATCCAAGGTAACCAAATCAAAAATATCGTTTTTATCTAAAAAATTTCATGTTAAGATCCCAACTTGTGCGCGCATTATCTTTAATCGCTTAGGCAATATTTAACAATAACTACTCCAACAATGAAGATATTTATCTTCAAATTTATTACGAAATTATATACAAAATAAGTTGGTGTACTAAAATGAAAGAGGTATAATTCAAATTACAAATTAATTTGGTTTTATGAGAACGGAGATGAAACAAATTATTTGCATATTTAGACATTAGCAAATGTATAATAAAATTTTATTTTAATGCCTGTTTCATTATATAAATAAATTAAACGAATTTTACGATGTATGCTACGCGGTTTATTAGTTAATTAACAATTTGACAAATACTTACTACAAATGTATACCTTCATTCAAATGGCTTCAAAATTTATTTCTTTGTTAAACTAAACATTTTTTATTTTATTGCTAAATTAAATTAAATTAAATATTAAAAAAGTGTTTGTAAACATTTTAATTAACTTGAAATAGTAACTGAATATTAACTCCAAATGCTATTTATTCACATTTTTTTTATATCCTTGTTACGCCATCCTAAGCATTACCTCATGATGTGGACGATTCGTTATAAATAAAAGCTAAATTGTTAACTTCTAATAGTACCGAATTAGGAAAACCAAATGCTATTAACATATATTTCATTGATTTCTTTTTATGTAATCCTAAATATTGCCTCATGATTGTATGATATAGAAGATTCGTTAGAAATGGAAGCTACATTTTTAACTTGAAATAATAGCGAATTAAGAACACCAAATGCTATTTACACATATTTTATTGATTTCTTTGTTTTGTCATCCTAAATATTGCATTATGATATAGAATATTCGTTATAAATAGATGCTAAATTTTTAACTTGAAATAGTTCAGAATTAAGAACACCAAATGCTATATACACATATTTTATTGATTTATTTGTTATGTCATCATGTATATTGCCCCATGATACAAAAGATTCGTTATAAATAAATGCAAAATTTTCAAGGTGGATTGGTACTTACCCAGTTGGACATCTCGTGGGTGTCAGCGTTTCTGTGGTGATAGTTTAGGATGAGGATGGTGGAAACGACCGATGAGGCTACCATGAACATGATGCAGTTAAAATAGGTTCCCAAAAGTGGTACAGCATCGGAGGTGGCTGGCATTGTTTCAGCGACCATGTTGAGAAACACGGTGAGAGACAAGAGAATGGTAACGCCGAGCGATAACTTTTCCCCTGAATCGGGGGGCAGTGTAAAACCCAAGACGGCCATCGACGCAATAAGAACGCATGGGACAATTAGATTGAAAAAATAGTATAAAGTTCTTCGGCGAATAATAATAACGAAGGTTATGTCAATGTATGGTTCCGGACAACAATTGTAGTAGATCTCGTTACGTTTTCCCGGAACACCTGTAAAAAGAAAATAATCTTTGGCAAAATCAAAGATTGCGTTGTGATGGCAGTTCAATTACCTTCAATTTGAAATTGATTTATTTTTATTCAAATTTCTTTAGAAAACTTTAGCTTTTTGATCGGTTAAGGGAATCTTGCGAAAGGAGTTGACTTATTTGGCGCTAGATGGGGTGGCAATATCTAATCGATATTGCGTCATATTTAGTTTCTTAAAAAACCTGCTTCATGCAGTTGTATATAACACTTTATTAGCAGGACAATCTAATTTTAGAAACTGAGCCTTTAACCCAATATTAAACTTTATCGTTTAATACAAATATTTATAAATGTGAGACATTTTATTTTTAAAATTTTCCTCGAATAAAAATTGAAATGAACAATGAAATAGAGCTTACCTAGCAAGTCCCATTCGCCATTCGTAATAAAGCTGCTGATGTCCCCTCCCGCATCATCTTGCAGTTGCAAATCCAACTGAAAATAAATAAAATTGGATTGAACAGGAGTTTAAAATTAAATAATTTTCATGAAAACTTTCATTCAAGTAAAACAAGTTTTTATTGTGAATTTTTTACTTTCTTTAATTTAACGTATTTTTAACGAAAAAAATTACTTAAAGGTTATTTATATTTTATTTAATGTAAACTTTATTACCCACTTAGGTATAACATTTTGAAATATAAATAAAGAGGCAAAAATATAAAAAGAGAGAACAGACATAAAGTAATTTTAACGTTATTTTTACGTAAATATGTGGTATTTAATTTGTTTTTATTACGTTAATTTTTTGGTCGTTTGAATGGTTATTATGTAGTTAAAAACAACTTATAAAACCATTCCCCATATAAGTTAGTTCACTCGATAAGCCCATCCAAGAAATATTTTAAGATAAAAAAATAGATGCCAATTTTTTCAGTTGGGCCGGTGTTGCACTAAATGTCTCAATTGTAAAAAGTATGTCTTTTATCCCACAATCATCATACTTATACTTGATCTTTACGAAATTAATAATTATTTTAAGATTGAAAATCAATTGATCAATCATTTTACTATATATTCATATATTCAATTTTAATAGTTGAAAGGGCTAAATATAAAAATAATAAATAAAAAAAATTATTTTTGATATTTTAAAATGTCCGAAAGTGGAAAAAATCGAAATTATTAAAATTTAAAATTCCAAAAGTTTGAATTTGTTTTCTGGGATAAAATTAACAACCTTTGTTCTTTTGAATGGCTTATAAAACAGCACGACATTGACATTGTTAATTAATAATAAGTTTTGTAGTTCTGCATAGAAAATTGGCTTTCCATTCTGCATTAAAGCTAAGCCCGAAAAAAAAACTTCCTGGCTTGCTTTGGTTTGAAATTTCATTAACAGATTCAGTTTGTTGAAAAAAAAACAACAAAAAGTAATATTCTAGCGCAAATACCTTCGAGCATATAGCTGCTGCATCACAAAGCATTGTTCGTTAATATAGGCAGGTGGTATATAAAGTGTATTAAAGCCGCTACTGAAACCTCAAGCAAGTGTGCTAGTGGCAGAAATCGCGGATCGCTGCTGCATCTTAATTATTATAAACCGGTTTATATAATATATAAGTAGGTTTGATATGTTTGATGTTTGATCTATAATCTAATTAGTACCTTATAGATATATCGTTGTTGTTGTTGTTGTTGATAAAGTTAAGGAAAATAAAAATGATGGGTCTTATTCGAGATGTGTAAAATATTTACGGTTTTAGCTTTAAAACAGTTTTATTGTTGATTCCTTGACTGCAGTTTATTCAGTCATAAAATTTTAAGGATAGGATCAAATAAAAGCATGTTATGGGACTTCCTCTCTCATTTGAATGACCATTTTACTGTCGCTGATGTTTATTTGAAAAATAAAGCAAACTGTTTTAAAAATTTAATATTGCCGATTGCCAAAACCATAGCAGGTTTATGGGCTTTAATACTTACGAATTCAAATCGGCCAAGTAGGGAATTTAACAGAATTAAATAATTTACTTCAACAATGAATTCCTATGATTTATGTATGAGTTAAATTTGCACGAAAAGCCATTTCTCAATAAATATACGTATTTGCATTAATCTTTGTTAGAGTTTGAATTTTAAGTTTCATATATTCGCTCACATTCAACGAGTTAATGCGCATGGTCCAATAATTTAAGTAAAAAATTCACTCGAATTTTTATTCTAGGTAAGTAAATACCATTCAAGAAGAAATACTTCGCAAAGGCAAATATTTGAACAGCTCTGTCCACTGTGACCAAATTTTAAAATATCGTTAGGCTTTTCATTCCAATCAAAGAAAAATCTTAATTAAAAAAGTTCCAGCTGAAATTTACTACGTATATTAAATGAAAAGTCGCAAAGTTCCGAATTTAATTGGTAATAGGAAATTGCTTTCTTTCAATCCGTTGATGAGGGTTAAGAGCATCCCTTGCAAAAACATTTAAGTATGTTATTATTTATTACACTCGATTGAAGAATATTTTGTTCATCAGAATAAAAGGAAATGACGTTTGTGCCAATAATTCAAAACGTTTTATATACACTACGGCGATTCTTTGACTTCTGATAACGAAAAACCTTTCCACTAGACCATACCGGATATACTTTATATTAAACAAAACTTATTGTTATTCCGCTCGCGCGATTATCTTTGGAACGTTTACATTGTTGAAAAAAAATTTTTGTAGATCTGTTAATTTCCAACAAAAATATGTACTACTCATTTAACATACATAGATGCCCCAAAACCAATTTTTTGATATGATAAGTCAAATAAAAGAACAATAGATTTAAATCACCCTAATATACACTCACCGACAAAAAAAAATTGGCCAGAATTTTTATGTTGATTTCTTCGCTCGAAAACGGTAGAATATTTAAAAAAAATTGCAACACTCTGTATCTCTGGAACAAAACGTTTCATTTTCATAATGATTTTTGTTGAAATATTAATGAATCACTCATTTAGTTTAAACTACAAATGTAAACTTTTTTTGATATTCTGAACTCTATCCCCGGGATATTAGTATAGGTATAGTTGCTATTCAAGTTTTAATTATGTTTGAATAAAATTTCCCTAAATATACTTCTGTAGATAAGTTTTGCGATTTAACAGAATTTAACTGTATACTAAACAGTCCGTCAAATCTGAAAATCATACCTATGCCTATTTTATTTTATTTAGTACTTTCTGATCACAATTCCGCAGCTACGGAAGTTCTGCACACTTTATTACATCCGCTTCTGCATTTGACTTCGCGTTTTTTTATATCGGAAGCTTTTAAGAAATGGCGATAAGCGCGCTTAATGACCGATACCCTCATCCACTTCCGCATCCGCAACCGCTTCCGCTTCCGCAAAAATGTAATATTAACATTTGTTTCCGCTTCTGCTATTGTTATGCATACTTTCGTTGCAGTTTTTAAAATAGTTATACATATATGAGTAGATAAGAGTTAAGATAAGTGTAGAACAAACTTAGTTAGCGATTTCTTGAGCCTACCTGTAAACCGTCATATGTCCAGCTTCCGAATTTCATCTCGCATCGCTGGTCATCGAACGGAAACCAAGTGATGTCAATTTTGCAGGTGCTTTTAAAAATACCCGGTGGTACGTACATGCAACTCCCATTATTCCTCACCACCACATTAGTGGGGTACGTCCCGTCGAAGCCTTCATCCGCACTGAAATTAAAAGAATATATCTGCAATGTTTCGCAAAAAGCAATAATGTAGTTATTTATCGGATTTACAATTTTTAAGTTAGAAATGGGCAATTCGGTTAATGTATTTGGTAAAATGCAACTTGTTGGTTAAAAAATATATCCAAATTAACCAAAGCTGTAGTTAATTTACCAAAAAATTATATCAAAAGTTAAATTAAAACAAAATATGTCTAAAAAAATAACCATTTTCAATAGTTAAAATTATAAGTTAATATAACGTAATGTAACTTATAAAATAACCTACTTTTTAACTTATAAGTAATATTACCAATTAGTTTAGTAATATTACTAAATGGTTTCTTTTATTAGTTAAATTATACTAAAAATAACCTTTGAATTTACCTTAAAGTTATAGCAACCGGTTGGTAAATTTAAAGGGTTATTTTTTAGTTCATAGTAACCTTAAAAGTGTTAATGGCGAATACAACTAATTGGTTAAAAACAAGTTTAAAAACGTTATTTTACTTGATATTGGTTAAGTTACTTAAAAATCATACAAATATATCATTTTAGCCAATTTTAGAAACCATTCCCAAAACTTAGTTTAAAAGATTGATTATTTTATTAAGTTACTTTTTCGAACAAATGGTGCTAATAGACGCTAATAACTCTTTGCAAAGGTCAAACCTCTCTGTTATTTTTATTGAATAACAAATAAAGTTTTCCGCAACATTTCCTCTGCATCCAATATTATTCGGGTTCAAGTACGTGACTAAACATGTTAGATGCAGAGGGTTTCCTTCTAAACAGTTTAACCCAGTTTGGAATCTTCCAAAGATTTAGATACACACAAATTTTATAGGAAGAAGGCGACTTGCCGTCTAGAAACATAATTCATACTCATTTACCTGTTATACATAAGGACGTCTGGCTTCCACAGCCTGTGCGGAGGTATACGTAAATCCTTTACGCCGCCATAATCTGAAGCATTCCATCTTAAATTCATGTCGTTCCATTCCTGTAACAATACACATACATGTTACTTCACCTCATCGATAAAATCATCTTCTTACATAACTGGAAGAAAATACCTATGGAAACAAACAAAAAATTACTCCCGGTGCATCCGCCATTTTTGCAACTAAAGTGCGATTGTTTGCCGTATGCGTTCGCTATGTGTACGCAGCTTAATATGTTTAAAGTATCAAACAATTATTCTCCAAATGTAATGTGTTTGTTTTAAAATTTTATCAGAGGTAAAAATAAAAAGTTGCGTGGGGATTTCAATTTATTTACAGTACGTATTTTAAATAGTAATTTTTAAAATGATTTATTTTATTCGTTGAATAAAAACATATATTTTCTTGTGAGTAAGCAAAACTTTTTCGGGAAAAGGATAATTTATTGTTTTAAAATGTATTATTTTCTAGACTGACCGTCGAGGTTTATCTAACAGAAGCGCATTCTTTTATTTTGAAACCGGACAAAGGAGAATACGGACTTAAACAATATTTAAGAAAAACCTACTAAACCGGTTGCCAAATTATAAAATTCGATCGGATATAACTTTTCGTTGGTAAATAATGTATGCTTTGAAAACAATTCTGCTGCATTTCGTAATTATGCATTATACAGGGCTCCTTTGTATGTGAAAATAAAACAAAATATTACATCTATCCAAATAACGCTGAAATAAAACTAATGAATTAATTAATTAATTTTCGAGAGTTCACAGCACAAACATTTTTTTAACATTGCGTACCTTTTCCCGCGATAAAAGTGTCAAATAAAATCTAATTTAAAGTCATTACTCTTCTATGTTGCGTAATTATAGTAAATTAAAGGTATAAAGAGCGATAACGTGTTAAAGGGTTATCATAGACAAAGTTAAAAACTCTTGATATATTGAAAAGTTTATTAGCACTTATTAATAAATTCTTTTCAAATTTACTGATGTGTAGACCATTATGTTTTGATCGATCGTTCCTACGGACTATTCTTTCCCACAGGGACTAATTTTAATTTTAATTTAACCGAAACTCTACTAACCAACCAATTGTACACCCAGAGCCATTCACAGAGCTGAATTGATTTGTCAAACTAATTGGTTTGTCCGAATCAGAATATTAATTGATTTAAACACATAGAGCTCACTATTGTCTTTGATATTAGCACATATTAAATTTGCTATCCTTGATTAGCTCGGACTTAATTGCTAAAAATAACATTTCGAATTTAAAAATAAAGCTTCAGGAAAATTTTCAAACATACTGTCGATATTTGTTGATATTCATCCGATTTGAAAGAATTAAATCAAGCTTTACACTGTTTTTCAATTTGAATTCGGAATTAATAAAAAACTTCATATTTTCTTTTTCCACGCGAATGCCAAAAATTTTCATTTATTATATTTTAATTAATTTTCGAATTATACCGCATTATTTTTACATACCACACACACACACACACGATTTTAATTGAATTTTATATTTAATTTTATTTCTTTTAGTTACACAAATTCGTTTTTGTTCAAACGCTTTCTTTTATTTTGAAGTATTTTTTTGATTCTACGCCAGAAGGCGTTTTTGTAAAACAAATCAAAATTAAGGTTCTGAAGTAAAAAACAAAAATGTGAGTTTAAAACAAATCACCCTAATATTGATAAAAATTTTGACAAAAATATTTTATATAGGAAAATATAAAATGCCATCAAAATACAATCGAGACTTTATCATTGATAAATTATCAATCAAAAATGCTAAAAATTAGTCTTTATTCTTTAATGAAAACATTTTTTACCATCCAGTTTTAAACATGTTGCTATCGATACAGTTCGCTAATGAAACGTGATTTAAAATATATAAAAAAATAAATAAAATTAGGTATTATTAAAAATCGATCCAACGATATTGTCAAATAAGCAGCAACATAGCAGCGTTTTAAAATTGCTTTAAAAGAGATTTTCGTTTTGATATTGGACAGATTGAAATTTTGCATGATAAAAACTTCTTCAAGTTTAGTATCCTAAGTAATATTTAATAGTTACGAAGAATTTTAATCAAATTCAGTTCGATGAAAATATCTAAATGATATATGCCTAACTATTTTATAATGATTAAAAATAATTTGAAAAGTTTAGTTGTAGGTAATCGAGTAAAATATTTATTTTTATGTAGATTGGATATTGTTATTTAACCCTTTTAAAGCAATACTATAAAGTTAGCTTTATAGCCTTTAAAAATTAACTAACCATTAAGCAAATAAATGTAAAATAATACCATAGTAGACCTTAGGCAATGTAAACTCGAAAGTTACTGAAAATTAATCAAAATTGCATTTACATAAAGCAATTTAGGTAATAAAACATTTAAGCAATTAGATCGAGTAAAGAGGAAACTGTTTCTGAGTTATTATGTACACTATCCACTCCAAAACAAACACATATTCTAAAACAAATATTAAGTACCCAATACTTGTTGTAAAATATTGTTTCGCCACTCCCAAACCAGACAATTTATTTCTGCTATATAGTTTACTTTAACAAAACTATAAAAACAAAAATATTTAAAAAATGTTTCTATAAACAACATGCTTTTTTCTCAAGCTTTTATATTTTGTATTATTGTGAATAATTATATAGATTTAAACTTTTGAAGAGAAATTGTCTACAAAAAGCAAATATTTTCTTAACATAATTATATTTAAAAATTTATTTATTTTAAAATTTTAAAGCCTCAATAATTGTTAACTATAATTAAAATAATAACGGGCAATGTTAATGGTGAAAATAACGTCAAAAATGTTTATTGGGGTGGTTACTTTATTTTCGTATAGATGTCGCTGTATACAAATATTTAATTTAAATAATTTTTTAGATAATTTTAAGTATTTGTCGTAGAAAAAGTATAGTTAGCACTCATTTAATTAAGCACTCGCTCGTGCCTAAATTAAATTCGTGACTAAAATGGCGTTTATCAAACTTGATACATAATATACAATTTTATCGAATTGAATTTGAAATTATTCTCCTAAAAAAGTATTCTCCTAAAAAAGTATCGGACGTAAAAATCACTTTGTATGTTATGTGGGTGGTAGTTTATTTGGCGCTCAAATTAAATGTTAGTGGAGGCAATATAAAAGTAGTTTGTTTTTATTAAAAACAAGTGGTAAAAGCAAATTTATTAAATATACATAAACAAGGATTTCCAAGCTTGAAGGAAAAACAATTCATTCAACTTTGAACTTTAACTCGAAGTTGTAGGAGTTTGTAAAAAAATTCATCATGATACAGGAAGAAAACAAGAAGGATGTAGGTAAGTAACCATTAGCTGGGTTAATGCTAAAACGTTTTGGTTGGTTTATGGGTAACATTAAAAATTTGGAAAAAATCCAGGACAACTTTTAAAATATCTTGGGTATAACTGAGTCACGTATTTATGAAATTGGTTTGATCCACCAATATGTTTGGAGCCATTTCCCGTAAAATATAGCAGAGTTAAAAAGGACAAAATAATATAAATAGTATTGTTTTGTTGTATGGAATGAATATAAAAGCAAGTTTTGTATAGAGAATTTTGAAGCTAATTAAGTGAGATTGTTTACAAAGCTCTTGCACAAGCTGACCTTAACCCAGTTAGTTAGGGATTTTTTTCTAAATGACAAGAAGATATTTTCTTTTGAGGAGCTTTGGGTAAAACTCTTTATGAGAAAAATCTAAGCCGTGGGCGATATATATATACAGTGTGGCACATTTGTTTGCGACTCACCCCTGTAAAATCTTTATTTATTGTGCGATTTTGTAGCCAAATTAAAAACGCACAATAATAACTATTTAGAAAAAATTATTGTCAAGTTATGCATAAAAAAACATTGAAATAAAATTAAACCAATAGTAACATAGTATAAATATTCCTATGCTTAGTTTTGACAAATAAAATACGCAATAGGAACTTAAAACAACAATGAAACAAAAAATAGAGAAGATTTTGAGGTTTGGTTCCCCCTCAAAACAAGTATTTTAAATTTTATTTATCGATTATCCCTTTAATAAAAGTTTTCAGTGGGACACACTGTATATACATATGTATTATTTAAATAATACTTAATTGAGAACCGCTCATTTTTTTCCCAATTTTCAAATGCCGTTTTAATCAGGCAACCGACATTGTTTTTTAAATGAAAAACAGGAGGGAGGATGCTTGGTGCACCCTGTATATGTATATACGTATAATGAGATTTGCATTTTTGGTTTGGTGTAAAAAATGTAAGGCTGTAGAAATTCCTTAGTCCCTCTAAAATGAGTGTATTTTCTTCAAAGGATCGATATTAGAGTCGACTATCTTTGTACAAAAATGTAATATCTTCTGTCAACGTTTTACCTTGCCAAAGAATTTCACTAAAGCATATTGAATAAAAATGATAGGTAGGGTATTATAAAATACGTTGTTTTATTAAAACAATTCATCAAAAAGTTTTTATGACTGAATGGAAAAGCCGGGCTTTGCACAAATATAAATCTTCAATCATCCGACCATAAACAGAATTTTAACATGTCATTGAGAAGTAAACTTCAAACAGCACTATGTTTTTATTAACAAACATTCGGGAGGACAAAAAGCATTAAATGTAAATTTAAAAATCGATTGGATTAAGCATGTCAGCTAATACCTACTACAAATCATACAAAGTCGAGGGAAAAAAATGTTTTTCAGGGCAATTTTTATAAGCCGTTGGCCATAAAAAACAGAGGTGATGATTTAAAAAAAAAGGGGGATTTGTGAGAAATGCGATTTGCGATTTGCCACATATTCGACCTTGTCGGTATATTATTAATTTGTAATAAAAAGTGAACGCATATTGGCATTTCTAGCATCTGTGCGCACTGCTCATATTCGAAAGGCACGGCGCAGGTCGGGACACAAAAACATAACTCCACGCTCAAGTCTAGCAACGTCGACTACTCTAAATGTAATAAATGATCTCAACCTGTTTAAATAGAACAGAATTAATAGAAATAAA